AATTAAATTTTACTGTTTTTTTCTTATATATACCACAGGTGCTCAATTGGATTAAAGGGAGTTTAAGAAATATTGTAAAGTTTTATTGTTGGAAATAATCGTCACCATCTAACCCAAACCACCTGACGCCGCCATTAATTTTCCTTTTTTTTTACTTTATTCCGATTTTTTGTCTTTTCTATAACAGTTGTTGTATCTCAGCATAACATTTCTTACTGTAAGTCTGCTCCTACCTGTTATTGTTCCAATTTCATCATAAGACTTTTTGAACTTAAATTCTGACATTAATTAAGGTTTTACGGTTATTTTTCGGTATATATATAGTGGCAGGTAGTTTGCAAATATTACATTTGATAAAGACACGGTGTTGTCGAAACAATTGTCGTGTCAAAATATATAATTTCGTGAAAATCTGAACTTTTAGTTATTTTGGTCAAATTATCTATCACAATACCGTCAAACCAAAAAATCGGAGCTTAAAAAAAATCAAAATTGAATGTAAACTGTTAATCTCAATCGCATTCCGTCGATCATATTGTTTCGTTCCGTCCCAAATGTAGATAACAACGAATGGTTATTTGCGATAACGTTTTTCTTTTTATCACAGATCAATAGACGAAAACTAAACGAAATTTGAAGTATTTTCCAAAAAATATATAACGTAAATACGATAGCACCGCTGTACAGGACAAAACTGTAGGAACGGAGCAGTCAAACTTGTTTTTCATCGTCATATTTACCGTACATCTTTAGAGTTTCATCTCTATTACGTTTTAGCGATATCAAAACAAACAAATGATTCACGCGAATACATTTTTTTGGGTTAAGGTACTAGAAAATGTTAGTGTATTTTCTAATCTTATAATACATCAAAGATTATAAATATATTTCTAAGTTGAAGAATAAAAAGAAACTTTTGAATATGTATACTATCTATACCGTACCAGAATTTGAATGAAATTATAATTATATATAATTAATTACATCGTTTTTTGCGTGCTGCAAGCTATGGCATGATTATAATAATTTCGACAGCCACCTTAGATTTCTTGTTGTTGTTGTGAAGGTCATTTTTAGCAAACGGTTATTATAAATACGATGGTATTAAACTACTTTTGAAAACAGGAAAAGTTCTATCAAACGAATGCAGTGTTTTTCTTATGTTTGCGTTGGTTATGTGTTCGTTTTGACATTTGCGAGAATATAATAAATATAACACAATAAAACTTTTGTAATTATTTTTTTTGTTTGAGAATAAACTTTCACAGTGCTATTTACAGCATCATACTGCACAAAGCAGTAATACTTTCATTTTTAAAGGCAATAGACTAATTTAAAGCTTATCTAAAACTGCTTGTACAGAGAGTTAGTGAGAGAGAAGTGTCAAAGTTGTTTCATAGCTTTTTAAACAATGCCTATTTCGGTTTTTCTTTTGACATGATATTTGAATTTATTCTTAATTTAACCTTTGCTTGTAACCACGCTGTGTTTTCTACTGTTTTAAATTAAAAACGTGCTCATATTAAAAGTGGTCGGGAGTAACCATTTCAGAAATATTTTTAATTAATTAGCACTCCCGATTTTGGCTTTGTTGATGAAGATATTTCATCGTAAAACTTTTACGTTACTTGTCAGTAAGACCACGTCAAGTGGACCCCCCATTTTCCATCATCATAAAAAATTAATCTATGTAAATTTTTTTTAAGTACTTATGATGGAAAATTGATCCCTCAAACGATTTTTTAAAATTTTGATTTTAACAACATTTTTTTAATGAAAATTTGAAGCACTTTTAATTAAAAAATGGATTAAAAATCAACCGTAAGAGATAAATCAATGAAATTTTCAGGATCCAGGGTCAAATGTCTATAGTTTAAGAATATATTAACGAATAAAAATTTTCGTATTGTTAACCAACTTTTAAGTTATCAAAAAAAAAATTAACTGATTTCTTGGTAAAAAAAATCATGTTTTTAATCGGTCACATGCTTTACACATTTAAGTTTAAGATTTCGGAAGAAAATTTGTCGTCATTAATTTTTTTCTTTTCTTTTTTAACTTTTTTTTTAATAAATACTTTTTCATCCTCTGAAATGAGCCTGCATTCTAGTGAAACATTTTCCAATGGTTTGTACTAATGAAATTGGCGAGTATTTTTTATTGTAGTTAAGCGTTCGAATCGTGGTTGGTATCTTTTCTTAAAGAACTTTGGGCCCACTGGAAAAAGGAAAGTGGGGTTGTTATGTAGTTGTCTTTATCACGTTGGAGATTATCACGATAAGCTTGTCTTTTTATACTCCTTGCTAAGCCATCACACGCTCCTTTGTCATGAAATGTAGCGAAAAGGGTCCAATCATTCAATTGGCAAAATTATATTTAAATAATAATTAAAACTGATTTTTGAATCACCTAATTTCATAATTCCCCATTTTAAATCACAGAAAATATTGTTATTACAATTAAAAATTATAATACTAAAACATTAACTCACAAAACACAACTCGACAACATGACCCCTTATATTTTTTGTAATTATTTCATGCTTTGCGTATAAACTTATGTCACGAATAGACAGGAATGACCTCTAAAATGATTTTATTTATTAACATACGCGAAAAACAAATGAAAATCGTAACGGAGCGGTTTTTCTTTTGTTAACTAAAGATGGAGTGGAGTAATTTACTAAATTACCAAAAAAAAATAAATATAGACCATAACAGTTTTAAAAATTTAAAGTTGAATATATTTTTTTAGATTTACGCTGTTTGGTAAGAATAATAAAAAAATGATAATATTCTTTATAACATTGTTTAAAAAAATAAAATTTTATATATTAAAATAACATAAATAATAATAAAATTTGTTTTATAATAATATTTTGTATTATTATTTTAAATTATCACATAAATAAATTCAGTTTGTTTCAACTAATGACGAGCAGTGAAATTTTCTTCCGCAATCTTAAACTTAAATGGGTAAAACATGTGACCGATAAAACACATGATTTTTTTACCAAGAATTTAGTTAAATTTTCATTTTTTAACTTAAAAGTTAGTTAATAATACGAAAACAAACAAATAATTTTAATTGGTTAATATATTCTTAAAGTAATAGAATTTGAACATAGAAATTTATCTCTTACGGTTGATTTTTAATCCATTTTTTAATTAAAAGTGCTTCATATTTTCATTAAAAAAAATGTTATCTAAGATTTCATCATATTTTAATAATAATAATACTCGCCTATCATTAAGGAAGACCGTATCCATTACTACATAGAAAATAGGTTAAATTAATAAATTCTAAGTACAACTAGTTCTCTCTCTCTTACCAAGTAATATAATCGCGATGGTTAGTGACGACTGTCTTGCATTGATCAGATACTCATTTAGGGCGGAACAACATCTATTGAAGTATAATCACTATTAATCATATTTAAGATTCGTAAAATTCGGAAACGCTTTCTTGGTTCTGCCAATTTAGACGAGGATTTCTATTGCCAGAGGAATTATATCACCAAATAAAAATCTCCCAAGATAAGACAGTGATTGTTTGTATTTGACAAATCACATTAATTAATGTTATAGCCATATGATTTCTTTTTAAAATGATCAAATTCGCTTGGGGGCCAGATGAGTAGCTATTTTTTAAAAAGTCCATGATGGTACTACGTAGTTGAAAGCAAAATATTTGCATAGTTTATTCCATATAAAACATTTATAATTAATTATAATATTTATTAATTATAAATTTAATTTATAAATAATATTTATTATTTATAAATTATATTTATTTATTTATAATAAAAGTGAGATCCTGTAAGCAAATGAGCCTCAAGCGATCATTAGAAATCTGAAAATCTTAAATCAAAATACGATATAAACAATATTATTTCTCTAGCCTAAAATTCCTCCTCACAAAACTTTGTAATAATGTATTTCTGATACGAAAATGATAATTTTATTTACCTGTAAAAGGCTCTTTCATTAATATAATTATTCCGTAGGCTACTGTAATACTATTTACAGATATTCCGGATTCCTGCTGCGCGGGTTGTTGATGTTGTTGCTGGCTTCTTCAGTGCTTGAGGGGGGCGGATCCAAAGAAAAGGCATGAACATTATCAGTTGCTCATAGATTTCTATAGATTTTAGTTTGTTAAGGCTCTTTCATATTCTCTCTACTGACTCACTAAGATTCACAAATCAGGATTGCCCCTTCGACCTATTGTCAGTTCAATTGGTTCTCCAACATACCCTCTAACAAAATGTCTATATTAAAGCCCTTTACATTCGTACTTAATTCGTTTCATTTCATAGAACAATCTCAAAATCATTACATTTGATCCCATCGGTTATGAACTCTCTTGATTTCAAAGCCGTAAACATCTGATCCCGAGTAACCAGAACCCAGAACCAAAACAAAATTCCGTTTGAGATATCAGGAGTTACATGAATGTGCGGCAAAGAATATATTGAAGAGACCACACGAAAAATATCAACTAGGCTGAAACAACATGAATGAGCCTTAAGACTACGACAAAAGATGATTGGCGAAACGTCAGCAAGTTCGATTCATCAACACCCGATGCCCGAAGTTTTGTAAACATGTGTTTGTAAATAGTGCCTGATCTGTGCAATCATATAGTACCGAAAAATCTCTCCCCCTTCACTAAGTTGTTCAAATTCATTCCGCTTGCAGATGTTAGTATCGTAACGGAATAACTTCCAAGATTATTTATACATTTTCCGTTATTCATTCCCGTAATAATGCTAATTTGTCATAATCGCAGCTACCCACATAAATAATTTAGCGAAAAGCCTTTTCAAAAATCATTTCTTGAAAGGGGCAGCGGATCTATTTATCTATTTGAAAAAGCTTTAATTTATCAGCAAATTGTCAAAATTTATCGCGCCTAAACGTATGTCAATAACTTACACTCTTACGTGCACGCCGAAAACTGTCGTAGCATGTAGTTTAATAATAAAAAAAGACACTCACCCACAGCTTGAGGGGCAGCTTTAGCCATGGCGCATCGCTTCGAGTATCTGAAACAGGTATCTGTTGTTTGACTCCCTATCGCGCTTAATTGCATCAATTAGTTGCTGGGGCCATTATATCTTATCTCGATAAATAAAATCATACACTGATACAAGCATACGGGGAAAAACGGTAAATTATATTTAACTTATTGTCTGTACAGTACTTCCTATTTTATTTGAAATTTGTATCTTACTGCTGAGTTAGAAATAACTAAACTAACCAAAACTAGAATCCTGAGTTCGACTGACGAGTATCCAGGCTAGTAGTTCCATGTATAGGCGATGTATAGGGTATCAAGACTTACAGCAAACTACCGTTTCAATTCACATATGTTCATATACTTTCAAAATGAAAGTAGTTTTCTAACTATATCTAATTATTTTGAGACATTTGTAAGTGGAAAATCGTGTATCAGAGATTGACAGCAGTGACAAGTTTAATTTTCTGTCAGAATTTTTCGTGACAACATTGAAAAAAATGCTTTTTGGAAATTTTGTGTAAAACTGTAAATCATTATTTTGTAAACACCCTGTACATCGCAACACTGCACTACAACTGATCAAATTTTCTTGGGTAACTGGCTGGAGAGCTGCCTCCCAAACAGATGCTACTTGTTTTTTTTTCGTTATTGTTTAAAACAAAATATTTCCAAAATTGTTACTCCTAGCGACTTGCAATATGGAAGTTTTTCACTTGAAAATTTAATTATTTAATATTTTCTCCCAAAAATATAATACGGGGTCGTACGAATGCGTCATGAGCCTTTGAAAGGAAGAAAAACCAGTATGGTTCAATACAAGTAAAGGTTAAATTAAGAACAAATTCTAATGTCGTGTCAAAAAACCGCCCGAAATAGACATTACTTACCTAAAATTCATAAACCTAGAAAAACAATGAGACCTATTGTCTCAGATATAGGTTCTCCAACATATAATATTTTAAAGTGGTTGGTTGCAGAACTTGGAAATTTAAAACATCAAAAAGAAAGTTTTTCTGTAAAAAACTCCCAAGAGTTTATTGGTAAAATCAAAGACGTAAGGCTAAATGAACATGAACTTTAGTATCTTTTGATGTCTCCTCAACCAAGTTGGCATCTTCAGGAGAAGATTAAAACTCAGTTTTGTAGTGGAAACCACTGTAATTATCTTAGTATTCTTAGTATACGAGTGGAACCAGATAAAATACTGCTTTTATGACCGACTATGCCATCGCAAATCGTACCGACTATAGCAATATAGTATTTTAACAGTACGAGCGAATCGAAACAATTTTTTGTCTTTACGGACTCCGAGAAACGGTATCGTCAGATAATAAACGGACCACACTGTACAAAAGATTCGACGATCAGCTGTCCCGACAGCTGATCTGGTGCACAACGTAAACATCGCCCCGCACAGACGTCCTATTCTCAATATCGCCGTTTACTTTTCGCTGCTGATCGACACTCTTCAATTTCAAAAAAAAAATCCTCTATTTAAAAACTCAATCTTACCCGCTCTGTGGCCAACAACAGACTCAACTAACTCACCCGACAAACTGGGAAGGTAGTCGTCACTGAACACATTAAAATTTATCAAAATCGAACGGTACTCTAGACTGCAAACATTGGCGGCCAGTCGTAAAAGCAGTTTACTGCGCGTTCACGTGCAAGCTTGCGAAAATCACAATAAAGCGGTACGCCACACACACACACACGCGCGCACAAAAGTAGTTAAGTCTTTAATGTCGTCGTCCCTTTGGCGATAGATTCGAAACACACAGCTTGCGAGCGAAAATCCGAATACAGGTACGGCGTGGAAGCAGTACCGGTACCGAAAGCGTAGATTTCCTAGGCGATCACTTTCGTTTTCCTCTAAAACCGCTAGTCGACCTTCTTCTTGCTGGTCGCGACAAATTGCGACGGTAATTGTATAATTAAAAGCAAGTGGATTAAATGAAGAGCACTGGTGGCGCCTCGAAAGTCGGTTAGACGCGACATTTTCCAACTTCCACACGAACTTCATATCGAAGCGTAGCAATAGATGGAAATGGATACATTACAGAATTTAGAGAAATACGTTTACATTCCTCTAATAGAGATTGTTGCAGTTCATTCAAGCATGTTCAGTTCGACACGCGTCTGAACTTCGGTGTGAGGTTCGACATTTATTTATTTTATTTATTTATAATTTAGGTTGCGAACAATATAAAGTACAAAAAAAAACGCGTCCCCGTTGTGTCTTAGAAAGATAGGTTTACAAATAAATCTAAATTTCAGCACTCATCAGCACAAAGTGAATGCAAAGTGCAATGCAAATGCAACAAGTGCGGTAAGCGGCATTTGACTCACGAGTTTATTTGACACGAGCGGAGCGAGTGTTTAATAAACGAGTGACTTAAAAAGTTTACCGGACGCGTTGCATACTATACTTTTTCTACGACCGTTAGTTTTTGGGTACATTTTCGCAAAACAACACGAATACATTCACTGACATGACCGTCAGAATTGGCAAACGTCAACATTCAAAGCGTGGGAAATGTCCAAAGTGGCTCGGATTCACGGGAAACGAAACTGACGTGGTAAAGTGACGCTTCCCGCACGCTGATCGGTGGGTAATTAGGTATTTTACAGACGGGAGAGAAATTTTTTCTTTACAAAGTTATAAATAACGTGCGAACAAGACGTACGTTTTCTATTGAGCGATTTGGGTCGAATTACTTTTCCAACTCTCCTATAATAAGATGTATTCGGACTTATAATAACTGTGTGTTTCTAAACGGATAGATATAGATATGTTTTATTTAAGCCTTAGTTTATTTAAAGTAAACGTGTATAAAATTCTTTAGCTCGTAGTTATAATTTATTTGCTTCCATTGTAGAGATAAGTTCAAGCTTATATTGAGCGTGCTGTAACTGGGTAACTGCGTTTACCTGTTGAATGGATTGAGAAATATAAATAAAATATGCAAATTTAAGCTGCGAATTTGAATCAATTCATTTTTTAGACCTCATAATAATGATATACACAAAATTACTACATAATTTGGGTTATATTTAAACAACCTACCAAAAGTTTTTCTAAGTACTCACTCCGAAATATTGCATCCAAAAAGAAGTGGTTAGTAGGATATCCTTGTCCTACAAGTTTTGCTTGATATAATGCACTAAGCAAATCCTATTATTTTTTATTCGGTTTAAATAAACTATATGCCGTAAACAAAAATAAAAAAAATTGGAACAATTGATTGATAGCGATTTATTTGAAACAAACAAGAATTAGTTTTTTTGAAACACGTTTTGTCCAAAGGAAAGAAAAAATCTAAAAATATATTTGTTAGGCACAAACGGCACAAAATCGGCTTCCGGGTATACCGACCGAGTAAATTTCAACCAAAGCGCCGGCAAAAAGTAATCAAAACTAACCGAGTCCGTAAAAATAAACGCAACATCACCGAGCCGCGCGTGCATTGACCAGAAATCCTACTTTTAATTATAAACTCGACTGGGAAGCGTCTAGTTGGTTCGTTAAAGCAACCATAATGTTAAAAGTAGATTATATTTTCATGGTCTCGAATTCGGTTGCTTTATAAATAAAAGTGTCAACTTAAAAATCATTACTTCATATTGAATTTGTCTGGATGTTGAGACGACTACTACTTATCATAACGAGAAACAATAATAGTGGTGGTTCTAAAGCAATACATTCGTCACACTCTTAGCAAAGAGTGTCGAAGTTACGTTACTTAAATAATGCAGATGGGAGGAAAATAAATAGATGCGTCTAGTGAAGAAAAATGCAAGCAATAAAATTTATAAATATAGGGTATGGAGCAAAAGGTTATACCACATAGATTTAATATTACAACAAAGTCGGCAACCAGAGAATACCCATACGAAAAGCAACGTGATATGAATATTATTAAATAATAAATAGATAAAAAGAAACAGGGCTAGTTTTTCTTATAATGATAAAGAATAAAAAGGATTTAGAAAGCACACGAAGATGAGGTGATGAAGGAGAACGCAGATTTCATTCACTTTCCATAATTTTGGAGTTATAAGTATTAAACTGATAGAAAAAAATGTTTTGTTGTAGCATAATTAGAATCTAGACTATTACTTTTAAACGCTCTTTCATGTTCGTTAATGCGTTTCTTGAAGGATCTACCTGTTTGTCCAATATAAATTTTAGGACATCGTGTTTGATACATTGGAAAGTTCTGGTTTAAGAAAATTGTTGGTTTTTGTAATATATTCTGTGAGATCGATAGCTATGACTGTCTTCCCTTTTTCTGCACGTGTAAATATTATGTTATTTTCAGAAGCTTTATTTTTGATAGATTTTTTTGAGAAATTTCTTGACGTTTGTTGTTATCTATTAATGGAGAGTTTATTATATTTGCTAATACATGCATCTTTGTTTAAACTAGATTCGTTAATATCCTTATATTCCTTATATTGGACAAACAGGTAGATCCTTCAAGAAACTCATTAACGAACATAAAACAGCGTTTAAAAACAATAGTCTAGATTCTAATTATGCTACATACTTAAACCCAGAAAAACACATTTTTGACGACAATTTTGATAATTTACATACAGCCACAAAAAGTAGAAAATTAAATTTATTGGAAGCCATGGAGATTAACAAACGGAGACATTCAAATGCAATGCTTAACGATCAATTAGATTTAAATTCTCACAACAACATTAATTAAGGTTTTATTTTCATTTTTCTGTATATATATAGTAGCAGGTAGTTTGTAAATATTACATTTGATAAAGACACGGTATTGTCGAAACAATTTTCATGTGAATGTGTATAATTTCGTGAAAATCTGTACTTTTAGTTCTTATTTATTTTAGTACTGTGAAGTTAAACTCCATTTTAAAATGCTAAAGCTTTCTAAAAATGTACCAGATAAGTTTGCTATGTGTGAAATTTAGACGTAAAATTACACCCCTGTTTAAAAAATAATTCTGCCCTTATTTTAAACTAAAAATTGTGTGTGTGAAGAAAGATTCAGACGTTAGAATAATGGAACCAGATGTTCCCAATATCTGAGAATCCAACCTATTTGGAAGAAAATACAACCAGTTTTCCCGAACCTGAAGTAGATAAAAATACCCTTAATGATGTTGGTGATATATGAAGCGTCTCTCAGCAAACACAGTCATTTTCACAGTAAGAATTTGAGGATCTTTCCGAAATTTTTACATCTAATTTAACTCCCGGATTAAACAATATACTCTCACTATAGTCTCATCGATCAAAGAAACATTCTCTTTAGGACTGAGAAAGCAATACGTTAAGATATAGCATGTTTTTAAATAGCAATGTGGAAAGTTTCTCGTGTTTTCTCCCTCTTAAATAAGTCGATCAAGATCAGGACTTTGTGAATACCATGATCCAATCTGAAAAGACACAATAACACGTTTTACCACAAACTCGAAACGAAACTCAATTTTACGTGTTCGACGCGCGTTTCGCCAACCAAGTTGACATCTTCAGGAGAAGATTAAAACGCATTACATTACATTACAGTTTTACACTTTCTATACCCTGGACCGGTGTACAATTAGCTATTATACAGGGAGTAGAAAAAATACATTTCAGCAGACTGATTTCTAGGAGACATTTTTTTCCTGCACTTTTTTCATGTAACTTTCAACGTCCAAATAAATAAAAATAAAATTTGACCCACATAAGACTATAACCCATTGTTTCACGATTTGGTGAGAGTTTCTTGAGTAATCCACAGGTGTATTGACAGAGGCAATTGAAATATTCGGTGAATCTTATGTCATCCATAGCTCCAGATTTTTTGTTTCAGTGTTAAACTCTGTATCAACCTGATTTATTGTCAACGTTAGATGATTTCTGAAATAGTCTGTGTGTGTGTCTTGTGCTCCAAATAGTGTTGCGGATCTATTGGCATTACGCTTAAGTTTAGGAAGATATATCGACCAGACTACGTGATGATTTAAAAATTGTTCGGGGTGTACTGTGTGGTGGTGATGTGCGGAGCGCCCTCTATTGCCAATTGTCGGAGACGAAGTCGGCGAAGCAGCGCGGAGTGGTCAGTTCCTTTTTAGAGGCCGAATTGTGTTGACGTGCTATTTGAATGTTTATTAGATTTTGATCGGCTGGACCAGAGTCGGAACGACCGGTCCATGCAATTTGTACTTTTCTGTTTTTTCACGTTTAGTAATATACTCCGTTAGTGTGTGTATTGTTTTGGAAGTTTCTAAACTCGGTGTGCTTCGTTAGAAACACATCCATCACAACTAGGTAATCTTTATAGCTGCAAATACTTCATTTGCCTGAAAAGAGTAAAGCAGTTGAAGAAATATATGTGACAAAACAGAAGTAAAGTAAGAGATATATGTTGAGAAGAGCAGAGCTCAAATGATTGAGCGTTGGGACAGTCCTTGTGTCACAGGAAGTCCCTGTGCTAGATTTATTATTGTTGTAGACACACTGTTGCGCTCTTCTGTCAAAGTAAGACTTCATTAATATATTGGAGCTATCTTGGAAGCAAATATAATTTAGTATCCAGGAGAATAAGGCAAGACATGCATTGTGCACACATAATTTTGGATAGAGTGGGTAAGATGCGAATTGGTCTTCACTGTAAAATATCAGAGATCGCATTGCAAAAATCCGGAATCATTGTATGTATTACGAATCCATTGAAAAAAACGAAATTTCGGAATTTTAATCTTACCCGTTTCAATATAGTCCGAAAAATAAAATGATCTAATGACAAACAAAACATTGTCCTAAACCCGCGTGGGTATCAAGCAAAGGAACAACATCATCCCAAGCAAAAACAAAAGGCCCGCTCCCGCCAAAAGCAAAAATATCCCCATCGTAAGGAGAATGTTTTCGTAAAACTTTCCGAATCTCTTCTTGCAGCCATCTTTAAACGCCTGCTTCCGAGTGCAGTGCGTTACTGGCTCCTGGCAGCAGCCAGAGATCAACCGATCAGATTCTGAGTTGAGACGAACTTCGGCGTCTTGAGGCCCTTCGATTCCGCAGCACTCGAAGTGTTTCCCGAGAGCAATCGCCACAAGCAACGCTTCCGGTTCTCGCCGCGCTTTCAAATAAACGTCGGCCAAAAAATTCCTAGTGTCTTGCTTGTTGGTTCTGACGGCTCTGTCCAATACGAACGAGGAGAACAATAAGTTCAGGCAGCAGTCGGCGGCGAGTAGCGCGATGTATAACGTGGTCGTCCATTTTAGATTGAGTTTGATGATGAAGCAACCGGACGCGCATACGGCCAACAAAATCATTCCTGATACCAAGCAAAACGGGTATCCGTAGATGTCGCTGATGCTGCTGATAATGAATTTTCCTACGAGACCCAGTGCAATGAGCACGATGGCAATGACCGCCAGCATTATCTTCGCCAAAGTGAACGCCAACTTTACCGGGAAACAGAGGCACATTTTGGGAAATTTTTGACCGATATGAATTTGACAAATGACAAAATAATCGTCGATGTAGAGCGAAACGCGGGGGCAAAAGTTGTTTCGATTTAAAACTATTACACTGAGGAAATTATCATATCAGAAAAAGTTCTTTGAAAATTATTCTAACCTCGTGCAAAATTAGTATTTTTAGTTGTTTAATTAAAATGGTTAATACCTATACAAAATTCTCACCAAATGAGAGGCCCTTTTTTCTGAATGGATGATATGTACTTCCAGCTAGATCGTTCAATCGTTAACCTGTGCCTCCAAGGTCCTCTGATGTTACTAGATATTTATTTTTGGGGAGTGATCAAAAATAAAGTTTATAAAATTTAGGTTCTCAAATCGAGATTAACTTTATGCCAGAATAAGACAATAAGTTAGTATCCTAGAGCTTAGACGAATATCCAGACAGAATCTTAAAAGAACAGAAAAATGTATTTGAATAAACACAGGAGTAGTAGAGCGAGATGACATTTGATAAATTGTCATTTGTACAATAAAAATTATTGTTTTAATTATTGTCTAAAACTAAAACCAAAAATGAGAATTTATTTGTGGCGTTAAAATAATTTTTTGAGAAACTTTTTCAAATTTGTTTTTCGCGTTTAAAATTTAAATTTCGGTTGAGTATCTTAAAAAATGCATAAAACCTGTAGGACAGTGCAAAACAAATCTGTATTTATAACAAAAATATAGAAGTGTCTTATTACTAACTAACTAACCAAAACTAATGCAAGTTGCCAATAAAAAGAAATACTAAAACATTTTATGCAGTTGATATTTGACACACCCTGTCAGATTCCATTGACAGGTCCGTGGAAACCTCTCCGCGTGTTTAGACTCCTTAGACTTGTTGAACTCCTCAAAATTACTCAACAGATCCTGCTAATAAGTGAACAGGTTAGTCGCAGTGGAACTACCCTCAGAAAACCCATGCCGATATTTTTACAATGCCAAGAAAAATATCAACAGAATAGCTTATCAAAAAGTTTGCGAATAACAGATTGTGTACATATACCTCTATAATTCCTCTATCTCTCTCTCTCTCTAACATTGGAACCGATGCAATTCAATGAATTACCGATAAATAACTGATTCTGCAGTAATCAGCGAAAACACCAGACTATAGATCAGCATTGAAAATCTGGTGGAGGAGTCTGCTCAGCCATAGTCATGTTTTTGTATGTGGATGAAAACTGTTCCGTCTTTAAAATACGTAATTTTATTTGCCATTTATCATAAGCCGAAAATGTATGACGACATTTTTGACTTACCTAATACAATAATTTTAGATGTGAGGGTTTTGGTTAGTTTTGAAATGGTTTAATCCTACTGCTCTAATAACAAAATTAATTTTGTTGTAGCCACCAAAACTTTACTCTAAACCATGGTCGGTTTCAGGCAAAGCGTCAACATCATCCGGAACAAAATGAAAACGCCCATTCCCGCGAAAAGCAAAAATATTCCCATCATAAGCAGAACGTCTTTGTAAAATTTTCCGAATCTCTTCTTGCAACCATCCTTGAACGCCTGCTTTCGAGTACACCGCCTTTCCCGCTCTTTGCAACATCCAGAAATCAACAGTTCATTGTCAGAGTTAAGACGAACTACCGCGTCTTGAGCTCCTTCAATTCCGCAACACTCAAAGTGTTTCCCGAGTGCAATCGCCACAAGCAACGCTTCCGGTTCTCGCCGCGCTTTCAAATAAACGTCTGCCAAAAAATTCCTAGTGTCTTGCGTGTTGGTTCTGACGGCTCTGTCCAACACGAACGAGGAGAACAATAAGTTCAGGCAGCAGTCGGCTGCGAGTAGTGCGATGTACAACGTCGTCATCAATTTTACATTGATCTTAATGAAAAAGCAACCTAATGCACATAGGATCAGCAATAGTGATCCAGATATCAAACAATACGTGTAACCGTAGATGGCACTAATACCGCTGATGACGAATTTTCCTACTAGACCCAATGCTATGAGTACGCAGGAGTTGATCACCAGTACTAGTTTCACCAAAGGAATCACCGCCTTTACTGGGAAACAGAAGCACATTTTTGGGAACTTGACGAGAAGCTGACACTGACACATAACCCGAGGTTCTCCACAAACTTTCCGGGTGATGCATCCGGAACATGGGAAATTCCGTGTAAATTTGTAGGTGTGCCCTCTACATTTAATATCAAAGTTGTACTCTACATTTAATATCAAAGTTGTAATATAATTTTTTGAAAAGAGCGGTATGAGCTCATGTACCGAGTGTGAATAAATATAAGAGAAAAATAATGAAACTACAGTACAAAACACAAGAAAGCTAGTAATTTTAAAGAATTAATGTCCCTCCAGACTTCCAATGATTCCCGGAACCTGCGTAATAGTGCTTGATGGTGAAATCATCTGGATTTAACTCAAAGCTATCAATATGACATTGATATATTGGACTCGACACCAATGACCCATATTCTAATTTAGAGTTCCAATATTTGAGGTATTGTTGAAGTGTCAGCAAGTTCTTATTGCAAAACCCAACGCTCCTGACGCCGGTAATACTAATTGCTCAATATGAGGTATAGAAATAAGTCTCGAATCGAAGACAATCCCCGTGTCTTTAACTTCACTCAATCGATACAGTACAGTTCCATTTATTACCTAATTGAGTAAATGCATGATCAGCTTTTTGAAGCAAGTACAATATAAGCAATTAAACCTATTCTATTAGCCATTCCCATATGACATTAATGTCATTCTGACGCAGCAAGTAATCTTCGCTAGAATTAATTAGATTTTTAAATTATTAGCTACTAGGGAACTAAAACGCACGTATTGAATAAGATTGCTTTCGAAAAATCGTCACTGGCCAGCCAACTTCGTAGCGCGTGGCGCGAAGCATCTCCGTCCTGCGGACCACTACGGAACTTTCGCAAAATCGATTTAATTTAATTGTGCATGCACCCTGCATAAAATGTCCTTCCCATCTCGTCGCACTTCAAAGTTACAGCACACATCGGCAAATATTAAAATTTACCCAAATAATAGCGTAAACGAATGATATTTTTACAAATATCTCGCGCCCCGTATAATTGACGAAACCTAAAACTCTCTCACGACACTGTTTAAATAAAATTATCCAATTTTTAACGGTTTTTCATTTATCGCCAATAATTTACTCATATAAACGACACACTCTGTATATGATACAATCATTGTTCGAAGTAGAAGTTATAGCGCTGTTTTTTGACTGTTTCCTAGTTCAAGAATTTTTTGAAAATAGTAAATGGTTTTCGAGAAAATAAGTTTTTTCTGAAAACGCCGTAATAATCAATGACGTCATCGCGTCTTAGCCCCGGAAATAACGATGCAATATTGATTTTCTCAAATGTGATACACGGAAACGAAAAACGCAAATACAAAAATTGAACCAATTAGCCATATTTTTTTACGATTTTTGATTTGCGGCTAATAATTTACTCTGCAAAAGAACAATTTTCTAGGTCTTTTAGATTTTTGCCCATAATTTGGAAACCCTGTATATAATCGAAAAAATATATGTTATTGCGCTAGATCTTCTGCGTCCGCCAGTTAGAGAATTTTGCCAATCGGATGAACGATTATGGAAAAAAACATATTTTTCAGGAAGCGAAAATTACCATCTTTAATACAAAAGTTTTTGCTGTCTATACAGACAATTTCGCAATATAAGAGTGAGTGAGATCTGAATCACAGTCTTCCTGTTACAACCAATTTTCAATTTGCGTCACACCCTGTATATTTTTGAAAAATTGCCGAGAATAAAAGTTTATAGAGTCGTATCTTCTGCTTCTTCCGGTTCAAGAATTTTTTGCAGTTTTTGAAAAATGATGTTTTTTGTGGACCTGTGCACACGCGATTTTTTAGTTTTTTAGAATACTTACCGACCCCTCCCCAGAACTTATAAGCTTATGTGCCTCGTCGACGGTTAAAAAGGAGGCAAATATCAATTTTGTAGCTCCAACGGTTCGAAAGTTATTTAGGAAAAACCAAAAGACAGGAACGCAGAACGGAGAACGAACTTTTAGTTCTTATTCATTTAGTTTTCTAATTGGTTAGAAAGAATTCATATCATATAGTGTACTGTATCATAACAGAGTCCTGTTGGATTAGTTTTCTCATGGACACTTAATATTATAGCAATGGACTGAAAGAAGGGCAAATGTATCAAAAAGTATTTAAAAATATTAATAAAAGTTGTAGGTTTTCCTAACATATTTAAAAAAATGGTAATGTATATTGTGTGCTGTTCAAGAAAATCAATACATTTTAATTTAAAGTTTTTTGAACACCCTGTAACATCTAAATCGATTTCCGCTGCATATATCTTTTACGTCGTCTTCGCATAACGCTAGTATCAAATATGAGTTATGCACCTTTAAAAGTAAGAGTGTGAAAACTAGTATTTTTTTAAACCACTTAAAATATTGGAAACACCATTATTTAAAAAAAAAGTTGAAGATTTGCAAAAAAATATAAATATATAAAATATATATTTTACACATTGATGGGCGGATAGCTACGAGCATTGCCTTGATTATTATAAGCTGAGAAAGGTGAGTGAGAAACTAGTCGTTGTGTTTATAGTAAGGCGGAGCTAAAGGTTTGCTAAATGTTCGGGTTCACGATTGTGTTCGACAATTGCCGATGGGTTTATTTCTCATTGTTTTAAGGCTCTTCCTCCAATGTATTTTTTGCCGCATATGGTGTCCAAAACGGAATTTTGACTTTGATGGATCGAAGATACTGAGACACTTTTGGACAAATAGTATATCTGGTTTTAGAATTACATTTCCTTAGAAGTTTTGATACGTGGTCATTGAGGTTTCGAATGCAAGTAAGGACAACAATGACAAGTGGGGTCTTTAGGAGGTTATGATGAGAAATTTTTTGAGAAGTAGTAAATTTGGTTTTAACATTATGTTACGCAGGAAGAATACCGAAAATTAACAAAAAATTAGAATTATTTACGTGATATTAATGCTTGAGTGAAGCTATAATTTTAAAGGTAACTGTAATAAATAGGTGATATATAAAATACGCGCGATATAGTTTTATATCGTTTATTATATTGATTCATCAGACTTTGGTACTATAACTATAGCTCCCCCCGTGTTTTTTCAAGACTGGGAAGCCGATACAGTAGTGGCACGTTACAAGTAATAAATGGCGAGGATAACGGAGATGATAACTGCAAACACATTCGTTGCTAAAGATCGGCCACTGGATTCGCTTGGAACTGCGCAATCGTCAGCGAGGGATCTCGCCTCAATGATGCACTTGTACCAATAGTACGAACTCTTGGGCGTCCTTGTCCTGTTTTCGGATTTGAAATCAACGGACACCATTCCAAACTTCGATCTAGAATCAAAGCGTTTTCATGTATCGACAATTAACATATTTTTTTAATGATTTTTTTAGCTTAATTAAATACAAGACTATATAGAGGCTGATCTAAATTAAGTATTCATCATTGGTAACTTTGTTATGAAATCACCCACAGACAAAGCTCATGGCTATGAGAGGGTGCGAAATAAAAAAAAGAAAATGAAAGAAAAACAGAAAACCTGAACCTAATTAAGACGAAAAACATTTGATAATAAATGAAGACGTGAAAATTGGTGTTATTATTATTGTTACATACTCTCCAATGAAACAAATAAAACGCCATCTAGTCTAAAAGACAAATTTTGGGCTAATATTGAAAATGACCTTTTTTGTTTTGTTGGAGTAAAAAGTATACATTTAAAAAGAGCACATTTTCAGAGCTTCTACTTAGACCCTAAACTCAATTGTTTTTCTGTTGAAAATGCTACTATTTTGCTGATTTAACCGACTTTGTATCTGTATTCATAATAATGAACAGTTAATTTAAATCAGCCGGTATAATTTACTCAATATGCGTCACTGACGTCGCAAAAAGCATCTTGTCATCACTACTTGTTATAGTATAAAAAAGTTTGAGGTTACGAATAGAAACAAGTGTACTCATAAATGATATACGGGGTGTTCTATTTAAGAAATATAACATGGGCATATATGTCACATAACCTAAGATTTGTCTTATAGAACTTGGACAAAAACTATATACCTATAAAAGCAAAAAAAAAATGTTATATTCCCATAAATAAAGACCTGAGTCGCGGTCAAGATATAGTTTTATCGAATAAAATTTTATGTCTGGTTTTTTGCTTTCATGTAGTTTAAGGAATGGCGATGTGCAGTGGTAAAACATATTTCAGAGTGTACAGAGTTTAAATGGCTAAGAAAATATCGTAGGGATTCTTGACCATCAGGCCAAATAACAAGAGTATCATCAACGTAGCATTTCCATAATTCTGGTTTTAGATGGAAAGTGTCGAGAGCTTTTTTCTCACAGGCACGATGACTGGTCATAATGGAGAACCCATAGCTGTTCCCGACTTTTGTTCAAAAATTCGACCGTTATAAGAAAAATATGTTCCAGACTATCATTTTTCAATTAACTTAATTTGATTAGTTTCCAAATTCTTGGATTTTTATATGTATGAAACATTGTTGAAAATTTCAGGAATAGGAAATAGGAATAGAAATAGAAATAGGTTCCGATTTGGTCGTTTTCCCGAAACGTCAGGAAGTTCGATTCACTAATAACCAACGCAGAGGAATCCAAAAGTTTTGTAAAAAGTATTACAGTAGCCGGGGGAAGTTTTTTTGAAAAGAAAAGGTGTAGCGTATCACCATCTCGATCATATCGAGATAAATTGAACGTAGGTAGGAAATTACTTACGTGTAACCGAAACTCCATTCGAAGTTGTCCATCAAGCTCCAATGAGTGTACCCGACAACGTTTACGTTGTCCTCATAAATAGCATCCAAAACACTACTCAGGTATCCCTATAAAATAATACCAATAATAGTAATAACACATTTTTCTTTCATATTTATGTATTTAATAACTTTGAAACTATAGAGGGTATTTAAAAATTATATACAAGAGCCACTGGTAGTTCTATTAGCCTTGTAGGGCCAGTAGATGGCGCCGGTGAATCATGGCGAGCTCCAGCTGAATCAGAGATTAGGGCCCGTTAGAGAAAAAGAAGTGTGCTCACATATCTCTCTTTTTGTTTTCTTTCGCTGGTTAGATTCAGATGTTTCAAATCAAATAACATCGGGTTCCTATTATTATTACTAATTTGAAGAAACTAACTCACCTCAGTGTACTCTATCCTGTCAGGATCGTCCAAACTGCTGCCGTCGTCTGCCCAGCCATTTTCCGTAATAAAAATCTCCGGATGTCCGTAGTTCTGATCCACCCAATTGATCATTTTTCTCAGACCCCACGGCACCATGTGGTTCCAAGTCGAAACTTGTGCTTCTTTCCAACTGGAATTGTAGCTAGTTGTGATTCCCTTATCTAATGTGTAGCTGGAGTTCACGCCGATCATGTCGTCTTCGTAAGCGTAGCTCACCAGATCGGTGGTGTAACTGAAACGATGGTAACGTATGGGTGACGATTACACCAGTTGGTAGAAATCTTAGAGACGTCAAAGCAAAATAGCATAAAATGAAATAGAACCCTCCAAATAATAGTAATATCAATATTTTGTGGAGGTATGACCTTGGAGTATACACCGCCTAAAGGTACGCTCGTTTATGGGCGCCAGGTTATAGTATAGCGACATTTTGTATTTCGTTTGGCTTGTGTTATTGTTTTAGCATGTTTGTAGTATTTTTACACTCCAATTCTTGTTGTGCAACAAGCAACAAACCTCCACCAATTTCTACTCACTCTAGCTATTCCTATCCGTATATAGTTCCCGCTTAAATCGCCTCTTGTAATTGTTGAAACAAAAGGATTTTATAAATGAGTTCCGGAATCTGTAGACATAATTAAAGCACTTACATCTGCTCTTCTCTCTAATAATTTCCATATTAGAGATATTAAGCGTTCCATCACATTGTACACTTCACCTTTTATTTAGTCTGAGGGTGCGAATATCTTGTGAAAGTCAGAGACAGGATCTGTTCGATCTAATTTTACCACCAAATGTTAGTTGAAGAATCATGAATTCGAAAAAGTGAGGTAATTTATTTATCGGGGATAACAAAAGCTGATCATGGAAGAGAAGAAAATGACATACAGGAGATAATAGCTAAGGGTGTAAAATGGGTGGACTGTCTCACCTACTGAAATCAAAAAATATCTCAAAATAGTTATTATAAAGATAATTTATAGAACAATAATAAGGCCCGTAGTTAGACGTGGACTAAATTCAAAAGAGCGGCAATACCCGAAAGAAAACTTCCGGAAAGAAAGTGAACGAAGTATGGGAATGAAAAACAACTATACGATTAACCATCTATGACCCATATAGTGAGAGGTGGTTAGGGCATATAATGAAATTGGATGATACCAAACCAACGAAACAAACTTTGACAAGAGGAATTGTTGGAAAAAGTAGGAGCGGCAGACCCAGGATTAGCTGGGTGCATATAGAAAAGAATGACTTAGAGGAACTAGGAAAAGAGGACTGACGGAGACAAGTCATGGATAGGAAGAAAGCTGTTCCAGAGGTTGACGAATTAGAGACCAGAAAAATTTTGTTCTCCACCGCCAAGTTAAGTTCACGGTTCTATCGCAGTTATAAATTTATAGTGGACCTAGTCATAGCTACTATTGTCTTCTTCTAATGTCCTGTAGTTCTGTAAAGCCATAAATCACTCGTAACTATAAATATCCTTAGTTATAAAATTTTGCACTACTGCCTCCCAAGTACCTCTTCAAAAGGCATCATCCTGTTGGCTTTTTCAGAGCTTAACAGAAACTGGCTACCATTCTACTCTGTAACTGCTAAAATATCTATATCTCAAATATCGTCAATTAAGTGAAGGTGTAAAGCTTATGCAAAAATTGGACTGTAATATGTTTTATTATAGGTTTCATCCTAAACGGGAATTATACTGTTGAAATTTGCATTTTTTATAGAAAAATAGAAATAGAAAAAATTACGTCCGCCTGTCCTGAAAGGATATTTACCTCGTTATCTGAAAGAAGAGAGTCATAATCACAATGTTTGTTTTGTACGTCTTCCATACGTTCAATGTATATTTGATATTGCGGGCTATAGAGCGTTAGTCTGAAGCGAAAACTTTTGACTGTCTGACAAGGCAACGCAGGTTAAGCCCGGCTTGGATTCTCAGATAGTTAGCTAAACAGTGAACCATCAAACCGGCTTTAAAATCATCTGCGACGAAAAGCATTCCACAATAAGTGAAAGAGTTTTTTATTTTATTAATGTATATGTTGGAAAATATAGGTATGATATTGAAGTTTGCGGCAGGTAATCTTCATTAGATGGCATTCATTTCCATGTCATATAACTTTTCATTTCTTTTTGCCCTTTTTTCTTACGAACTCTACAATCTCAGAAGTTATCCAAGTGTTGACTACAATAATAAATAAATAATATAATAATAATAAATTTTTTGCCCAAATCTTATTGGCCATTTTAATGAAACTCGTGAAAATTGAAAATTGACAAATGAAAGACTGCTCATCGAAAATATGAGGCTTTGGTGCACTCACTGATTCAAACAGAAGAAATCTGAGGTGCCTTTGATGTACTTGATCTCCTCCTCAGTGAATTCCGGCAATCGGGATTTCGAATAACCTTCCAGCTTGCTCCTGTTCGCGACTCTGTCTATCATGAGTTGGGGCCAATTTCCCACGTAGATCGGGTTCGCATAGATTCCCATCTACCAAAAAAAAATATTGCAATTAAAATTTGGCAATCCGTCTCTGTCGCACGATCAAGCAGCATGCTTACCCCAAATTGCAGGCCTAGCTCTTGAGCTTTCATGTCATCGGCACTGTCGGTCGCCGGCTCGTTCCAATTAACGACAAGAACGATAGATACTTTGCCTGGAATAAAAAAATTGTTGAGCATTTTTCAAAGAAACTAAACTCCTGAATTGAAGATGTTGAAAGATTTGGGGATAAGTGATAAATCTGGTTTTGATGTTATATTTCTTAAGAACTGTTGATATGTTGTCAGTGACGTTTCGAATGTAAGGAAGGCCCACAGTGACAACAGTGGGGATGTGGTGAAGTGTATTTCGTGATGGCACGCTTAATATCTCTAATGTGGAAATTATTACAGTGAGGAACGTGTAAGCAAGATAAGTTGTTAAACGATGATTTTTGGTTAATTGGAATGACCCAATGTTAGGTTTGATTTTCTATTAATAAGATAGATAGATAGATACCCTTAACATACGACGCAGAATTTAAGTAGTTCCGATTCTGCAGAATCCGATGACCTTCCTACAGAATAGCAGTACCAAGTCGGAAATAACTAAATTAAGCCGCAGCTTTTGTTGCCTGTAGTGAATTTCAATATTTTTCATTTTTTCATTCAGATTGTGCTTATTTATAAGTTATTTGTTCTGGCTTTTGTAGGATATACGAGACTACTCAGACTATTCGACACTATTGGAGTAGAAAATTTCTATTTCAGTCAGAGTAGAAATCGCTTTGAACTTTCATAATACTAATGGCTGTCCACCTGGAGATCGTATCTCCTTGAGAGACTAATACAGATGTCTCAAGAAATCTTTACTCCAGGAAGCACTTTGTGCAGCGATTCCTAAAGTCCCATAAATATGATGTTAAGATATTCAAATTGTATAGTGCCAAAGGGTACCCATCTACCATCTACTCCGGTGAGGAGAAAAACGCTGGTCCGAGCATGCCCATTAAAATTGTTATGTGTCTGTCAGAAATTAGACTGTGGAAGAACTGGCAACTATTATGCAAGTTTAGATGTGGCTAATAAGTTATTGGATAGCAGAACGCATCTTTTGGGAACACTTCCAATGAATAGAAACGAAAACCAAAGGAAGTTACTCCAAAAAAATGAAAGAAGGGGGACAGAGTTTGTAAATAAGACAACATGGATGCTTTGCTTTTGTCAACCAAACACGCAGATACAATGACCCAGTTGCAAACCAGAAATGAAATCGTACACACCTAAGGCCATTATAGATTAGAATAAAGTTTAGAGTTCGATTGATCTTTCAGATCAAATGGCTAGCTATAACTCAGCACTACGCAAGTCGCAAACAGTAATTGAGTCCAACCATGATTAATGCACACTATCTGTATAAAAAACTAAATGGGTCGAAAATTTCTATCATCGATTTCCGAAAACAAGTATATCAACAAATGATGGAAAGATGGAAAAAGAAGGACGTTCACATATATTGCTGAAAAATTATTGTTTAAATATTGTATAAACTAAATATTTAATTTTCATTTATTTGGATATTACTTGCTGAGCATAAAGTTTTATATTGAATACAATATTCCTTAATATAAAATATATACTAGATGTCCACAACAATGTACACCATCCATAAAAAAAAAGTTTTCAATTAGAAAACTGAAAAATTCTTATTGTTAGAGTATGGCTGTTAACGTGTTAAGTGCCTAGAAAAATCTCGCAGGCATTTTTGGGAGTGGCTTCAAATAACAACAGTATCTCCGGAATACTCAGATTGATGGTGGACCGCCAGAGAGTGAAAGACAAGGATGAAGATAAATACAAAGAAATTCAAAGAACCATGCGAAAAGAAAGACAAGACAAAATGCTTAGAAAGAGATCTTAAAAAAAAAACATGATAGCTTCAACATGCATCGTAGGGCCAAAGCAGTATGGTGAGACATTTGGAAGAAAGAAATATATTTGAACTCTATTCCAGGATGAGAGTACTGACGTCTCAATAATCAACGCCAAACGCGGACGAAGTGTGTAAGACACTTAAACAAGCTTTAGGGCCAGATGACGTCCATGCAGAATTCCTGAAACTTACAAACCATTCTAAGACTAGTTAAGTGCTATGTCTGGTCTGTGCTCTTGTATGGTGCCGAATCCAGGACCTTGGCGGAAATATCCAGAAAGAAACTTGCAGCCTTTGCAGACGAATTCTTAGAATTTCCTAGATTGATCACGTTTCCAAGAAGACAGTTTTGGAAATGCTTCAGAAATACACCGAATATAATGAGAAACCAAAAGAGATGGCCTGCTTCAGTTGAGACTCCAAGGAAAGATCTTGAGAAGAGGATCTGGAAGATGTAGAATCTCCTGGTTGAAAAGCCTTAGAACTTAGTTTTCCCTGTCAACATGATGATTATTCACAGCAGCAGTTATCAAACTTCAGATCGCTTTGCTTGCCGCCAACATCCGGAACGGATAGGCACACCAAGAACTTTGGTTTTAATTGGAAGGTGTTGAGGACTTTCTTCTCAACTTCCATAACAATATTTGCGATGACCGGTGATGATGGCTGTTCCCGATATATCGTCATAAATTCGTCCCAGTCACGTTTTCATTCAGATGAGGAGGTTGAGTTCCAGATCCTCGGATTTCAATATCTCGCGGAATACGGACTTTAATAAAAAGGGAATCTAAGTCGAAACTAACGAGAATATCGTTTGGATGTCATGAAACGGTTTTTAATTGTTCAATAAAGTGAAAGCAATTAAATACGAATCTGTCACATTTTCGTGATTTGTGAGCCTTATGGAGTTCTGCAGTGGATTCTAATGGACAAACAGCTTCAATAGTTTTTATGGTCATGTAGGTCACTAACCCAGATTTTAAACACCTAACATCTGGTCTTCTCTGTAATAATTTTCACATTAGAGATAATAAGCGTGCCATCACAAAACACACTTCCACAGACAATGAGTTCAGAAGCAACCCAGCAGTTGCCACTGTGGTGGAGGAGCATAAAGCAGCCCTAAAACTACGACAAATAAACTCCAGAAGTTTTGTAAATAGTACTTTCGGCTTGTTTAAACGGTATTAATTTAGCTAATAATATTTGCAATCCTCGCGCATACCCACCGTTTTGTTTGTCCCTAAACTGTTCGTCGTAGATGTGGTAAGCTTTCGCGTGGGCCTTCAAAATGGTTGCGCTGCACAAGTACGAGCCCTCCGCCTCGAGGTCGTAACCCGGTGCGAAGTGGGAATACTCGTTGTTAATGTATCCCATCAGGCAAAAGCTTTGAGGTTCGTTAAAGGTGGCCCACATCTTGACGTAGTCGCCGAAAAGCTCGAAAGCTACGGTCGCATAGTCTGCGAAATAGTTAACCATGAGTGGGTTGCTCCAACCCCCCAGGTCTTGCAACGGCTGAGGGATATCCCAGTGGTACAATGTCACCAGAGGTTCGATGCCGCTCTCGTTGAGGAGCTGAAAAGATTAAGATAGATTAAAGTAATTTTCTGGTTGCTTCTAGGTTTCTGCTTCACAATAAAGATTATAATTATGTTAAAACTCTATACTACCCCATTATATACCGTATAGTACAAAATAACACACTGTGAAGATCTCGATTATCAAATATAAATTTACGACTTTCATTTTTAAATCTACCAATTGTATTTATCAGTCTTATTTTAAATGTAGGACTATCATACAATGTAGGCCTAAGATGGTGAACATTATTTCTGAAAAATATAACAACAAACTATATAAATGTATACCGATCGAACATCACTAACCTTTTCCATCTAGGGAAGATTTGTTAGAAATGTGGATTCTATGCTGAGCCATATTTAATGCTCTCAATGCAGTGTTGTACAGACCATAAGAAGACTGCAGGGTTACATTTCATTCCAACTTCATTACTGACGAACTGCATTGATAGACGACACGGTACATGTAAAAAATGTAACTCTAGATGCGGTATCACAAAATTTAAACTGATTGTTGCACAAAAGGAGTTGAAAACAATTACAAGTTCAGCTTCATGAATTGGTGTGGGTTCACTGCAAAATATTTTTTAATAAAAATATTGTAAATGAGGCAAGGCATGCTGTAGTAACTGTTTGGAAGGCAGCTCTCCACTCAATCAAGAAAATTGAATCACACAGAAAAAATTATAAAAGAATACTGGGAAGAAGGGAATACACTTGATATAGTGGTATGGTCTGTTCATAGATATAAGAAAGTGACCAATTGCTTTTGAATGGGATTATCCAAGGGTGGTCATTAACATACAACCCAACATGATTATTACCTAAAGTTTCGGAATTTAAATTCAGGTAAAATTGTGGTCCGTAATAAAAAATAGTTTTATACCTATCCGTGTTTAATATTCTTTAGTTTGGTATACTACTTAGTTTAAGTTTATTAGTAATCATTCTATTCTTATTCCGTGTGTAATAGAGCGTGTGTTGTTGTATGTGCGAACCCAGTGTATCTCAAGAGATACTCCCGTCCAAATGTAGAAAACACTATTCCATTGTGACTAAGGAAGTTATAAACAATGGTTATTTGACTCTCATTGGACGTGGTGCCAGCAAACAAGCATCTTTAGAAGAAACAACATCAACTGTATGGAAAATTGTGAATAATCCCATTTCAACGAGGAAAAAAAGAAGCGATGCTGACATTTTCTCGAGTGTAGATGAAAGTGATCAAGATATAATACGGCGTAAAATTGTGTTAACTCTAATATGTGCTTTAATTTTCCGACTTTTTTGTTATTGATTTAATTTTTATTGCATGGACAGAGTTTTAGGATAATAGTTTTACCGACTATATAAAAAAAAGTCGTCAGAACAGCAGAACGAACTTTACCTTCAATAGATTCAGGTAATAATCGACGCCAGCCTGGTTGACGTAATTCGCTGTGCCCTGGGGAAGGATTCGGGACCAAGAAAGGGAGAATCTGTAGACGCTCACTCCCAGTTCCTTCAGAAGTTCGATGTCTTCCTTATATTTGTGATAGGAATCGCAAGCTACGTCGCCGTTACTTTTATCAGCGATGCTGTCCGGGAAATAGTGAGTGTAGTGGTCCCACGTGTTTTCCCCTTTTCCGTCTGCGTCCCAGCCGCCTTCTATTTGGTAAGCCGCAGTTGCGACACCGAATTTGAAGTTTTCGGGGAATGCGTTGTCGTTGAGAGCCGACGCGCTGAAAACGAATTGCAGAAGGATAAGAAGGGTAAGAAGGGTCCATTTTGATAAATTTGATGACGCGTAACGAGAATTACAACAACAAGCAAATAAATTAGAACATTAAATGCTCAGATTTTCGCCGATATTTATTGTTTTGTGACAGCTGTTTCGCCAACACCAAATACAAAACATGAAAATGTTCTGACATCTATACAGACTGGCCTAAATTAAGTGTTAATTATTGGTAACTTTCTTAGGTGTAGAACAAAGAAACTAGTATCATTTTTTCCATTGATTATGATGGTATAATAATAATCATAATAAATTATTTATTTCCTAATATAATTAATTAACATTTGAATTTGCGATAAACAAATCATAATAACATTTGTGATAGAATGCATAAGGAGTATGTTGCAACTTGTGTAAAATTAAAACATCTCAAGTCCAATTGCACTTGTACTGCTAAATAGCTGGTTTAATACCAATGAACTCTTTTTGGATGTCCAAAAAACAAGTGTCCTAATATTCAAATGCCCACAAAACAAAAAAGATCTCTCTGTGAATGTCTGATCGGGCAGGGAGGCCGCTGAAATAAAAAAGCACGCTAAATTTTTAGGACTAGAGCTCGACGAAACCCTCTCTTGGGAAACTCAATGCCAAAACTGTTTTGATTGGAAAGTTCATGATATGCTCACATCTATCCGAGATTACTCTGTGATATTCCCATTTAGGGAAATTCAAGTCATGCGACATTTGTTTTGAATTCCCAAAAAAAGTCCCAAGGTGTATTCCTGGAGTATCGCCGGATAGTCCGTGCAGGCCCATCTTCCCCGAGTTTATAATACTGGCTTTAGCGTGTATATACATATTAGAAATTTGTTTATGGGTATATAAAAATAAAAATACCTTACAAGAAAACGGAGATTTCCACGACTACAATACACCTAACAAAGACTGTTTCCCCATAAAAAAATAGACCAGAATTTTCAAAAAAATATTTTACGAACACCGGTATTTGAGTCTTCAATAGACGGTTCCCAGAGCTAAAGAGCAGTAATAATGTAAACATTTTTAAATCCAAACTAAAGTTTTTCCTCCTAGAAAACTGGTTTTATAATTTAAACGAATATTTTACCTATTAATGGTTGTCATTGTGCTCTGTCATAAATTTTTATTATATAAATTTTTTATGTAATTTTCTGCCCCATATTACACTGATTGTATTCTTAATATGTGGGATAATAAAGATATTATTATTATTATAAGCTTGAGTTGCGGATCTCGTGTTCTGCCTTAAGTGTAATAAGTGATCATTAGATATGAGTGTTTCAGCAAATGAATGATAGTTGCTTTATAGTATAGTCGAATAGTGAATACCCTCCAAAAAAATAAAAAACCGGTGATGTCAGTGAATGTATTCGTGTTGTTTTGCGAAAATGTACCCAAAAACTAATACACAGAAAAATGTTATGCAATATATCAGACAATTTAAATACTACGTGCTATAACCTACAATTAAAATCACATTTATAATTTAAGTTTCCCAGAGAAATTTTGCATTCCTTTCGCATGAACTTTGGTCGTTTTTACAGTTTTTATATTAATATCTTGTACGATTTTCAAACATCCATGTCCCATCAGTACAAACAAAAGAAAACTGAAGGTTAGGACCTGCTTGGATGATTTTCCTTCCAATTACAGTCTTTTTATTTGAATAAACTACTTATTGATCAATTGTAAACTTTGCGTTTGTGTTTGAGCCATTTTTTGATCATAACATCGTTCTACCAACGTTTTCGCCCGACCTACGGATTCAAAGTACTTTTCCTCAAAATTTTCACGTTCACTGCCCTTATCCTCGTTCGGATCTAACAGTTCTAACTCCGATTGAACTTTGTTAAATGCACGTAACGTTTCGCCGATTTGTTCTAGCCGCGAAATTAAATTTGCAATTTTGTCATCCGTGAATTTGCTGAGAAATGTCGAAAAACGAGTGAGCGTTGCTTTGATTTGACCACGTTCATGTATCAAATCTTTAATTTTTAATGTGTTTTGTTGTTCGAAGGCTTGTGATTCGCTCATTTTCGGGTTTTTGTTTACGTTGCTTACACAAACCGACAAATGCTAAGGATGATTGAATTGTTTTTTCATGAAAACCATTAGGTTGAAGGACCATAATGTGTGGGATTCCGATGAGTGACCCGTGCTCTCGTTGCACTCGATTAATCACTACCCAAATTTCTTGATAAACGATTTTATTTTATTGATGAAAATAAATTACATTTTCTAAAGAAAACAAAGGACTAACATTCTTTAAATTAATTACATAGCCCGGTAGATGAATGCTGACTCTAGCACCTTTCGGCGACTTCTTGCCAGAGAGACTCATCCAACTGTTTTTAACTGCGCTCCGTTCGTGTCAAACACACTCGTGAATCAAATGCCGTTTACCGCACTGCGCCTTTGTAGCACTTTGGAAAATGGAGTTTTATTTCGCAACCACTCACAGCGATCTAGAGGAATGTGCTGATAATTCGATTATTTTCAATTATTGGCTACTAATGCATATGATCTATCTAATTTTCGAACATTGGAGTAAAACATATACAGGGTCTTTGGTTTGAAAACAGAACAAGTACAGCTTATCCACATATTAACATTCTATACATTTTTGAAATCAGGAGAAAAGGATTTTTCGTCGTAACGTACAATATATACGGAGTGCTACTGGTTCTCAAGTTTTGAATTAAAAGTTTCTTTCGGTGACATAAAAAAATAACCCCGTAGACAATGCAACTTTTCTAGAGTGTATAGTTAAGTGCTCGAGATAAAATCTTATTGTTATGAAGCAATCGCTATGAGGTGTAATTGCGTGAGAGATAAAAGACGTAAACTGAACTTATTATTTTGGAGCGCACCAATTATCAGATAATTGAAAAAAAAATTACAAATGAGCGAGTTAACATTCCAGATATAGGATTCTAACAATTCTCCCCCCCACACACACCTGCCTACGGGAAAATTATGGACTATTTCTCCAAAAAAAAAGAATATATATTCTGTAGAAATCTTTGGAATTGCTTAATTTTGAATACTCAAGGTCATATACTAAACGCTGCATTTATTGATACAGTATTGCCAAATGTAACAGCATATAATTATTTCGAGCTTAAGGCGCATTAAATAATAATAATAATAAATAATAATTAATTATTATGCCACTAAAGCAATGATTATAATTTTTTTATATCATTTGATAAACATATTACATATTGATGACTGGTATTTTATTCTTTAATAATAATTTAATCGTTTTGGTTGTATTTGTCGGCAATGAAATATTAAAGATTAGACTTCAAGGTTCACGCTCAAGTGTTATTTGCTATGATTTATGCCGCGAGACAAAGCAGAAACAATTTTTACGTGATTTTTTGCTGGGAGTAAAATTGCCGTCCACATATACTTTATAGTATGTTCAATATGAAAACTAGTCTATGATAAAAACTAGTCCATCAATTACACATGACGTCTAACTTCATAAAACTCCTTCTAGTGGCAATAACCAGAACAGAGCGTCTCTCGGTGGTTATTATAACCGCCTAATATAGAAACTAACCAAAACTAATGTTAGGGAACTAGGAGAGCTAGGAGCTGGTACTCAGAACCGACTAGCTGTAAATTTATAGTGCAGGATAGATAGAGATACTGTAGGAATGTTTCAACATGATAAAATGCGCCAAAAGTCTCGGTTATTGTTCCGTTATATAACTCACCTTAGAAGGAAGTTTAGAAACAATAAAAGCGGCAACATGTTTAACGGATCTAAGCACGAAACTTCGTAAAGTGGCAACAAAACGATTGTTTTATACCAGCGGGTATCAAGAAATCGAAAACAGCACTCATCAAACGGTGATAATGTTTACTCGGACTAGATTACTTGAAAACAATATGCGTTATTCAGGTTTCTTATTTTTTGACGGATCCGTAGATGTACACGACATCAACATCACTTTTTGATGTTTCAATTGGCTGGGAGCTAACAGAGCAAAAATTGTACGGCTTTTGGCATTTGTACGTTGTGTCATAAATTGTAAAAAAGGGTGCGACTGGCGTCTTAGTGGATGTCCGATAGATTATTTCTTTCCAATTTTTGAGAGCTGCATTTTTAAAGCATCTTTTTGCCAGTTGTTTGTAAGATATATTACTTTTCATTGTGTGTGTGTACAAAAAAAAATTGCTAAAACAGAAAATTTTAAGTCGTTCAGAAAATCGTCAGAAGGTAAAACTCCAAAGAAAAAATACAAAATCATGGATGTTAATGATGATACTTTGACATCAAAAAATTGAGTGTAACTAAGAGGATTGCAACTTAATTATATCAAAATATTTACCGTTTTTTATGAACTTTTTTTGTATTGGAATGACTGACCCAACATAAACAGGATCATAATAGTTAGCGAATAGAAAATAACTATAAACAAATATATTTTTTTACCAAACAACAACCAATCATCATTACAAGAACAGGTTCGCTAAAATTAATCATATTTAACAAACAAAACAACTGAGAGTATATTGACACATTCATCATCATTATCCACATTAAAGTATTCATTTGCAAAGCTTGCATTCCCAGAACTGGATATATATAAACCATACTATGTGCTTCATCGCGATAACAGATACTTTGATATCAGAAAGGTAACAAGCAACTTAATTACGGCGAACTATTCCTTTTTTTTCTCATGATTCGTTTTGGTACCCAAACGATCATCAACTGAATATTACTCACAGGTTCATATTGAGGCATACTGTTACAACGCCTGCAATTTCCAGGACTAGACTTATAAACCATAATATGTGCTTCTAAAAAGGTGCCAGACAATTTGACATCAAAGAAAGAATGTAACGAAATGGCTTAGACTTACCAAAACTAAGCAAAACTAACCAAATCAAACCAAAATATTCCATGTTTTTTTTATGGTTCATTTTGGTAGATAAATGATCATCAACTAAGGATTGCTGACGCATTCGTTATCACTAGCCATATGAAAGTATTCACTGACAACGCTCATATAGTTTGAATTTCCAGAACTAGATTTATAAACCATAACATGACAGAACTTTGACATCAACAGAAGAATGTAACAAAGCTAAGAAGATGACAATGTAATTATCCCCAAAGATTCTACGTTTCTTGTTCTGATAATTCACTTGTATACCCAAGAAGAATTGCAGAAAATATTTAACGGATACAATCCTTTTCGCTTGAGCAAAGAAAATCCTTATGTCTATTTTCTGAGACTTATTTTTTTTTTAATGAAAATCTGAGAGCGTACGGTTATATAAATATTTATTATTATTTATTATTGGCAAGATGTGGCCTGCGAAACTGCATGATTTAACTCGACTAGATTTTTTTTTATGGGGAGATTAAGAGAAAATATATTTAAAAGTAAAATTTTCCAAACCAAAGCAGAATTAAGGTGAAATGTCAACCAAGCGACTGCGGCGGCGCCAGGCAGAGATGACCCTTTATTAATTGAACATTGTAAAAATGAAGATATAAAAGATAAAATTTTGATGCCAACAAAATAAATAATTTTAATCGAAATTTATCTAAATAAACAACCAAAATTAGTGATAAAATTTACGAATAATATTTATGTATTATTAGACATATCGATTTACAGTTGCGACGCAATTCGGAAAAATCCATTTGTGGGAAAACTCCACAGTAGCAAGAGCGTCAAGAAGGTACAAGTACTTAATACGCGGTATATAATTAATATCTTCCTATTATCACTCGTCTACATTGAATAAAACTGTTTTGTCAGAAAACAATTTACCAGAACCTAATAAGAAAATTCAGAATGAAGGGGAAGCTTAATTGAGAGAAGTGACCAGTTCAAAAGAGCATGGTGAAGCGAAATGTTTAGAGACGACAAAAATTACCTCACAAAAGGTTCTGCGCGTGATTCAAAGTAGTAGGGACGAAAGATCGGCAAGGCAAGTAAGATTACTTTACGCTGTATAAACTACGAAAAGTAGTATAGTAGTGCCAGTTCTAAGCCACTTTTGGCGAGAAATTTTCAATTTTCGTGAATTTTCGGGTAGGCGCGTGAAAATTTTGAATCTTCGGATGTGTTCGGGCATGTTCGTGTGTGTTCGGGTGTGTTCGGGTATATTTGGGTGTGTTCGGGTGCAATCGGCTATGTTGAAGAAAATACTATTGATGCTATATCTATTAAGCACCTCTCAACCAACTAGTTTCTCCATACTTATCCTACTAAATCTATTGCCAGTACTTTAACAGTAGTTTAACAGTCGTAAATTCTGACATATCACAATACTCTTCTGGGCGCGGAGTGCTTTTTTAGGTCATCCTCAGAGTAAATAAGAAATTGAATTTATTGTTGTTAAGTCGAAAAAAACGTCGAAATTTACTTGCATCTTGTAATAATGTCCCCAAACTAACATGTTTCTGAAACCCTCTCATCGACGGGTACAGACAATATCATGAGGGCTGCTTCGTAAATTGTAATTGTAAATTGCGGTTGAGTTAGGTGACCCTGGTTGGTGAGAACATAAATGGCCTCTAAAATTGCCTAAAGCAGTAATGGCAGTCGATGGTGGTCTTCATCCCCTGGTTACCAGCAGTGTCATAAACGAATACGTAGCCTTTAATATCTATAAAGAAAAATAGATGTACTTGGTACAAGTGAGTAAAGTATATTAGCGAGTGGCTGAGAGAAATTTTTGAAATACTTGAATGCTACGTACAGGGTGGTCTATTTAAGATGCTCCTCTATCTTTATCTCAATTGGTACGACACTGAGATAAAAAAAGTTAAATACAAAAGTGTTTGCTATGCTATGAATATTTTGTAAAATTCTAATTATTCGCTTGACTTTGACAATTTTTTGTAATTATGTAGTATACAAAATTTCGAATACTTTTTGGGAAAAATAAACTTCACCGTTTTTTGCGAAACAACAGGTCTTTGGAAAATGTATTTTTTTACACTTGAAAACTAAAATTGGGAACTTTTATTATGGATCCATGGAAGTGGTTCATGGAATGCTTTGACCTATCTGCTGCGAAAATACATTATATTATACAGGGTGGTCACGAAATATCACAAGAAAAATGTTTTTTTTAATTTAAAAAAATGTTTTTTTTAATGGAACGCCCTGTATTTAACACTTTTATTGCGTTTAGGTTTTAATTCAGTATCATTTCATACATATTGCTTTTATAACAAAGATTAGTATATAATATGTTATTCTAAGTTTTTTTAACATTAATGACTTATTACTAATTACAATACGTTTTCTAACCCCGGTAAACATGTTTTATGACTTCAATTTAAGCAATAGTATTCTCATTCTAACGTCTTGAACACTATTACATCTATTTTTATACATCTCGTTTTTATATATCGTCCGGCAGATTATCAATTAATCGAAATACATGACTTCGATACTATCAACTTTTATAATAAAAGCTATATTAAATGGTGGAAAGGTTTGATATTAGAAAAAACATTTTTTGAAGGTCATTTGTGGCCCCCCTGTAAAATATATTTTCACCATAGATTAAAGCATTAAATTATGAATCGTTTCCATGGATCCATAATAAAAGTTCCTAATTTTAGTTCTCAATTGCAAAAAATTATATTTTCCAAGGAACTGTTGTTGGGCAAAAAATGGAAAACTTCGTTTTTTCCAAAAAGGATTCGAAACATCGTATACCATATTATCACAAAAAATTCTCAAAATCAAGCGAAAAATATTCATAGCATTCCATTTAAAGAAAATAAAGTTGATTACTGGCCTTGCAAAATGGAACATCCTGTATACATAAAAATATTAAAACAAAAATGTATACTTGGAGTCAAACACTTTTGGTATTTAACTTTTTTTCCTCAGTGTTGTACTTATTGAGATTAGGTATAGGAGCATCTTTAATTGACCACCCTGTACACTCGATTGATACCGCTAGGGTGGATTTCAAAAATACACTGTTCGGAAGAGTTACTCAGGCGTATTAATATTCGTGCATCTCAAAAGATTAGAATAACTATCAGCGAATATGTATATGTATATCTTAGGGAATTTAATATGTATTAGTGATTTTTCATTGTTGGCCATTCAATATCAACTTATGCCTTAAACTTACTTGCTAATGATTTTATTTTTTATAAAAATAACCTACTAAAGAGCCATCAAATGATAATCGATCCGATTTCAAGGCCTATTTTTCTTTCGTTGGCAACTGGTGACTAGGGCGCGCAACAAAAAATCTCTCGATGGTGCATTTAGCTACTCACGGAAATAAAGCTGTTCAAAGACACGGCCTGAAAGTTCCCGATGGTCAACTGTAGCGGCTGCTGACTCCTCTGGATGCAGAAAATGATGTTCCTTCGAAACTTCAACGGATAGCCGAGCCATCCACTTTGGAACCACGCCGTCGCGATGTCTGAGCTCTAATTTGTAAATATGAATGAGAAGAAAGAGATCGAATTTCGCTTATAAAACCTGAATCATCAGTTCGTGGGCATTGCTGTAGTAAATGTACAGCCTTCCGATTAACGTCAAAGTAAATTCGCCGAGGAGGATGCACTGTATCAAACTGAAGTTGCTCTGAGCAAAAGGGATCGTTATTTTTTATACCGAGTCAGCTAATGTGAACTTACGACGAGCTGAAACATGATGGCCGCCAGCTGAATCGAGCTTTGCAGAAAGTCCAGCAACATTATACTCTTAATGGACGCATTAAGTTCTAGTACGTACCTATAAGATTTTAGCATAATATTATTTCAAATTAAATAAATTAGGATCACCCTTTTGTCGATTCAAACTCAACAAAAATTCTGATAAACAAAAAACTACAACAGTTCAGTGAAAACTTGTCGTTTAATTGTTTACCTTTTATATAAAATATTTTGGTAAGTTTTGCATAAAGTTCATGTTCTCTACATTGGATTTAAGTATTTGATGTGTAGTTTTTTTTTATAGAGCCAATAAATATAAAATAGAAGTTTGAAAGTTGTTTTAAAAATAATTTTATGTGATTTTAGGTTACAAAATGCCACGGACTTGTAAAAATTCCTCAGATTGTTTTTGCTACATTTGTGGGGAATATATACTAAAAACACAGCGACATGTCATGACCGATCTGGTTAAAACAGCTTATAAACTATATTTTGGATTTTCTATCGATGAACGAGATAAAAGTCGGTTGCCAAAAGTATGCTACAATAGCTGCTCAAGAACGTTGAGAGGTTGGCTTGAAGAAAGTCACAAATCCATGCCGTTTTCAATGCCAATGATTTGGAGTGAGCCTCAAAATCATGAGAATGATAGTTATTTCTGCATGACATCTACACGAGGATTCTCGAAAAAAAATTGATATAGGATTGTTTATCCGAACGTCCTATCTGCAAAGAGACCAATTCCTCGTGATAAAGACACTCCACCTCCAGTCCCACCAGTTAATGAGGAGGCTGAAAATAAAAATATTCCAGGTCTACAATCTCAATCGAGTTTTCTTTCTCGTAGTACACCTTCATCTTCATACACTTTATCTGGATCTTCATGTCCATCTACAGAACCTCATTTACTTGAACAAGGCGACTTAAATGATCTTGTTAGACACTTGGGACTTCCAAAATCTAAGGCACAGTTACTCGGATCAAGGTTAAAACAGTGGAATCTATTGGCTAAAAGTACCAGAGTTTCACATTTTCGTACGGGGCAAGAAAGTTTTACAAGGTACTTCTCCAAAGAAGATGATTTGGTATATTGTAATGATGCTGCAGGGCTTCTTAAAGAACTAAGTTTTCCAGAAGAATCTAATGAATGGAGACTTTTTATTGATGCTTCAAAAATAAGCTTGAAAGACGTTCATAATGGTAATAAATACCCATCTGTCCCCATTGCACAAGCTACAAGCATGAAAGAAAATTATGCAAGCCTTGAGGTATTACTTGAGAAAATGAAATATTCTCAATACCTATGGAATATTTGTGCTGATTTAAAAGTTGTCGCTATACTGACGGGACTACAAGGAGGATACACAAAATTTTGCTGTTTTCTTTGTGAGCGGGATAGCCGCGCAAGAGACAAACATTACAAAGTAAAAACTTGGCCATCAAGAAAAAGTTTGACTCCTGGACTTAAGTTGGGACTTATAAAAAACTTTGTGAAAGCTATGAATAAAGAAGGTGCAGGTTTTCAATACTTAAAAACAAAATTTCCTCGAATCAGTGACGCGAAATTGAAGGAAGGAATTTTTGTAGGTCCGCAGAAGCGTGAGCTCATGAAGGATGAGGTTTTTGATTCGAAGTTGAGCAAAGCAGAAAAAAAGAGCTTGGGTAGCGTTTGTGGAGGTGTGTCATATCAACAAATCATTCGGGAGCTACTTTCTGCTTATAAAGCTTTAGGATGCAATATATCACTCAAGATCCATTTTTTAGACTCGCATTTAGATTTCTTTCCTGAAAATCTTGGAGCTGTATCAGATGAGCATGGTGAAAGGTTACGTCAGGATATAATGCAAATTGAAAAACGCAAGAATGGGAAATGGTCAGCAGCAATGCTTGCCGATTTCTGTTGGTCAATTCACCGAGAAACTCTAATGGAATCTATGAAGAGGAAGAAAACTACTAAATAATTTGAATTCTATCACTCCATAATGAAAGAACTGACGATATTTATTAGTTTTGTTGATATAATTTAGGATTTTTTAATATAATTTATAATAATTTATACTTTAATAATATTGTTTTTTGATTAAATAAATATTAAATTAAAAACCTACGTGTGGCATTTATTTGTATATCAGATTCCGTGTTTAGAGCATAAAATAAGATGAACTCATGCATGAAAACAAGGAGAGAAAAAACATTTTTTTTTGCAGACCAGTGATATCAACAATCCATATATTTTTGAAATTAGGAGAAAATCTTTCGTCATAACAGAAAATATATAGGGTGTTTAAGAAAGGAAGCATGTCACTGTTTCCCAACCTGCCGATTAGCGTGTGTTTTCTTTTAGAAATTTAACGATAATAGTGCAAAAATTGTAGAACTTTTGAACTGGGTACGCAAATATAAAACATAAACCTGTACGTGTTAATCCAACAATATTCCTGTACTCTGCTTTTCAAATACTGTCGTCATCGACCTCAAAAGCAAGCGCTAGGCCGCTGATTACCTTATAATCTCTTGATGCAGCGCTATGCATTTGATCTGAACATCATTCATCGCCCGATCTATATCGTCCACAGAATCAGCGATGCCTTTTATCGAATGTTTGAGGACGTCGATTTGACATAGGGCGAAAACGATTAAACTGAAACCGAACCACCACGTGAACGTTGCAGAGAAATTATAATGTCTGCGACACTCGTCATACCTAAACATAATCGTGTCAGCCAAAATGAAGTATATGGTAAACAGAAAACAGTTGCAGGAAACCCAAGCGAACGCCTGCGTGTACTCTGTTTCATCGAACGGCGTCCACGTTGATATTGGCAGCTGTTTGATCAGGATGGTCGAGTTATTCCGTACCACAATTTTACCAGCTGAAAAGGCATTTGTAGGCGTGTATAGGATTGCAACTTTTTTATTTAAAAGCGTCTCTTTTCATGCACAAAGGTTTTTTGGTCTACCGTTGTGTATACTTAATTTGTCCAATTCACATTTTTTGTAAATAATGGAGACGAAAAAGTTTTTGTAAAAGTTTAGTAAAATATAGTAGGGTACGATATATCATTGCAAAGAGAAAAAAATTGGAATCTGTTTTTCGAAAAAAACTGATCAACAAAAGACAGTTGTTATGATGATAAATTTTAAAAAATACCGAATAACTAAACACAAATCAACAAAATGTAAAGTTTTCTTGGAACTTGTATATAAAAACTAATAAATATATTGTTAAGGGTTGAATAACATTTTTCGGTAACTTTATAATTTTTTTCCCTTAAGTTAACTTTTTATTTTCGCGCTGTGTATACAACACCCCCACCATACCCAACCTTGGTTAAGCCGCGTGAGCGTCCCCCTTCCCCCAACCCTTTACATATATCATAACTGAATATATGGACCTTAGGAAAAATGTGAAAAAGAAATGTTTTAAAGTGTCATGTCAATTTTCGAAAAATTCAGCCATAGCGGACAAGATTGGCTATCAGAATGTATACTTCTAAAAACAATTTTTGCACAAAATGAACAAATATACATTTATAATATTGAAATGATTACAATTACAATATGTAAACGACCTTTGACAGACATTCTATGTAGGAATCATTGGCGTGCATAAACTTTTTGGCCTACTGTTGTACATACGAAAAAAGGTCATGCAAAACCAGATAATTTCGAGAAAAAAACATGAAAAATTTTTGGATAGACTCTCATATTGATAGAAAAAAACTTCTTCGATTCACATTTTTTGTAAATAATGGTTATGACAACATTTGAATAAAAGAGCTTTTTTTTATTTTATTTACAGTTAATAAAAAAAATGCGATCGCGATATATCATTGCAATTTTGCATTTGCATTGCATTTTACATTTTTAATATCATATTTATTCTTAACTCTGCAATGTAACTCTCAAAATTTTGGAATTTCAAAAAATTCAAATAAAATAAAGAAATGTATATCTTTAATAGTTCTCAAGATACTTTGCTATAGGAAACAACAGATTATGAATTCACTATGAAGGATGGGCCAATTTCGCATATACATCGAAAAATGAGTAGATTGTTCCCAGACTCGATTTTCGAGTTTAAATTCGAAACTCTCATCTTGATACGTCAACTTTTTTGAGGAGTTCGCATAACTTTGTTATTCCCAAATTCCAAATTTATTGAAGAGATACAACTTTTTTTTTTTACTTGATGTGCCATTTCGTTATATTTTTATAAAATTCCCTTTAAAATGACGGACCACGAGTTTAAATATTTACTAAAATTGCTATCGTAAACACTGACAGTGACACTGATAGCAGGGTAAATCCAAATTAATTTTTTAATGTTAAGTTTAAAACACCCTGTAGAAAAAGTACGTCAAAGAACCTTATTCGCACATTTCTAACAGTTCGTTTTTGAAGTGATGGGGCTATCTTGTTTCTTTTACTCTGAAGGCCAGGGTCTGGAAGGAAAAAACCAACCACCTTAGCTAACCGCCATTTCAAATTACTAAAATCCTGAAGAGGTCGACCAGCTACTAGCAGTAGGTACGTACAAACCTAATATTTGCCCTAATTGCCCCAGATATATTGGAGAAGAGTTTATTCTCATGCATGAGATGATGAGTTTTTGGATGAAGTTGAAATTCGTAGGTTAGAATGACCACCATGTAGCCCAAATCTCAATCCAATTCACTGCCCCAGCCGGATTAAAACTTTACCGCAGCACAGGTATCTTTTTAAAAATATTTCAAAAAATTAGGTGAGTTTAGTAGTTAAGTTTTGAAAATCTTAATTTCCAAGGCAACTTAGAACTTACCTCGTAGGAGAGGCGCAGCAACGTAGAAAAAAAATACCAAAGTAAACCCACTCAAGAAGGCTACATTCGTTCTTCTGATCAAACGCACGTTTCGGTCGTATATCGAGTGAAGTCTTGTATCATTACTCGCGTACACTTTCCGTTCGAACTCCAAAATGTCCGTCAAGAATTTCTGACATTTGTGCCCTTAAATCACGAACATGTTCCACATCAATGCTCCCTGCGACTATCGCGCATATACTTCGACCAAAAATATAGTGCTTTTACAAGCGACCCCGTGATTAACTTTGTATACTGTTTATTACTCCAAAACCGCAGGCCCTTATAAAACACCCTACCCTTACCCGTAACCATTCCAGGAACGTCCTAGAAATTTATCTGCCTACGATAACAAGCGGGATATAAGTACGTTTTCAATCTTTTTCGCCGAGCAATTCTTGAAACATATACACGAAAAATTTGTTCCAAGTAACAATTTGTTAAGTTCTATTTCTTTACATTTCTACATAGTATCATTATTAATATATAAAATATTAAATATAATAATAATAAAGTATCAGTCACTTAAAAAATCGTCACTATCACTATCAATGATCAACTCCGTCACTAATCGTTCTCTAAATTTTCGGGTTAAATATACAATGATACGGGGATAAATTCAAGATTTAATGTCCGTTCTGTCGTGCTATGGAATCGATTTTTATTAAAATGTTTTATTTTTAATAATTCCAGAAGTTGTTTTTTCGTGTAGCTCTCTTCAAAATATAAATCATTTGCGTACAGAAATTCTTTAATTTCTTCTTTATTTGAAGAAGTATTTGGAATTTTCCGAATTCGGGCTAAATAATTTCCAACACAATAACAGTATTTGGCGATAGTTTTGGCAACAGCTTATTTTCAAACTAGTCCTGAAATATATCTCCGGTCATGTCTTCATCGTAATCCACACTTGAATCTTTGACGTTTTTTGCAGACAAAAATAAGGCATCTTCCACCCAACCATTTTTGAATCCCGCACGGAGAATTATTATCTATCTATCTAGTACACATATGTTACTGTTATCACACCATCCTTTTTTTACTCTGTCGTGTTAGTCGAACCACGTTTAGTCTAAATACACTAGTGTCCTATTTTGCTCTCGAAATTTTTCAATTGCATCTAAATAATAATTCGAAATTTTTGAAATTTCATTAGCGCCTGACGTTTACCAATTGTTTGCAACTGAAAAAACATTTTCTTTAAGTATGTCAGTACTTTTTTGTGCAGTTCTTCTAGGGTTAAAACACTATTCATTTGTAAAATTGTAAACATTCAAAACAATTTGTTTAGCATCCGAAGACAAATTCTGCGTAGTTTTCCATGTCTTCTCCTCTGCTCTGCTCTGCTTTATTCGGCGGCCTCCACATTTTAAGGTGTCAAAAACCAGGAACCTTCAAAAAAATGTTATATTGTAAGATTCTAATAAATATTTATCTATATTCTTATGACAAGAAGAAGAACTATGTAGAAGAAACAAAAATACAGGAAGAAAAATGCTGTTAATAGACACGCAAGGTCTGTTCATAGATATAGGAAAGTGACCAATTGCTTTTGAATAGGATTATCCAAGGGTGGTCATTAACATAACATCAAGATATAATACAGCGTTAAATTTACCAGTTATAAGAGGAACAAAACTCGCCTACATTAGATATTTATATTAGGAGGCTTGAAAAAGGTGAAACCGGTGTTAAATGTGGCAAAACTACCTTATGCAAGTATATTCAACCCATGGGTTTTAGATTTAACAAAATTGACAAAAGGCAAGTTTTAATGGAATCTATTAGAATTCGGAAATAACGACTGGAATATCTAGAAAAAAATAGGATTTTCCGCGAACAACAAAGGACAATTATTTACTTGGATAAAACCTGGTTCGACACTTATGATAAACCGGAAAAGGGTTGGTTGACTCAACTGATAAGTGTTAAACAAACGCGCCATCAAAAAGAGGTAAAAGAATAACTATTTTACATGCTGGCTATAAAGATGATTGAATTCCAAATCGACTTTCTCTGTCTGCGAAAAATATTAAAGATTCTTCTCTGGATTACGCTGAAGACACCACCGCTGATTTATTTGAAAGTTGGTTTAAAAACAAACTAGTTCCAAACATTCCTGCAAGTAGACAGTAGAATAAAATCCCTTCCTCATGTGACACAAAAGCAACAATCCAAAACTACATGTATAATAACGACATTCATTTTCACGAAGATTATACCAAAAAGCAATTAATTGAGGTCCTACAAAGCTTGAACCTACAAAAGGAATACGTTTGTGATAATTATGGCAAAAGTCTAGGGCAAACAGTTTTAAGGCTTCCACCGTACCGCTGTATATTTAATCCCATTGAACATGTTTGGCACCCACTGTTGGGCAAATTCTGTTAAACATATAGAAAAAGCAAAACAATCGTATATCCATATTGCAAATGATATAGAACAAATAATAATTAGAACAGATGATGATAGCGATAGTGATACTGATATATTATGTGAATAATTTTAAGTAATTTAAGCAGGTAATAAAAATAATTTGTAATTTTATTTTAGATTTAAACATAAGTATATACATAAATAAATAAATATTGTTTAGTATCTTTCCTAACAAAACCCCAAATAATTAAATTCTAAGCAAAGTACGGACCTGTTCGGCCATATTTCATTCTTACAGCTTGCCCGGGTCTTTCCTTAATTCGTATCAATTAGTCAATTTCGTATATCTATGAACAGACGTTACACCAGACAAAAATGATTATTTTCAAACTTACCTGTAAAATAAATAGAGTACAGGTACTTACCCTTACCTTTTGCACTATCCGGTGAAAACAGCCTCGTAGGGTCAAAACTCGAGAATCAGGTACATAAATACGTACTTACCGGAAGGATCACAGTCAAATACATCCGTAATATATACAAACATATTGCAATTTAGATTAAAATCTTAAAACCGATAATCAAATTAAAAGGGTCCATTTAATGCAGAATAAACATCTGTTGGGATGGGTTTTACCACGGTCTGCGGTTAAGGTACTGTAAAATACTTAAAACGTCAAAACAACAAATGCACTATATTTTTGGTCGTATTATACCTTGTATGAAAGCGCACTTCGTGAGGGTCATCAAATATATTGAAGTGATGAAGTAATTTCTGATGATCTCGTCGAAATCCAGGCTGGGTTCGGTGAGCAATTTAGTCAGCATGAGCCACTGGGTCAAGTGATACGCAACCAGGTAGTAAAACACGATCCAAAAGGCGATTTTATACGCCCAACGTTGAAGGCTTTGCTCCTGTCTCCAAATTCCGGACACGAGTCCGGTATAGAACGCGGACCGTAACGTGAAAAATAGAAACTTGTTTTCACCCAGCTTCTAAAATTGAAAAGTTAGATTCCAGAGTGATTACACATCTATTAGCGGATGTTTAAAGTCATAGGCGTAGGTATAGGCTAGCACAGGGGAAAAACGATACGTCAAAAAATATCAATTACAAGAAAAACCGATTTTAAAATTTGGAACTTCCACGATTCTTTAACTTGAACATGAAATGGTTGAAATATGTATATTTTATATATTAAATGCACTGTTGTATTTCAAAGTACGTTTTGATAAAAACTTTTAGGATACATCGCAAAAATAAAGAATGCTATTATGCTATCATGGTTAACGAAATTCTATGGATTCATTATCATTATTTAAATACTATTTTTATTTTATTGACGTATAATTATTAAACAGTACAAATAAATATTTAATAAGTGTTAGCGAAATAAATAATAATCATTCTTATTAAATTAAAATGATTGTATTCTTAATGGCTTTTGTCCTTTCGAAAACATCAACTATAATCAATAATCAATTTCTTGAACAAGGTTAGCTTCAATAGACAGTAGGGCCAAAGCATCAACGTGGAAAAAGATCTTTCTGCTGAACAGTTGGAAGCGGGAATACTCAAAAAAATACGTGGTGCAATGTCTACATTCGGACAAACATCTCGAAGATTCCGAGAATGTACCACTTTGCACAGTCTTTGTGCAGAACGTACACCGTGTGAAAAATAACACGACCCATTGATCCGGAAACCCATAGAAGATATGAAAAAATTTTTCTTACAAAAGTTTCTGGGATTCTTGAACTTTGTTATTTTAAATGGAACACCAGGCAGAACACACACACACACACTAGGCAGAAATTAAGGTTGTGTGTTTTTTTATTCATATTTTGATTACCCCATATAAAAGTGATCCAGGTATGGCAACGAAAATTTTACCACAGACTAAGAAGATGATACAGGGTGTCCCTAATAGCAAATTCAATTAAAAATATTTTAAGATGTTTAAATTTAACACCCTATATTTTTATTCAGATATCAATTCTAGGATAAAAAAATAAGGTAAGTTTATAATTTATCTTAGATATATTTAAATTTTTCTGACTTTTTAACACATTCAAGGTTTAAGATAACACCCGTATAAATTCTTGTTAAATTTCAAGCTGGCTACATTAGGTCACTTGTTGGCAATATTAGGTATTTTTCAAATAGAAAAGACATGGTCCAAGGATTAGAAAAGTGTCTATATATACAGGGTGTTTCGTTTAAAATAACAAAGTTGATGTCGGAGGGGACACTTTTGGGACACCCTGTATCAACAAAATTATAACATTTTAAATCTTCAGGAAAGTGCAACAAACTTTTTTTACGAAACATTTCGTTCGTTCAACAAATATTATTTAAAAATGAATTTTCATGAAATAAATTACGAAAATATTCGAAACAACTCACAGCCATTTTATATTCCAAACTGGTATCTATTAGTCAGCAACAGATAAAACACAAGCATAGGTTTACAAACAAGAACCGCGTGATTTTCTGAGAAGTAGCAAATCACCACCACCGCCCAGGTACACAATTTATTGATAAATTATTCAGTGGTTTGACGAACGAGGCTATAATTTTCAAACGTACCCTTATCTTAGCTAATTGGTTTTAGGTGTAGGTACAAAACCGGATATTAACCTAATAATAAGTGAAGGTAATATTAAATTTATAATATCAATCATTAATATAAGTGAAAATATTTTCACTATAGTCCAAGTCACGCTTAGAATATAGTTTGGGTAGCATAGGAAATACATTTAAAATGGAAGAAAGATACGTGTGAAGATACAAAGATTAGAATAACCTGTTAGCTTATAATAACTCGAAAAAGAAATTTTACTTATGTTATTTAAGTGCGGCTGTAAGTGGCGCTTCAAAGTGGTATTAGCGAAAAAACAATGTTTACCATTAACAAAGAAGCGTAACAGAACAACGAATTCAAAAATTCCACTCCAAGAAACAAGTCAAATTCGTGCGATGTACATCTGAAATACATTTTAAAATGCTCCAAATATACCGGTTGACACAAGAAAGTGGGAACACTGTATAACTTTTAAACGGCTTGAGATAGCTATTTGAAATTTGGAAAGGTTAATATAGGCTGAATGTCTAAATTTTTGACAATATGTAGTCAATGGAGGCACATCCGGTTTAAGAGGAAACGACAATAGCTTTCCGGTAAGAAGTGCTTGTAGCTTAGGTATACATACAATACAATACAAATACAGTTTTTAGCTGTATTCCCGTATTCCAAAAGCACATAAAATTTTACCAAAATAAAACACTTTCAACAAAAAATTGTAATCGTTGAATCTCCGAAGAAACCCTCCCTTGAATTTTATTTATTTATTTTTTTAATACTAATCTGTTTATTTCTTTCCACTGCAAGAGCTTATCGAGAGTTTCTTCTACAATTTTGGCACCTAAGTAATATTTTGTTTTTATAAAAATGTATTTACTTCTCCGTTTTTTTCCTTCCTGTGTGTTGGTTTTTTAACGGATTTTGAAAATGTTGGTACCAAAATGTTTGGAAAAAAAGCACCGGTTTTTAAAAAGTTTTTGTTCCAACTAGAGTGCTTTTGGAAAAAATAGGTTATCCTAAAATTTGATAGTTCATTACGTTCTATGCTATGACAACCAACGGAGAGTTTCATTTAAAATTTTTCCCATGATCAGGTGACCCGGTGAATAGTATTTTTGATGCTTACAACCTCTTAGACAGAATTTTCGAAAATTAAGTGAAAATTTTAAAAACAAAAAAAAGAGAAAAACCTACGTAAAATGATCACATAAATCCAAAAATGCAAAAAATATAGGTGGTGCCATTAAAAATTTCAAAGTTACTTTCGTTTCCGCTCAAACCGGAAGTGAACCATTGACTGCGTATTGTCAAAAAATTGAACATTCCAACCCTTCCAAATTTCAAATCGTTACCTCAAGCACCCTGTAGCGTCTAATTCGAATTTCGTTGCTTATATCTTACATGTTATCTTCTAATAACGCTAATATCAAATATGAGTGATCTAATACGTGAGAATTAGTATTTTTTTGAAAAAATTAAAATATTGGAAAAACTGTTAATTTTTGGGTATAATTTATCAATTGTATCATATTCATTCAAAACAAAATTCTAAAATAATTTTTAAAAAATGTGTTTTATTCGTCGCGCTCTTTTGAGTCTCCTTGTATATACAGTTTCAGCCTAATCGCTTCGTTATTATGAATTCGCTATAATGAGTTGCTTTCGCGGAAATGGAAAAACAATTTAAAGAATAGATGGATTCGAAACAAGGAGACTAATCTAAATATAAATCTTATTAAGAAATAGTTATTAGACAGGAAATACAAGAATGACATTCACCATCCGTTAAACGTCAACAATAAAAATAAGAAGTAATAAAAAACATACAGAATTACTGGATAAAATTAGTTTCAGAACAATTTTCAAAATATGTGTGTAAAATATTGAAAACGTCATAACTTGTAATCCTCATTGGTCAAAATTTTCGAATATTTTTTTAAAAATAGACACTTACCATTTCGGCAACCATAGCGTATGATTGGCAAATCGAGGATCTCCCGTTTGCTTAATGCGTCAAATAATATGGCGCCGGTCGAATTCCAAACGCCTATATAGACGCGCAGTTTGCATAAATAACTCATAAGATGGAGCAGATTTTCAACAGAAGCCACGAAATAACGTCTTTAATATTACATACGCGCTGCAATATTTATCCCTTCATTACGCCTCGTAGTTTACTTAATTCGGGAAAATTTGTTTATTAAAAAACAATTTATTCCTCCAATAAATTTGACTATCAACAGAACGAAAAAAAAAATATCTTTTCGACTATATTTAAGCGTAAAATTAACCACTATGATTTGAAAAGCTGTTTAATATCTTAACAAGGAAGCACAAAATATGCACAATCTTATTGTCGATCACAAGTAGACCTTTTAATAATAATATCAATCATCCAAATTTACAGGCTTCGTAATAAGGATGAGGCAGGATTTCCAGAGCTTTCCAGACTCATTAACAATGTAGATACGAAGCGGAGGAATATTATTGTTCTCTGTAACTTCTTGTATTATTTTAAAAAGCCATTCTTGACCTTTGTTTTTATTAAAGCGATGCCCAAAACCATTTTTTTCTGCTGATAAGCTAGCTGTTGCAGCCATTTGCATGTTAGGCCAAAAAATCTTGTTTCCATTAGTTTCAAATATTTGCAAGTGGTCTTCCTATTTCTAAAGGCAAAGTAGTCTTGACTCTTCCCAACAAAATTGCCCTCGCCATAGATAATTCACTTTACTTCTGACGTTCTGAAGATCTTTTATAATTGCCTGGCATTGTTTATATTTGTTATGTCATGTTGTCCATAAATCTGAATCATTATTCTAAATTAAAACAAAAAGGACATCAACATTAATAAATTCAAAATGTACATGACTACTTATACAAGCAGACCGCTAGTAAAAAATGTCAAACCTAATTTTAAACTAAAATTAAATTTCTTCTGAATAGGAGTTGAGATCTGGATAATCTGTAATTAACTTGGCGTTTTTGTTCTTCAAGCCCTATAGATGCTTTTTTTGTAACTCGAGGCAAAGACTTAGTTTTCATAAATTCCTAGGTTTAACCTCGATTGAAATGGCTTTGAGATGTTAGATATCGCACACGGAACATCTAAGTGGGAAAATGCTTGTCCTAGTAACAATTCAATTTGTAGCTAAATTGCTTTCTTATATTTCTTGTAATTCTTGTACATTAAAACATATTACCCAACCATCAGTCGTAGCTATTTAAGTGAACCAAAAAATGTAGAAAATTCTGTTTAATAAATTCACATGTAAATATTTGTGAAAGTCAATTTTACGGCAACGTAGCAAAACAGTCAGTTGCGCATGCGCAAAACGTCGATAGCTTTTATTCAAAAATATCATAGCCACCTGCGGCGCATCAATTTTTGCCGTAGTAATACCATTATATTATCTATAGTAGGTAGAAGGGTGCGGGAGCCGAATTAAATTTTTGCATTTAAATTTGTGATACGATACTAAATACTCGTCTTTTTACCCGTATGTATCAATTCGTATATATTTCCACGATATTAAATAATCGTCTTTTTACCCGTATGTGTCATTTCGTATATATTTCCCCTACAGGCTGGTCCTACCACCACCCACACACCTATACACACTCTATTATGCTTGTGAACATAAAAGTTGTAGTTTTCAGTCCGTTTTGAAAAGACCACAGACCACAGAATGAATCAACTCATTAAACATGTATAGACCACAGAATGAATCAACTCATTAAACATGCATAAAGAATAAAGAATGAAAAATACCGTTCTTGAGTAATAGATTGATTATATAGAAAATATTTACTATTTATAAACCTTCTGGATTCCTGCTGTGTCCGCTGTTAATAAATCTAACCTGCTGACATGTCGCCAATCGTCCTGTTGACTTGTTCAGAGCTTGACTGAAACTGGCTCGTATTTTACTCTGTACTTGCTTAGATACTCTTTGAGTGGGACACAGCATGAACATTGTCCCAGCTGACTGATTCCCATATTGGTGAAAGGTGAAAACTTGAGTCGCTGTTAAGATTGTTTGGGTGTTTATAGATTTCTATAGACTCTCGGATTTTTCATTCGTAGAAGAACTTATTACGTGCAAGAATTTTAGTTTTATCGAATAAAATTTTATGTCCGGTTTCATGAGTGTGTTCGGCAACAGCTGATGAGTTTATTTGTCTTAGTCGTAAGGGCTCTTTCGTGTTCTTTGAGTCTAGTTGAGATTTTTAGTCCGGTCTCTCCAATGTATCCTTTGCCGCATATGCATGGAATGCTGTAAACTTATAACATATCAAATGCAATTTTGTCTTTGACGGATCGAAGATGTTTTTTAAACAAGTGGTAAACCTGTTTTGGTTAGTTTTTGACGTTATACTTCTTTAGAACTTTTGATATGTGGTCAGTGATGTTTTCAATGTAAGAAAGGACCACAGTGGCAAGTTGCTATCGGAAAGTTGTGGTGAAGTGTATTTTTTGATCGAACGCTTAATATCTTTAATGTGGAAATTTTTAGAGAGAAGAGCAGAGGTAACATGTTATAATTCTGGGTTCAGTGACTCGGGCTGAGATAGTTTTACGGCTCTGTAAACAAGTGAGTTGATACCCGACGATTTTTGGGCAGGATGGTGATGTGACCATGCATTAAGGTATCGGTCTGTGTACGTAGGTTTTCAGTAAACACAATGTTGTTCCCGGGGAGCGACTGCCCGCACCATCGCAAATTTTCGTAGCGCTATTGCTGTGTTTCAAATTGTTAGTTTGACAGTACAATAAATAAGTGATGACTAGAAGTTTTATTAATAATAATTGATAAGGCCTTTTCTCTTTTTTCACTATTACGACGTACCACCCAACTTTTAATATTAGTAAATACTTACTTAATACTACATTAGGTTGTAACAAAAATATCCAAATATCTGCAGGATGTTGTTACCTCCAAAAACATTCTTAGACAGATGTTAAGGAATTAGAAAAGTTAATACCGGACTGCGTAATCTATAACAAACTCCAGAAAAAAATTAAACCGAATTTTTGGGTTTTTCTAATTCTGTGTTTAAAGTTACAGTTTAGCTTGAGGATTTTCGGAGAAAACTTGAATTGCATCCCGTTGCGGTGGAAATAATTACCAGGACAGCGACTGCCCGCACCATCGCAAATTTTATGTACTTATATCTCTCTTCCTGGCGAGTGTACTGTGTAAATGTTTGCGTTAATAATAACTGGTAACGTGTTTCGAGTTTTCTTTTCACTGTTGACACGTCTTCCTTACTACTATTAGGTTGGAGTTAGAAAAGGGGATAACAAAGAAAAACCTACTTCTAAGAGTATTTATTTAATAAAATTCCGAAAAAAACCACCTTTTCATAGAAACAATAACATAATATGTGTAAACATAATAATAGAACATAGAATATAAAAATAAATGTATAAAAAAATCACAGATATACAAAATGCTATAAATTCATATTGGATGCCTCATCATTAAAATTCATCATTCATCGACCACTCCATAACCTATAACAAAGTTCAGAAGAAACTAATGCCGAATTTTCCGGACTCTATAATAGTGTTTTTAAAATGTTAGCCTAATTTGAGAATTTTCAGAGAAAACTTGAATTTTATGATTTAAGATGGAAATAATCACGGGATAGCACCGCGCGAACCAGTGCAAATTTTCCTTAGCGCTGTTGCCGTGTTTCGTCATTCATCGAGAACTTTATGGACTTATGTATTTTATTTTGGTGAGTGTACTGTGTAAATGTTACAGTACTATATTAGGTTCTACCAAAAATGATGATTGTTAATTCCAAAAATATTTTTGGCCGGTAAGGAGTTAGAAAGGGGGACAATAAAAAAAGTAAATACCTACTTCCAACAGCAATTATTTAACATAAAATTCACAAAAAAGCCATATTTTTTATAATTACAATAATATAATGTGTAAATCTAATAATATAACACATAAAACAAAGTATATAATATATGTATAAAAAGAGACAGATAGATTCTTAGTCACATAAAATCAATCGACCATTGCATAAGTCGACACCTTCCGCTGCAGAATTTATAGCAAACTAGTTGATGTCGACTTAACTCACTAAGAAGTAACTCTTTGGAAAATTTAAAAACATACGAAACGCTACACTATTATAATAGAAATTGCAGGAATAGGCTGACTTTCAACAGCTAAAATTAAGCAGTACTAAACCGCAAAAAACAAAAATTTTATTCTATCCGACACACCGTAAAATAAAGCAGGAATCATAATTCTGTTATAAATTTGGCAACGTCTCAGAATAGTTCACATGCGACTTCTTCAAAAGGTCTAAGTAACGTAAACTTGTGACATGATCTTCCCGGTATACATTTCACGCACGTCCACTTTATTAGGGTTGCGAAATTGACAGGTCAATTTTTTTGTGTCAATTAACTGAAATAATTTTTAAAATACCACGAAATCCTGTGTTTATTTTTTTATTAATCTTTTGCATTCTAGGTACCAAATGAAGTCAATATTTTTATTGGGAATCGCTAATTATGGTGTTCGGATATTCCTCGAAGAAGGTTGTATAATAATAAATTATTATAAAATACATATTATTATTAAATAATGATAGATGATACTCTACAGTTACAAGATGTTATTTAAAACATTGATTTGAATTGACCAGCTCCAACACAAAATCAATTTTTAATATTAGACAAAAAAAAAAAACTTCTGTCCACTGGATCAATAATATCCGTCCGAGATCATCTCATGGCGTTTTACCACATTGCCAAATATATGAGAAAATCAGTTCCTGTAATCTGCTAAAGCTGGGTTTATACTTTAACCTGTAGGGCATGGGACAACTTGTGCATAATTTATGCACGTTTATAATCGCTATCACCACTGTTGATATAGAATAAAATATTATAAAATATTTCGTATTGGCAATACTGCCCACAACTCCTAAATTATGTAAAACAATTCCAAAAGAACAAATAGGATAATAAAATATAAAAAAAAAACTGTTAAACGAGATTTCTAAATCTAACGAATAGTACGAAAATCTTTTTGATTCAGGTTTGAATTTTGACTTTTTTGGTTTTTGCTACAGACCAAGATGGAAACAAAAGGACAAAAACAGGAGCCGTGAAAAGATGAGTCATCCCTTTAGATATTTGTGAATCAATTTTGGCCGAAATATTTTTTTTTTTTGGTCAGTTTGAATCAGAATAAAACAATTTATTTAGTTCTCGACGATTTGGAGCCCTTGGTGTCGCGTGAATGTTTGTCGATATGCTTGACGAGCAGATATTTCGATTTCGCTGCGAAATTGCAAATATAACATATGTACTGTTTCTTGAAAGCGTCGTGCTTGAAAATGTGCACTTTCAAATTGTCCTTGCGGGTCGCCTTAAACGGGCAGTGATAACAATAAAAATATTCCAGCTCGTCGGCTTTCTTGTGTTTCAGCTGGTGCATCTGCGAATAAGAGAATTTTTAATTTTGTTTACGTTTAGAGGTCCGTTCGCTTACCTTCAAAGTATGCATTCGGTGCGTCTGATAATCGCAATGTTTGCACTTATAGAAAAGCCCGTCTTTCGTGCCGTGCTTACTGATCAAGTGGAGCTTTAATAAGGCTTTGTTTCTTGTCTGGTAAGGGCAATATTCACACTGAACTCTGGAACTATCGAAATATGTTAGTGGATTTTCAGCGTTCTAGAAAAATTGTTGCACTGCAGTTCCAGAAACTGTAAAACCCGTAACTCTTATAACAATGTATATAGCAAGTTACAAAAGGGGCGTTTCAAGTCGTTTTTTTAATCATAGTCCACTATTCTTGTTTAACGCGTATGTCAATGAACCATTGTTCGCAATTGACGGTGATACTTTTTAGTTTGCTGGTTATAAAGCTAGAATGTACTTTCAAAAACGATGAAACGATCTTACCCAAATTAAAGAGTTGGTCAGATAAACACAGATACAGCAAATTTTACAATTATTGCTCTGACAAAAGCCTGCCGTCAAAGAAACTGAAAATTATATATGTAGCAATTTTATTAGCAAAAAAAAAACTTGTATCGGGTATTTGAGCATATTGAATGATGGAACGATTTTATTCCCAGATAATTTTAAAGAGATTGAAAACAAATATTTGCAATTGCAACGCAAAAGTCCTAGTCTATTTGGAATAAACCAGAAAATAATAATAAACGCTCTATAGTATAACTTTTGAATTAAGAAAACAACCTTTAATTGTTTCAACAATGTTACTGGGCAAATTCGGCCAAAAAAAAATGTTGATAATTGTTAACTTTTGATAATGTGTGCTATAATTATAAATAGCAATGTAATATAATTAAAAATCAAGTCAAACGTAAATGTTAGCTTAGTATATTGCGAGAACTAAACATCAAAATCTTCAACAAGTCAGGTAAATTTTGTTGCAAATCAGTGTTTATATAATAACCAAAATAATTAGTATATACTGTTTATTTGTGTATACAATTAAGGATTATTAATAATGTAATATAATTGCTAATTGTTAATATTTATATTTATAATCAAACGAACAACAATAATAATAATAACGCTTGTTATTATTATATAATATAATAAATACCAAGCAGAATTATACCCCCTTGTTTCACGTCGGTCGAAGAACAAGTAAAGGTGTCTGGTATGTTTTTAACGCACTTAAAATGTGGATATAAATTAAGCAGGTCGGACGTTCATAGGCAGCACGCACAATATAAAAATAGACAGGGTGTTGCATTTAAAATAACAAAGTTGAGGTTATTTCCGGTGAAACCGGACCAGCCGGACAATTGTTTTTATACTACCAGTATTCACAATTTACCAAATTGTAAATTTTTATCTCAAGCCATTTTGACATGCCGCCGTGGACACTACTTTCGTTGTCATAAGTAAGACTAAATCTATAATGGGGCAGGAGTCCCTTGAAGATGATTCAAGAACTGGTCAACCAGTGGAGGTCATAACGGAAGATACTGTTGCGATTGTGGAAGAGGTGGTATTGCGTGATCGACGTTTAAAGGTCGAGGAAATCTCAGAAATTACTAAGCTTTCTGATACAAGTGTTCGTCGAATCCTGCATGATCGTCTAGGTATGCATAAGGTTAGTGCAAGATGAGTTCCTAAAAACCTTTCGGCTATTCAAAAACAACGGCGTGTCGAGTGTGAGCGGTCTTTTTTAGAACTCTGTGGGTCGGAACCGAAGCCTTGATAGAAACTATTGTGACAGGAGATAAAACTATGGTTCTCTATTATGGCCCTCTATCGAAGAAAGAATCAATGCAGTGGCGTCGTAAGGGTGAAGCACCTCCAAGAAAATTCTACCAGTCAACAAAAAAGGTGATGTCCACGATCTTTTGGGATTGTGAAGGAATTCTTTTGATAGATTTTAAAGAAACTAATACCACTGCCAATGGTAAATATTACCCAACATTATTACATAAATTGCGAGACTGCATACGTGTGAAACGTCGAGGAAAACTGACCCGAGGCGTGCGTCTTTTGCTGTCCACACTGCTGGTGTTGCACAAGCTGCCATTTTAGAGTGTGGGTTCCAACAGATAGATCATCCTTCCTATAGTCCAGATATGGCGCCCAGCGACTATTATTTGTTTGGATATTTGAAAAAGGACTTACGTGGACGGCGGTTTAACGATGAAGTTGAGCTAAAAGAGGCTGTTTTAGCTCATTCTGCAGACAAACCAAAAGAATATTTTTTTTAAAGGGATTGAGTTGGTTATAAAGAGATGTAATAAGTGTATTGAAGTTAAGGCGAATTATATTGAAAAATAATAAAAAATTGTTACTCTACTTTTTCATATTTAGGCCGGGAAATTTTGGCACTGCCCTCGTATAACCAGTGAAGGAAACTAACACACTATTAACCAGCAGAAAATAATTTATGTAGTGCCCAAACTTTATAATCTGCTTCCTATCTCTTCTAGATAAGCCAAAAAGTATATTTTGGGCAACTCTTCCGTGTTTGCCTCTTATGATTAAAGTTTTTTAGTTTTAATTTTAAATAATATTAACTGTTACCAATTGAGATACAGGTTTTTTAGATCTAGCAGATGTCTATGTCAAATAGATGTTGTAAAATTGTAACTTATTGCATTAAAATTGAAATATTGTAACATTGGGGTATATTGTGATATTGCAACAACATATTGTGATAATAATACATTTTAATATTGAGTTGAATTTTAATCCATCCAATCCAATAAAGTTTGAGAAATTAGAATTTCTCTTTAATTGAATTGATTTAAAAATAACGGTGACAAATTTTCAGTCATTGAGTACTTGAGATTGGTCAATTTAGTAACAGTCACGCTAAATATTTTACTAAATGCCTTACTTTCCATCGCAGTGCTTCCTCTTGATGTGACCTTTTAACAAACTTTGCATCTTGCTGGTATAGCTGCAAAAGTTGCACTTCAGATCTTCCATCTCGTCTATGTTCCCGTGGCGGATCATGTGATTTTCTAGGCAAATCCGTGAGTACACGGTGAAATCGCATTTGTTGCATTTCAAGAGCTTTTTCCTGTGGATAGTCCGTTTATGACCTAACATGCTGGTTCGTGAAGAAAATCTATAAAACAAACAGTTTTGCAAACATTCGGTCATCTTCCTACCGAAAATTTGAATTTTCACTTTTTTACGACCACGTCTTCACTGTAGCAACAACTAAGTTTTAGTTATGGGATAGACTAGACTTGAAAGATTAAAATAAATACAAAAGAAAGTGAAAAAACTCTACTGTGGTTTGTTTAGTTGCAATATTTAAAAGTAGTGTTTAATAACTACGGTTGGTAAAGATATAAGACGGGAATAGCCAGGAAATAATTTAATATTACAAATGCCTAAAGTTAACACTGGAACAAATTTCGTCCATTTTCGCTAAATAGTTTTTGCTCTATCGGGATTGTGTCCGAATATTTTCGAAAATAAATATCAATAATTGAAGAGTAGAAGTAACGAAGGGGTAAGTGCCAAAAATATTAAACGAAGATATTTAAAACAAAATTCTTGCCAAAATAAAAAACATTTTATTTTCAAAAAATAAACTGATATATTATTTGGCTTACAGGTAAATAAGCTGCGACACAATAAACGTGGAAAAAATATTTTGAAACAAAATTTTCGAAGAAACAAGGGAAACGTTCTAAGTGCCAACATATTATTTGGTCAAATTATAATAAAATTATTGGTGCTTTGCATCTTTTAGAAAAGGAATCATTTGCGACGATGCGATATTTCTTTCATGAGCATACACACTGCTTCTGCCTTTCTATGGCATGGAAACATTTGTAAAGTCTTCTTTTAAAACTTCCTTATAAAACTTGTAGGTGACCAAACTGAGTGGATATTTCTGCAAAAACGCTTTATGAAGGCGGTTCACACTTAAATCTGCACTTAAATGCACTTAAATTGCACTTTTGCGCGCGAATAATGAGATTCTTCTCGGGGTATACATATGCTCTCTAACAAGTTGCCTATCACCGTGCGTAAGTTTTCCATGAGCTGTACGAGTTCTCATGTCTTTATAAACGACTTTGCCGCTCTTTTTCTTTCGTATAATAGGTTCCAAATGCTTTTTTGTCAAATCGAAAGTAATCATAAAAGGGTCTTCGTATGACCTATGCCTTCTTCTCTTTACGTCAGTTAAATATACCAGGTCCATGATGTACGTGCTACGGACTTCGGGTCTGCACTCATAGTATTTTTCAAAAAGTATCCTGAGTAGTTTAACGACCTCCAGTTAAATATACATTTACATGTTATCTGCAGGAAAGAACTTACAGAAAAATTAATATACACAGTATAACGATCTGTCTGTGTGATCGCCGTAGGGTTGTTCACAATATTAAAAAAAAGATTGGGTGAGTATCTAATCTACTATACTAACAACTACGCTAAGCCTGTGAAATCAAACCTACAGTGCATAAGATAAAAATTGGGACAGTCCTAGAGTCACATAGATGCTTCCATTTCAGAAATTAAAACAATGACTTACTTGTAGGTTAGGTCTTTTTTTTCAGCCACAGGGTTCCCATTTCTGTTTTCATAGGATTGTCCTGCAATTGTTGCATTGTTTTTGCTCATCACTTAATTTTTCTATTCCTTGTTTTCGACGTTCAAAATTCATTTTTACAACATTTGACACCGTCGTTACAGAAAACGATTAAAAAACAATATAAACGCAAAACACGTATTACGGCACTCGACCCCTTTGTTGTGAAAATAACAGATCACTTACAGAAAGCGCCACCTATCTGCGTAATTTGTTCCGGAAATTAAAATTTTGACACTCTGTCCGGGTCATAGTGCATGACCTTCTATATAAAAATCTAATTTTCAAAAAAATGGCACTTAGAACTTTTGTTACTTCTACTCCTCAATTTCAAAATGACTGAACTGATTTTGTCCAACTTGGAGTTGTCGATTTAGATTTCTGATATTGCCGCGTTTTGCGACATCACTAAAATAAAAATGTATTTTCTCAAAAAAAAAAAAAACAAGTTTTGAATTCCTGCGAATTTTTTAGTCATATTTCATATGTAATATAGTATTGCGTTCCTGAATTATATTGCTAAAAAGATTGAATTATTTAAGTTATATTTGGAATCATAATAGTATTAATATAAATACTCAACATTTTTCAGATGTTCAACTTATGTTTAGACTTCTTGGTATATCTCTATAAAAAAAAAAATTATGCCACCCAACTGTAACTTTTTTTACCGACTTATTTCCAAAAAGTTTCATTTTACATTCAAATATTACATGCTTATTGCAGAATTCAAAATATTTTTTTTTATTTGTTGCCAATATAAAACATTTTTTTTTAATTTAATTTCAATTTAAGAGAAGGAATCTGCCTAATAAAATAATAAATGTGAAAAAGACGAGATGCCACATTTTGAATGCTACTGGCGTTTCTCTGTTTGTTTTCTTCTCATTTGATAGTAACATTGTCAAATAAAAGTAAGTGAATGCGTCAGTACCGAAAAAAATGGAAATGAAAGGTTGGAATTTGTATAGCTTACACTTTGGAGCAATCATCGCACTTATGCAACTGCGAGAAATTGTGGAAGTCCCTGATGTGTGGAATGAGTTCCGATTTTTTTTTAACTTTCATATCACAATTGGCACAATAGAACCAGTCGATCTGCTCTGCCGGGGTATGCACATACCGCATGTGCGATCTTAGCAAGCTCGAGGTTGTAAACTCGCACCGGGTCTGTTTCAAGCGTTTACACCTTCGACATTTGTCGGGACATTTCTCGCAGATGTACTTTTTGTGATTGTCCAAAACGTGTTGGTTCATCAGCGGCCTCGATGAGGTCCTGAAGTCGCAACTTTTACACTTATCTGGATACTCGTGTTTCCGCACATGGATCTTCATGAGTTTGTTCGCGATCGTCTCGTACGGACAAAAAGGGCATTTTTGCTTCGGCCGATGCATGTTCCTGCAAGATTAAACGCCTTTTTTGTAAATATGGAAAATCGTAATATAAAGTAAGCTTCACAATGCTAAGAGAACCATAACACTCCGTAATGGACATGAATGGACAGTCAATTATCATATTTCACATTATGCAAACAACTTGAGAGCATTGTTCACTTTTAGAACACCTTATTGTGGGTCAATTTTAGACTGTGTGTAGCTGTTAACTATCAAATTGAAAAAGTATGGAATTCGTGAAAGGTTTACTCATGATATTTCCAATTTTGTTTACATAAAATGATAAAACAAAAAATTACAGATTCCCTTTTTTATTGTGATACGTAAATATATAAGGTATATAAGTAGCAAATACATTAATGAATTTAGCATTTTCTCACAGTATTGCCAACTCTTATGCATAGTGTACTTACCGGACATGCGCTCTAGTGTATGCTCTTTTTTTGTGTTTGTAGTGGCAATAAAAACAACTGTAGAAGCCCTCTTCATCCATAGCCATTTCATATTCTTTAACTCTGAAAGGGAAAACAACCCACATAAAAAATTATAAGTAATAAAGGAACTGGAATAATACATCACTAAATTTTTTTAATAAAAAATGCTTTTTGATTAAACAAACCCATCATTCATAATTTGTAAGTCATTATAATCATTTGAAGTAATCTTACTTTTCATTATTTGTATTTTAACACATTTAGAAAATATGTTTTTAGCTTAATGAATATCAGCAATAATGTTTAATAAACTGTTATTGAGCAAAGCACTTTCACTTGCAATAAAATTAGTTATATTTGGCTCTTCAAGGTTTGCTTTTTGGCTCATTCATTATGGACCAGTGTGTAGAATGATTTGGGGAAATAATTAATAATAAAACGCTTTACCCTGCCAACATATATCAGCCTTAGATTATACAATCATTTAATCATAAAATTAATAAAAATTTCTACTATTGCATAGTCTCACAACAAACACGTGTATCAAAACAAGAACTAGCAAGATTTAACCCTACTAACCTTTTGGAATCATCAAAAGTATTATTTATTAGTAACTTTTCAGACAGAGTCTCCTTTCCGTTTTTCTTAGTTACACCTACAGCAACACTTGAACTGACTTCAGTTACTTGCTCAGGACTTTCTTCCTTTGGAGTAATATGAATTGAAGATGTAATCAAGATTTCTGGTTCTAGGTATGTTTCCTTCAATTCATTACCGACTATATCATCTGCAGTAATTTCTTCTACCTTAACCTCCAACAGCTCCCTTGGTTCGTCTTTAATACCTCCCAAAATCTGAATACAGGACATCTTCTCAGAGTTTTGAGCAAATAGATATATCAACCCAGTGTAATAACCTTGCACTTGCGAAAGGCCCGTTTTTGTCATAATTCACAATTTATTAAAATTAAACCAAAACTTCCATGATTAGATAGATCCATTTTCCGTTTTTTTATTTCAAGAGATTATTCCTACGATTATTCAAAAGGATGCGCAGGTCTTTTGGTTAGTTTCATATTACATGTCGTCCAAAGGCCATAGTCAATATCCGCCTAAACTAAAACTATCCCGGCCCGGCAGCATAGAATGGAGAGAAAATACAATTTACATTTGAAGAGGACATTCGCCCATTCGCCAAAGAATTTTTTCTCGTTAGTCACAGACCAGTAAATACGCAAAAACTATGTAACTAGCACTTTTACTCTGATGCATAAAAAAGGTCGTTCACCGATAACAAAAAACAGTAACCCCCGCTACCGCCAAGGACCAACAGCCTTTAAGGACCCGGCCTTTAACCTATAAGAACGGCAAAAATAGCGGTGCCGACAACAATTACACATTTTAAAACCTTCAAAAAAACACTTGGCAAACAAAAACCACACCATTGAAACCGATATCAAAACTTTTTGGGACGAATACAAAGGCTTCTGTCGGAAGCGAATGGAAATTAAACCGCCATGTACAATTCTCACGACAAAAGCCGGCATAGAATGAACGGTTTTTTACCTGCATACGACTGTACGACTGGTCATCCTTTCCACAGGATACAGACAGTTACAAGCACCCTTTGCCAAATGCATGCCGCCAGTCTTTTAAAGTTAAAATAATTAATCATGATTGCAAGCAAACGCACAGAAAAACGCCAAGCTTTATAAAAAGCATAGATCTTATTCCACAAGTTATTATATAAGCGGCAAATATATTTTGCATAAAGTTGTACCATTTAATTAAGACGTCTAAACCCTGAAAAGTATCGTTCATTGCGTCAAAGTCTAATCAACCTTAATTATTATCAGTTAAAAATTCGTAATTGATAAATTTTAAATTGGTAGTTGCGATCACTGCTGTTCAGACGAACTGCATTCAAGAACTGATTTAATTGCATTCATTTGCAGTGTTCTATGCTACCCAAACGATTAATATTGCTGAGCGCTATAAAAGAGATAAGGAGTGAAATAGAACGTCCATACTCGAATAGATGGTTTCACATAACTATATATTGAAAAAGTTTTTTCATAGGACAAGATTACTTGGGGTTATGACCGTAGTCAGTTTCGAAATGTATTAATTCCGTCCCGAATCTCACCTAAACCACAATTGTTAATACCTACCATGCGTCACTGACCGATCCTTGTACTCTCAATAGAAGTAAAGAAGCCCGCGTCTGAATTTCCCACGTTAAGTAACTTAATCAACTATGTGCACAGTTAACTTGTTTCCTTTCAATATTAAGTGGGACCTGGGCTATGGAAAAATTGACACATCTAGACTAACGAGCTCTCAGCTTCGTAATTCGTAGTTCCATGTCGCAAGGTTTTATGGGCTCTACGCAATGGCAGGTATTATTTGTATAAAATTTAAATAGTATATTATGCAACAAGTGCGGTAAACGGCATTTGACTCAAGAGTTTATTTGACACAAGCGGAGCGAGTTTTTAATAAACGAGTGAGTTAAAAAGTTTACCGAACGTTGCATACTATATTTTTTCTACGACCGTTAGTTTTTGGGTACATTTTCGCAAAACACGAATACATTCGCTGACATGACCGTCAGAATTGACAAACGTCAAAATTCAAAGCGTGGGAAATATCTCCGAAAACATCCGATTGCTCCCAAATCCGTGCGGTAAAAGCCCGGAAATGTCCGAAGTGGCTTGGATTCATGGGAAACGAAACTGATGTGGTAAAGTGACGCTTCCCACACGCTAGATCGATGGGTAATTAGGTATTTTACAGACGGGAGTGAAAAAATTGTACGCCTAATGTTGAATAAATGTAAATGAAAAAATAACGAATTAAAACAGGGGTCAACTAGTACACCTATTCGCAACAGCATTAATTTAAAAATTAAATTCACATTAAAATTATATACAATTATAATAAAAATAAAATATTGTGTTAAACGTGAAAGTAAAATTCCAAAAGTACATAGTATATAAACATATTTTTTACAGAATGGAATAAACTACGACAACATGTGTTAGACGTTTGTATAAAAATTATAAGTTAAAAACACCCTGAAACCCTTATCATTACAAAAATAAATCAACCTATTAAGTTACTTATGCGAAGTTGAATTGAAGTAGCTTTTACTTGTTGAAAATCCATTTATCAAAATAAATAAAAACTAAAAGTTCAGATTTTCACGAAATTATATATTTTGACATGACAATTGTTTCGACAACATCGTGTCTTTATCAAATGTGTTCTTATTCTTCTTATTTATTATTTTGATAAATGGATTTTCATCAAGTACAAGCCTCCTCAGTTCAACATTAATTAAAGTTTTATGGTCATTTTTCTTATGTATAGTAACAGGTAGTTTGTAAATATTACATATGATAAAGACACGGTGTTGTCAAAACAATTGTCATGTCAAAATATATAATTTTGATTTGATTTTGAATATACAATATGGAGCCTAAGTACTTGTGGAAGTTATCGCTATTCTTTTCACGGAAGTCAAGAGAATTTCGAAAACGTGAGTCGGTGCCGCCATCTCGCGACCGCATCCTCACATTCGAGATGAAAGGCACAGATAAAAAATGTAACCAGTCCCCAATGACATCTAAAGCGTTAACGTCTTATTTCAAAATACGTGCTATTCATTTCTCAAAATAAATAAGCACTAAAAGTTTAGATATTCACACGACAATTGTTTCGACAACACCGTGTCTTTATCAAATGTGATTTGATTTGTGTTGCTGGGGTGACTTCAAGTTAAACATGTCAAATGAACATATATACAACCTGTATGCCTGGTTCGAATAATATGGTAGTTCAAACGTTTCTTAACTGACAGCGTTTGGACTCTACGCGAGCACAACAGTTCCGGCTGTTGGTATTTGCAATAACTATATATATTATTCTTATTTATAAAATTATTAAATATTAAATTATTAATTAAATTAAATATAAAACGTTTAGTTTTGGCAAATCTTAAAAATTTTAAACTGATTTTTGAATTCCGGAAAGGAAGAAAAAGTGTTACAGTGTTAAGACCGCCAACATTACCTTAATAGCACTATTCACTTTACACAAAATATAATATACAAAACCTATACATACAGATAATATCAAATTGTGACAAAATTTTTTGTGAGTATTTTTTTTTTGTTAATTTTAAGGGTTGAGATTCTGTGTAGCCTCAATTTTTAAGCGTCAGATATTTTATTTTTATTTTTAATCCACCATATACCACACCAGAACTTTAAATATTCCTGCTCTAGTAGTAGATTTGTGGACCTCGGTCTGAGCCGCCCACTTCCAGCTTCACATGCTATCAAAACATAGTGCGCCCTCTGCCAATTGGTTAAGGCTTTGGTTACATTTGTTGAAGTTGAAAAACAAAAAGGATTGGTGAAAAATATTTTAGTCGGTTTTCTCAACATACGAATGTATCCTAATAACTCCCATTATTTTTTTGACGTTTTAATTTTCACCGATTCGGATTCGTTGGTGTCGCGCGAGTGTTTGTCGATATGCTTGATGAGAAGAAATTTCGAGTTGGCGGCGTAATTGCAAATATAACATATGTACCGTTGCCTGAAAGCGTCGTGCTTGAAAATATGCACTTTCAAGTTATCCTTGCGGGTCGCCTTAAACGGGCAGTGATAACAGTAAAAGTATTCCAACTCGTCGGGCTTCTTGTGTTTCAGCTCGTGCATCTGCGGGAGAAGTAATTCTCAACTTTGATCGGTTTGAACGCCTGTTTACTTACTCTTAAAGTATGCAATCGGTGCGTCTGATAATCGCAATGTTTGCACTTATAGCACGGCCCGTCTTTCTGGTCGTGCTTGCTTATCAAGTGCAGCTTTAATATGTTTTTGTTGTTCGTCTGGAACGCGCAATATTCACACTGAACTCTGCAAAAATCGATTCATACCGATTGACGCGTTTCGTGAATGACAGGTTCTTAATCATACATGACCCCAGATTTTTTGCTTTAATTTTAAACTCTATATCGATTTTAAATGATTCTGTAGTTCGAATAATATGGTCCCTGACTCATTGCCATTAAGTTTTTATAAGCTAAAGATAGAGAATTTAGGTCTATAGTAGCATCAAATACTTCATTTGATAAATAGTCGGTACCATTTGTGATGGCATAGTCGACAATAAAATGCCAGACAGAATGAAACAGAATGTTCATTTTGCGTTCACTTATACTTCAACAGATGTTGTTCCGCCCTAAATGTTTATCTGTGGTGTAAGAGAGACAGATTCAGTTGTACTTGGCATTTATTAATTTAACTAGTAAAAGAATTTGTTTGCTTGACTATTGTTCGAAAACTCTGCCCATGCAATAAAAATTAAAACATTAACTTATGGCTAAAGGCTAAACTAATGTAATTTTCTGGTAATTTTGACATTCTTAATATACGAGTGGAAACAGGTAAAATACTTAAAATTCTTAAATTTGGTTAGAAAAATTAGGTAGTGACAAAAACTTATTTTTAAATAAGCAATTATATAACTTTAAAATCGATCGAAAAATATCGATAACTTGACGTATTTTTCTAAACGATTTAATATAAACATATGTAAACTGTACAGGGTGTCCAAATAAGGTATCAAAGTAATATTTATTATTTGTTTTAGAAAAAATAAAATAATACGATAGTTGTAGATGAAGAAACAATAAAAAATTATTCCCAAATATTGGTGATTGGTGAATGTGATGATTCATAAATATGTGGGAAACCGAATTTATACAATAATTGTTAATTGGAATCGCTTATACCAGGCAAGTCAAAGTGAAAAAAATAAATTTTGTGTATATTATACATCCATTAATTACTCCTTTCAATTTTATTAAGCACTTCCTATAACTAAACTTACTATTTTTTGAGGTATATATATTTGTATGAACAAAATTTGTAAAATTATGAGAAAATATCGCAAAAAGCCACGAAAAATGAAAATAAATAGTTATATTTTTAATTGTGTGAAACAAGAATGTTTCCTTGCTTTCTATTAATTTAAAAATTCTGCCTTTCATGAAGCCCAAAATATTAGTGAACTACACGGAGAAAAATGTTGAACACAAAAGTTATAGAAACAATTTAAAAATTATCTTCAAATATACAGGGTGATTCGTAAATATGTGGGAAATCAAACTTAGATATTTCTTAAAGGGAACACCCTGATATATTATGGCATTAATTATTCCCTTTTATAATCAATCACCCAATGCACGGTTGTTATGGTCTATACTGAGTGTTTTCGGTTTTATTAATTACTTTTGTTTAAATCTCGGATTTTTTTGTTTTTTAGTTTATTTCAGGCCTCTAAACAGTTAACAATAAAACTGGTCCCGAGGCCTTACAAAAACAGTAACTGAAAAAACATATATAATATTCTAGTAAAATTAAATATAACAGTTTGTTAATATAAGTTTATATTCTATTTTTTCTTATAAAGTCTTTAAGGTTAGGACTTGTACTGTAGCTGTAACACTGTCCATTTCCAGTCAGTTTCACATTTGTTTTAATCAGTTTGTTTTCAATTAAATAAATTAATTTTGTTTGTTCAAGTATCTTAAGTTCACATATTTTTAAATAAGGTAGATTTCTTCACAAGACATTCATTCCAAATATTACTTTATGCTTAATAATATACGTAAGCGCTTAATAAATTATTTTAACGAATGCTATTATCTGAAAAAGTTATACTTATAATCTTCTGTGATTTTTTCTCACGGTTTCAAAATTTTCAGTATCTTGGTCGTAAAAGTGTGTACATCTAAAAAAATAGTAAGATTCTGAAATAGACTTTGGTAATGAAATAGCTCCTAGGTAGACATTTGGCAACGTGGCATTATGCCAAACCCATTGGGCACAACCAGTTTATAGTAAATTTCTTGAGTTTATATATAATCTATCCAACTGACCTTTTTACCAAGCACTAAATCATATTTACCTCTGGCTCAAATGCACTCTCTTCATGTGACCTTTTAAGGCAGACTCGAACTTGGTGGTGTAGTTACAAACATTGCATTTCAAGTCTTCCACTTCGTCCAAGTTTCCGTGTCGCATCATATGATTGATAAAGCAAGGCTTGGAAAATACAGAGAAATCGCATTGGTTGCACTTGAATGCCTTCCTCTTGTGGACATGAAGTTTATGATCTAACATTCTATGTCGAGACGAATATCTAAAACACGGTCATTCTCTTCTCTCAAAATTTTTACTTTTTTATTGCGGGGATTAATTAATTAATTATTAATAATTAGATAAAAATTATAAATAATTATTTAAAAAAAAACATTAGATTTGAGCCGAAATTAATAATTTCATTATCAATTTGTTAGTGGCTTCTCAATGGGACAACGGAGATATGCGAAAACTTTTATCGTTAAACTTTTTAAAAATTTAACTTTGGCGTTAATGTTTAATTAAAAAAAGTGAAAAATTGCTGTGATTAGATACGGTCATGTGACGTCCATTGGTGTTGTTACTAAACTCTTAGTATTGCATTTGACTATTTTAAGGTCTACTCCTAATATTTTGAAGATAGCAGATTGAGATATATAAAAGACTGTAGAACATTTTTTTAAAATATTTTTTTTAGCAGAAAATCTCTCACGGTGTCATGTCAACCTTTCTTTTGGGAATCTTAATATGCATAAATATATATGTTTGTATTGCCACGCTTTTGTACAGCATCTTGGAAAATTACGAATATCTTAAAATATTTTTCTTTTCACTTTATGTAGCACTTATTAAAATGTTTTTTCAAAATTATGATTGATAAGGGAGATAGAACACAACGCTATATATAATATATTTTCACGATTTTACAGTAGCAATAATAATCATGAGTATATACCCCAATAATATACCAATAATTTTTATAAATTGATATACAAGCTGCCCCGTAACTAATGATGCACAGTAAAACTGCAGATTGTTGTTTTTTAATAAAAATTGTCAAAACTGTACATGCAAAAATTTCACTTTCACAGTACATTAATGTAACTACACCAACTGAAGTACCGCAAATAACGCCTTCTACAACCTACATTACCATAATCTACAAGTTCTCGCCCACATAAAAACCCATTCCAAAATATCATGCCAAAATGTTAGTTCAAAATGCAGTTAGGTTAATTAATTTTTACTCAAAGGGGGTATATTATGTTAACATAATACTTGTATTGAAATTGAAATTACATAGGAATTTATAAAAATGATTTGGTCACTGTGTTGATCTTAATACTGGCAGCTTGGACAGGCGTTTGAAGCTCAATAAAAACATTATCGGAAAAGATTAAATCAGAAATTTACCTGAGACACACATATTCTTTTTCTTAGTAGTAGGTTATCCAAGACTATCTGTAGGCCCTGAATTGTCAAACCTATCATTAACAGAGAAACCTTCTCCATATATTGCATATGAAATTCTTACTTGGGACACTCCTCGCACTGCAGAAAAGCTTTTAAACTTCAAAGAAAAGGAGTTCCACGTTCGACCACACTTTCAAAAATTTGGACTTCTTTCTATGTACTACGAATTACTATGAAGTAATGCCGCTTGAGCCTGTCAATAATATTCATCCATAGCTATGGAAAATGAAAATGCCGGCGCTGGTATTAGCTGAACTAACCAAAACAAACAAAAACTAATCTTTGATGTTGCATGCTACAACGCTGAGATGCTACTGAATATTCCACCACTACATGTGAGGTTGTAGTGCTGTTTATGACACTACACCCAAGTACTGTTTTGTTAAACATTAGAAGACTGAAATCTCAAACAGAGAAGACTTGCTAGTAGCCCACCGAAAGCACCAAAAATAATCTGGTATGCAGACGGCTCAAAGACCCAAGAAAACCAACATTTCTTTTTTAATCGCCGAGCCAGCAAGTGTTTCAGACATCGCTAGAATACTGTGTAAGAGAAAAAAAGATGAAAAGGATTCCATGTTAGTTTTGAATTGTCATAAGGCATTATGCAAGGAACGCCAAGTTAAGCCGTTAAAAGAAGCAGCCCACGAAGACTCCTCAAACCACATGATTGAACCAGAATCCTTTTATGGGGTGGCAAAATCGTCCATCAAAAAATGGAAGGTTAAAGAATAACGGCAATATTCAAGAGATATGCCAAGACGGGGACAGCCTAAGGAATTCCTCAAAAAAAAAAGAAAAAAGCTGTATGTGTGTGTGTGTGTGTGTGTGTGTGTGTGTGTGCAGATTACGCTCTATGGGTATAGAGAGGGTCGCAATTTCTTTCTAAACTTAATTCAAATAATAACTGTCAAACCTGAGGTCTCCAAAAGCGACTGGCGCTCCATCTAGCTTGAGATTTCGAAGAACTATAACTTTTTCGCCCCCGCAATACTTACTTTTTATTGCACACGTCGCACGACTCGTACTCCGAAAAACTGTGCGCTTCCTTGATGTGCTTCGTGAGCGTTGCCTTTATTTTGAACTTCGAGTCGCACTGAGCGCAATGGAACCAATTGATCTGCTCCGCAGGGGTATGAACGTGCAATATGTGAGATTTGAGGCGTTGGGCATCTATAAACTCGCACCGAGTCTGATTCCGTAGTTTACATTTCCCGCATCCGTCAGGACATTTTTCGCAAACGAATTTCTGGTGAGACTCCAAAATGTGTCGGACCATCTCTGGCCGCGATTCGGTCCTGAAGTCGCACTGCTTGCATCTATTGGGGTAGTCGTGTTTCCGCATGTGCACCTGCATGCGTTGCTTTGTTATGGTCTCGAACGGACAGTGGGGACATTTTTGCTTGGGCCGATGCCTGCTGCTGCAAGAGAAGAGAAGTCAGTTTCTAGTACTTCCAGGCCGTTGGTGCCTATCCAGTTTTCCCCTAGGTTTTTATCTAGATACCTAGGTAATATCCTAAGCGGGAGTGTCATATTGTCGAAACTGTTCTATCAACAGGTAAATTTTCAACGAGAATGTTTAATGGCCCTAGAAAAAAAATTGCCCCTCTAGAACTCCAACACTCCAAACTGGTCTCGGAAGAATCCCTCTCTCACATCAAATCCTAGGGAAAGTTTTTCAATGTACGAGTTACAAAAGTCCATTCTCCTACGAAATTCACTTTCATACAGATTTTGGTTAGTTTTAGTTAGTTAAAACCACATTTTTCGAAATTTTTATTGCGCTGCCGTGAATTGTTCCCATAGTATGACTGATTTCCCCTAAACACATTGTTTGGTCCACTGCTACATAAGTTTCTGTTGGCCATTTCACTTACAATAAAATTTCTTTATTTTCAGGTTTTTGATGATTTTCATTTTTCAAACAATGCTTTAACCAAGAAAAGTACTACTACCATATTTTCCAATTACTGTTTCAGTATAAGGTTTGAATTTAATCTGACTTTAAATTTAAATCACAAATATCTGCAAAAGTATGGGAGATATATAAAAACGTTTTATTATAAGAATTATTATAAATTGAATATAGATTGATACAAATAGGGCTCTTAGAGGGGTTCCATTGAAAGTTTTCATGGGAAACCAACTCATAAAAATTACTCTTACTCCAGGTATCTCACTTATTATTAATAAAGAGATAGAAATGTAGTTTTCGCGACACTGCGCTACTTTTTTGAGGAGCAAAAGATGAGGCAAAAATAATTTTCAAAAGTTATCAAATAGTTTAAGTACCTCTTAAGCATGCTTAACTTATAAAGCTACAAAGTTTTATATTTAATTACCTTGGAAATGTTTCAGTATTATGGTAGAGTTAAAGACAGTGTAATGAAATATATGAATAAACTGACACAAAGAACTACCTTCTTTAACTAGGCAGACTTTAGAAAATGTATTTTAAGATAGGAATAAATCGAAGTTGGTTTAAAGTCGGATAATATTTGGGTAGCCAAAACGAGGGCCCAAAAATTGTCTATTATAGTTGCTATTTAAATTTATCTTAGTGTGTTTGGTTTATTTCCTTCACAAAAACATTTTTTACTGTTTTTGGGTTTTTTGCTTGTGAAACTTAAAATTGTTTCAAATTGTTTCCATTTAGTGCAAAAAAAAAAAACAAACTGGACCTGTCAAAAAATTCGTGTGGTGGGTCTTTAAAGCATCAAATAAATTATCAATTCGCATGCATATTATGCTTACACTATATGCTTCACAGTATATGCCTTATTTTCATGTCGGTAACTGCAGTAGAGACAACTATATAAGCCATCTTCATCTATTTCCATTTCATGTTCCTGTATCCTAAAAAATACAAAAATCAGTAAGTGCAGAAAATTGCTAATAAATAAACGTGTAGATAAATTAATAATTAATAAATTATTGGTTCTTAAACGTTTTAAACATTTTGGATTGTGTTTTATCAGCAATACTACAATTCAAAATAAGATGTTCAAAAAATATTGTGTCAAATGTTAGTCCCTTAATTCACTTAATTTTAGAAAAAGTACAATATTATTAAAACTTTGGTAATGACGAATCATTGTTTAAATAATTCATATAAGAGGGTTCTTTATATGTAAAAAATGTACCGGGTGGCCAATCTAGGAAACTCGATCCTATTTTGCTCTATCCCTTAAGGGAAGCGGTGGGAGGCGTTTCAATATTTGAAAGTCGTTGAAAAGTTCACTTAGAATTTTTTTCACTGGCAAAACTTCTCAACCCAAGTATCACGAAATTTTGACAGTGGAAGAAATTAATAAAAAATACGACTATTGAACTGAGGTGGCTTTTACTTATCAAAATAAATAAGAACTACAAGTTCAACTGTTGACTTTTTACGAAATTATATATTTTTACTTGACTTTATCAAATGTTGATAAAGATACGGTGTTGTCGAAACAATTGTCATGTAAAAATATATAATTTCGTGAAAATCTGAACTTTTAGTTCTTATTTATTTTTTTTTTAAATACGCAACAGCAATTCCTTGTTTACTAATTTTTGCTTTGTTATATTGCTTAAAAAAAATGAATTATTGAGTTATGAGAATGCAAAAATTATATTTGAAATGTCAATAATAATCAATGCTCATTCAATATTATTGCATATTGCCTATCTTCCCACACAAAATTCGAATTTCTTAAATTCCAAGTGTGCGTTGGAAAACAAAATAGAAAAAATTATAATGGTGGTGCTAAAGTGTCAATCATGTTAAGATTACAACTATTTATAGTATATTTTGCCTCTCTTATATGTAAAAAATGCCTTTTCCATAAATGCTTGATGTATCGCGTTTAGTGCTAATTTGTGTTATTGTTTTTTATTATTGTAATATATTGTATTTCAATAATCAGTCAAATTTGAGTATTTTGCCAAAAGAACAAATATTACAATTTCTTATTTTTACTAGTAAGTAATTATTATTATTAGCTTACTGATTACTGATGTCACAGCTAAGGAGATATGGAAATTCGGTTTTCACTAGCTTGCTAGAAACTTATTTGGCTATCTTTTGTTGCAATAGAAGTGATATTCTTGCATTTATTTATTTTTAAATTTTTCCCAACTTTATAACAGTGTTTATTTTAGTTATCTATAATAAAAGCTTCATTCTCAAAAGGGAGGATTCAAAAATTAAGAATGCGATTATGCTGCCTGGCGCCCATTCTAAAAATTAAAAAAATGTAGGTAGAAGCATTCTCCCTTACACATCTTAACAATGCACGAAAGAGATGTGTTTCCGAAAATGTAATATGAATGTTGCGGTGAAAACTCTTATTACTATTCTTGCCAGTATGGAATTTGTTTAAAATTTAAGTTTCACTCTCAATACCTTCCATCTTTTCTACTACTAAAATTTGCCACCATATTGATGGAACACATCTTATTTATTTATACCTGCTCTATAAGCTATATTGCAAAAAATACTGAACATATGTGATTAAGTTTTAAACAAATAGGATTTTAATATCCTAAACAATTTTACACTAAAAATACTCTATATTTTGTTTATAGTTTAATTTAAGACAGCACTCCCAAAAACAGACTAGTAATAGTAATTGTGTACTGAATACACAATATCAAAACCAGAACTACCATGATTTAACCTTACCTTTTGGACTTATGAGAATTATAATTTAGGATTAACTGCTCAGGTACAGGTCTCTTGACTGACCGTTTCTTAGCAACTACTTGTTTCCGTTTTGGAGCTGTTTTAACAACTTTTTGATTGGCCTCATTTTTTTCCTCCAGAACTTCTTCTTTAGAAATAATATGAATCGAAGGCGTGATCAAGGATTTTCTCTCTATATTGTTGTCCCAATTTTCACTGTCCACTATATCATCTACAGTAATTTCTTCTATCTCAACTTCTAACAGCTCTTTTGGTTCGGCTTTGATACCTCCCAAGATTTCAATGACGGACATGTTTTCGGAGTTCTTAGCAAAGGAACTTAAGTATCAACTGATTTTTGTAATCATCCACAAACGTGATGAAAATAAATGTACCTGTTACTGTGTTTGCGATATTATGGAGTTGTGGTCCAGAAAACCAAAATTATCTTCTAATTTTGCTTTGCCGTGCTAGGGAAGTGAATCGGATCCTAGGATCTCAATGCATTTTGGATCAGCCAAATCTTGGCGATATAAAATGACTAAATTCCACTCGGATGGTCGTCTATCCTCTATAATGTAAAAATATATAAATATACCCACACCATAACGTTCCAACTGCCACGCATTCATTTAAAACCACAGTTTATAGTATAATACCTACAATGCGTCACTGACCGATCTTTGTACTCTCAATAGAATAAAAGAAGAAGACCGAAAAGCATTAGTAATTTTCGTAGATAATGTCTTCAGCGCATGTGTCTGAATTTCCCACGTTCAGTAACTTAATCAGCTATCTGCACACTTAACTTGTTTCCTTTCAATATTAAGTGGGACCTGGGCTCATTTTGACGAAATACTATGGAAAAATTGACACATCTAGACTAACGAGCTCTCAGCTTCGTAATTCGTAGTTCCATGTCGCAAGGTTTTATGGGCTCTACGCAATGGCAGGTATTATTTGTATAAAATTTAAATAGTATATTATGCAACAAGTGCGGTAAACGGCATTTGACTCAAGAGTTTATTTGACACAAGCGGAGCGAGTTTTTAATAAACGAGTGAGTTAAAAAGTTAAATTTAAAACAATTTCGTACGCTGGCGGAATTGCCTAATGTTGAATAAAAGTAAATGAAAAAATAACGAATTAAAAAAGGGGTCAACCGGAACACCTAATCGTAACAGCATTTATTTAAAAATAAAATTCACATTAAAATTACATACAATTACAATAACAATAAAATATTGTGTTAAACGTAAAAGTAAAATTTCAAAAATACATAGTATATAAAAATATTTTTTAGACAATGGAATAAAGCATAACATGCGTTAGACAACGTTTGTACAAAGGTTATAAGTAAAAAAAAAACATTAAAATTTTTCTCAAACAATGATAGACCTAAAAAATCAAATGAAATCCCGATCTTGGCACCCTTATCATTACAAAAATAAATCAACCTATTAAGGCACTTATGCGAAGCATGAAACGCTGTAAGTTAAACGATGCTGCGCTGGGTCATGAAGCACCGCCCACTTTTTAAGACGCATTAGTAAAGAAAATAAGTTGTGACGCAGTACAAAATCACTAATAAATAAATAATTTTTTAATTTTATTATTTCTAAAATTGGCAAGAACGCTAGAGAAATCTAAAATTCCAAAAGTAGTCCACCTCCCAAAGTGGAATAGTAAATTTCTTTAAGTGTCTGTTGGTTGAAATCACTATCAACTTTGTTTTTTTTTTTAATCACTTATGGTTAGAAGCGATGCTATAATTTTGGAACCTGCGTTGATAATACAGGTTTTAAGTTGATCATATTATTCATCATTGTCGTAAGTTTGTCATTTGTCATACTTGCCATTTCAATATCAACAGGAAATCTTCCAATCTGGGCACGAGATATATCCCACACTACCATTTATAAAAGCTGTTATACATCCAATTAGACCGGCAGACCATATTGTCATGCGTTCAAATACGAATGACGCGATGATTGGGTTTAGCTTTGTCACATATCTTGCAACTGTGATATGTGCGTGTAAAGAAAGCTTACGAGAGTTTCTCAAATCGTGAATAGTTAGTATTGACTTGTATAGGATTTGCTATTTTAATTTAATGTGTCATTTGCCTTCAGACTCAGAACTCAAGTCCAATTATTGAATTGATTAGACACAATACATATTGCATCTAAAAGTGTCTTTTTCTACTCCATACTCTAAAATACCCAATTATGCACGTTTCACAGTGAGAAATGATTACACCACGAAAATGGACTATAGTTAAAATATATAACAATCACTGTTTGACAAGTATGAGTTATTACAAATGTTTCAAGTTCCCTCACTGTTAATCATTTCAGTTCTTACATAAACTATGTGGCTCATCACTGGACCGTAATGCTGAGCGAACTGAATTTTCATGTTCCCTCTAAGGCCCGTGTTTCAGCTAGGAACCTCAAAAACCATTTTTTTAATTGAAGCTCCTCGTAATCAGTTGATAGAATTATTTAATAATTTCTGTAATGATTTTCTGTCTTAGTCGTTTAGTTTACCACATTAATTAACCATACATTTTTGTTAGAGTGAATATGAGGTGCATTATGTGCTTTTACCAGTATTTTTGCTAAACAATAAAGGTAATAATACTTATTATTATTCACTGTAGGGAGTCGCTTCGGGCTTTTTTTAGAAAAAAACAAAGTTGGTGATGGTTTGGGGAAAATGAAACGTTGGGACTGAAATTCCACATATTCTGCGTACAAAGTTTTAAAAACCTGACAACGTTCTGGCCGACAATTTTCAAACACCAAGTTATGGCAGTCACAGCGAAATCGAACCGATTTTTAGTGACTTTCCTAACCATTTTGATCCGTTTTTTTATTTTTAACCTGTTCTGTGGTTTAATTTATCAATGTGGTGTGTGTGAAGCTCTATAACTATTAGACGATGCAAAATGCAAAATACAAAGGATTTTATTATATTTTTGTTTTCTAACTTTTTTTTATTAAAAAATTGGATGGTTCGGAAAAAAATCGAGAGATCAAATTTGTTTAAAATTGAATGAAGATTTCAAAAACTATATTTCATTCATACCCGGTATTATAATAAAAAAAAAATAGTTTTTGCTGCAATAATTTCGCAACATCCTGTACAAGGGACCATTATGTTACCTCCCACCCCCCCACCAACTAATTAAAAAAAAAAGTTGTATGGTTTAAATGTATAAAAATCATAATGTTTCAAATCAAAGTTTTACTTTTTTAAATCGGACGCGCTGTATATTATTTCATTGAACGAAAGGACCTTTAATACCAATTTCATAAATACATACCAACTTTAGAAAAATATATAAATTCCACCCTTTTAAATTTACCAAACTTCAGCAGATCAGAGCTTCCAATTTAACAATATATAACATTGACGTATCATGCATTTTCGGCACACCCTTTATATAAATACACATGTAATGTTAAGTATACACATTAAACCTTATAACTTTTCCATTTCACTTTTTGTCTAAAATGTACAATAAAAAGACTATGGGGGGGGGGGGGGGTAACGTTTACAATGAATAACTAAGTACATACAGGGTGTCCCACGACATTACTACCATAACTTGGGAGTGTGTTGCTGGGGTGACTTCAAGTTAAACATGTCAAATGAACATATATATACCAGGGGTGGCCAACTTGATTGGACCCAATATCTCTTGATCACTAACGAGACCCTGTGCGATCTACCAATTACATACCTACTTCTAGAAATGTTAAACAGCATGGTTCAGTACACAATCATGTAGCATTTTTTTATTTTATTAAGAGAAAAAACAGAAATGTGAAAATTATACATACTAACTACTTATTTACATATTATATTAGTGTGAGCATTGCGCCTGAGTATCTTCCACTAGTTTAGCATAATCAGGTTTGTAGTTGGAGATTGCCAGCCTTAAAGAATCCAATGTATGAGCGTCTGTCAAGCGAGAACGGTGTTTACTTTTTGTTTGCTTTAAGTAGGAAAATGGCGACTCACATAAATATGTTGAACCAAAACACGAATGAAGTTGATCAACACATTTCTTCAAATTTGGATACTTTTCGTTAGAAACCAATACCCAGAAATCTTGTCCTGAGGATGACCTTGCTTTAAGAAATATGTCGCAGCGCAGAGTAAGAATTTCGTTTTCTAAATACCGTGACGGAACAGCAATTGAAAAATTACACAAGATGATGCGTCCAGCAGTAGGTGATTACGTGGAGCAGTCTGGTCTACGCATTTATATTTTTTGCCTTGCCACGATCGACTGAACTAACACACGCGATCGACCTGTTGGCCACCCCTGATATATACAACCTGTACGGCTGGTTCGAATAATATGGTAGTTTAAACGTTTCTTAACTGACAGCGTTTGGACTCTACGCGAGCACAATGATTCCGGCTGTCCTTGCAATACCTATTTCTATATACATTATTGTCATGTGATGTATGGTGACAAATCACATCAGTGGCATCAAACTCCATTTCGAATAAAATTTGCTTTGTAAACTCAATGTAAATCGTTTAGTTTTGGCAAATTTTAAACATTGTAAACTGATTTTTGAATTCCGGAAAGGAAGAAAAAGTGTTACAGTGTTAAGACCGCCCACATTTTGGTGTTTATCTTAATTGCACTATTCACTTCATAAATCTAAGGTATACTCGCTATACTCAATTTTGGTGCTTAGAATATAATATACAAAACCAGAAGTGCAAGATTCCTTATTATAACTGATTTGTGGACGAAATGCGAGATACTTCCAATCTGGACTGTAAAACTGGCAGCAACTTGTCAGTTTTATATGTACCGTAAAACTTGGTGAGTTTGTGACACGACGCTAACCATCAACTGATTATTAGTCATATAGTGACTATCGTTCTGCAAGCACGTTTTTTCTTAAATTTGAGTTTTTTGTGATACTTTGTCGAGTACAGAACAAACGATAACAAACATTCAGACCTTGGCGTATACATAGGGAGACCTGATAAGCTGGTGGATTGCGAAGTTATAAACCAGTTCTTTGACAATCTGCAGACTGAGTTGCAGGATGTTGTTCCGGCCAATATATGGAATCATGGTGAAAGGAATCTGGATGATGAAGTGAAGAGTGCTTATGAAACGTGGCACAAAATATCCGGAGCAACTCAAAAATCCACCAAAGCATGTACTTCCCTGATGCTAGCTGGAAATGCGGCAGTAGAGATTGCTTCAGTTTATGTAGCATGTATGTATGCGACTAGATCAGTGGTTGACGATGATGATGATAAAGGTTGGAAATTATGTTATCATACGCTATGAAGGCAATTTTTTTCCTGACGTGGTCACTCTCCTTGGAAGGAAGGAAAATGAGGTTTGTCTTAATGGCCTGACAGAAAGGACAAATCTCGAAGGAGTTTTCTGTTCAGAACAAAATCAATAAGTCATTGCAAATCTCGTCTCGTAGACAAATATTTCATTGCATTTCAATGTTTTTTGGTAAAAATAATTATTTAATGTGCTGTAAGTTTCAAATTATTTGGTTTTGCCTGTTTAGTAGTAAAAACCCTGTTGAGTGGGGTCAAATTGTGACAAGAATTTTTGTGAGTATTTTTTTTGTTAATTTTAAGAGTTGAGATTCTGTGTAGCCTCATTTCTTAAGCGTCAGATATTTTATTTCTATAAAACGTAATTCCGTTATCGACAAAAATTGCCAAATCTATCACGAAGTCACCCCAGTTTCCGGTAAACATTATGCTTGTCCACCTCAACTCTTTTTAACCCACCATATACCAAACCAGATCTTTAACTATTCCGACTCTAGTAGTAGATTTGTGGACCTCGATCTGAGCCGCCCACTTCCAGCTTCACATGCCACCAAAACATAGTGCGCCCTCTGCGAATTGGTTAAGGCTTTGGTTACATTTGTTGAAGTTGAAAAACAAAAAGAATTTGTGAAAAATATTTTCGTCGGTTTTGTTAATATCCGGATGTATCCTAATAACTCCCATTATTTTTTTGACGTTTTAACTTTCACCGATTCGGAGCCGTTCGTGTCGCGCGAGTGTTTGTCGATATGCTTGATGAGAAGAAATTTCGAGTTGGCGGTGTAATTGCAAATATAACATATGTACCGTTGCCTGAAAGCGTCGTGCTTGAAAATATGCACTTTCAAGTTATCCTTGCGGGTCGCCTTAAACGGGCAGTGATAACAGTAAAAGTATTCCAATTCGTCGGGCTTCTTGTGTTTCAGCTCGTGCATCTGCGGGAGAAGTAATTTTCAACTTTGATCGGTTTGAACGCCCGTTTACTTACTCTTAAAGTATGCAATCGGTGCGTCTGATAATCGCAATGTTTGCACTTATAGCACGGCCCGTCTTTCCTGTCGTGCTTGCTTATCAAGTGCAGCTTTAATATGTTTTTGTTGTTGGTCTGGAACGCGCAATATTCACACTGAACTCTGCAAAAATCGATTCATACCGATTGACGGGTTTCGTGAATGACAGGTTCTTAATCATACATGACCCCAGATTTTTTGCTTTAATTTTAAACTCTATATCGATTTTAAATGATTCTGTAGTCCAAATAATATGGTCCCTGACTTAATGTCATTAAGCTTTTATAAGTTAAAGATATATTGGTCTATAGTTGCATCAAATACTTCATTTCATAAATAGTCGGTACCGTTTGTGATGGCATAGTCGACAATAAAATGCCAGACAGAATGATATAGAATGTTCATTTTGCGTCCACTTATACTTGTTCCGCCCTAAATGTTTATCTGTGGTGTAAGAGAGACAGATTCAGTTGTACTTGGCATCGTGCTCTAAAAATCGATGTTATTTTATGGTGCATGAAAGTTACAGTAAACTTTGGTAGATATCAAAATTTGTACTAGCAAGAACGTTTTCCAATGATGTTTTTCCAAATATCTCGCGCACCTTGTATAATTGTATAAGTCAGAAAATTGTAGCTTTCGACACAGCTTATGATACTGTTTCATTTATTTATTTATTAACCCAAAAGGCTAAACTAATATAATTATCTGGTAATTTTGACATTTTAATATACGAGTGGAAACAGGTAAAATACTTAAAATTCTTAAATTTCGTTAGAAAAATTAGGTAATGACAAAAACTTATTTTGAAATAAGCATGATATTGAATAAATTATATAACTTTAAAATCGATCGAAAGATATCGATAAATTGACGTATTTTTCTAAACGATTTTATATAAACATATGTAAACTGTACAGGGTGTCCAAATAGGGTGTCAAAGTAATATTTATTATTTGTTTTAGAAAAAATAAAATAATACGAAAGTTTTAGATGAAGAAACAATAAAAAATTGTTCTCTAATATTGGTGATTGGTGAATGTGGTCATAAATATGTGGGAAACCGAATTTATACAATAATTATAAATGGAACACGCTGTATATTATTGTAGGGTTGTTATGGTCTATACCGAGTGTTTTAGGATTTATTATTTATACCATGTGTTTAACACTCTTTATTTTTGACGCCATTTCCGACAGCTATATCATTCCAACAATTATATAAAGTAGTACAGTCATTTATTTTATACTTGTCTTGAAGTTAATTGGAATTTCTTATACCAGGCTAGTCAAAGTGAAAAAAATAATTTTTTTGAATCAATCCCTGTATATTAAACATCCATTAATTATCCCTTTCAATTTTATTAAGCACTTCCTATATATTTTTACGTACAAATTTTGTAAAATTATGAGAAAATATAGCCACGAAAAATAAAAATAAATAGTTACATTTTTAATTGTGTGGAAAAAAAATGTTTCCTTGCTTTCAATTAATTTATAAATTCTGCCTTTCATGAAGCCCAAAATATTAGAGAACTACGCGGAGAAAAATGTTGAATACAAAAGTTATAGAAACAATTTAAAAATTATCTTCAAATATACAGGGTGATTCGTAAATATGTGGGAAATCAAACTTATATATTTCTTAAAGGGAACACCCTGATATATTATGGCATTAATTATTCCCTTTTATAATCAATCACCCAATGCATGGTTGTTATGGTCTATATTGAGTGTTTTCGATTTTATTAATTATTTTTGTTTAAATCTCGGATTTTTTTGTTTTTTAGTTTATTTCAAACCTCTAAACAGTTAACAATAAAACTGGCCCCGAGGCCTTACAAAAACAGTAAAAGAAATAATAATAATTAATATATATTACTTATATTAATATAAGTTTATATTCTATTTTTTCTTATAAAGTCTTTAAGGTTATGATTTGTGCTGTAACTGTAACACTGTCCATTTCCAGTCAGTTTCACATTTGTTTTAATCAGTTTGTTTTGAATTAAATAAATTAATTTTGTTTGTTCAAGTATCTTAAGTTCACATATTTTTAAATAAGGTTAGTTTGTGTAGATTTCTTCACTAGACATATTCATTCCAAATATTACTTTATGCTTAATAATACACTTAAGCGCTTAATAAATTATTTTAACGCATGCTGTTATCTGAAAAAGTGATACTTATAATCTTTTGTGATTTTTTCACACGGTTTGAAAATTTTCAGTATCTTGGTCATAAAAGTGTGTACATCTAAAAAAATAGTAAGGTTCTGAAATAGACTTTAGTAATGAAATAGCTGCTAGGTAGACATTTGGCAACGTGGCATTATGCCAAACCCATTGGGCACAACCAGTTCATACTAAATTTCTTGAGTTTACATGTAATCTATCCAACTGACCTTTTTACCAAACACTAAATCATATTTACCTCTGGCTCAAATGCGTTTTCTTCATGTGAGCTTTCAATAAGGACTCAAACTTGGTGGTGTAGTTACAAACATTGCATTTCAAGTCTTCCACTTCGTCCAAGTTTCCGTGTCGCATCATATGATTGATAAAGCAAGTCTTGGAAAACACAGAGAAATCGCATTGGTTGCACTTGAAGGCCTTCTTCTTGTGGACACGATGTTTATGCTTTATCATTCTATTTCGAGACGAAAATCTAAAACACGGTCATTTTCTTGGCACAAATTCAAAATTTTTACTTTTTTATTGTGAGGAATAGTTACTAGGAATAAACGATTTGTGCCGAAATTAATAATTTCATTATCAATTTGTTTGTGACTTCTCAATGGGACAACGAAGATATGCGAAAACTTTTATCGTTAAACTTTTTAAAAATTTAATTTTTACGTTAATGTTTATTTAAAAAAAGTGAAAAATTGCTGTGATTAGGCAGGGTCATGTTGACGTCCGCTGGTGTTGTTTCTAAACTCTCAGTACTGCATTTGACTATGTTAAGTTCTACTCTTAATATTTTGAAGATAGCAGATTGAGATATATAAAAGACAGAACATTTTTTTAAAATATTTTTTTTACCAGAAAATCTCTCACGGTATCATGTAAACATTTCTTTTAGGAATCTTAATATGCAAAATATATATGTTTGTATCGCCACGCTTTTATATAACATCTTGGATAATTAACAACATCTTAAAATATTTTTCTTTTCATTTTATGTAGCACTTATTAAAATGTTTTTTCAAAATTATGATTAATAAGGGAGATACAGCAATTTTACGATAGCAACAATAATAATGAGTATATACACCAATACCTCTGCTTTAATTTTTATAAACTGATATACAAGCTGGCGCTCCATCTAGATCGAGATTTTGAAGAACCATAACTTTTTCGCCCCCGCAATACTTACTTTTTATTGCACACGTCGCACGACTCGTACTCCGAAAAACTGTGCACTTCCCTGATGTGCTTCGTGAGCGATGCCTTTTTTTTGAACTTCGAGTCGCACTGAGCGCAATGGAACCAATCGATTTGCTCCGCAGGGGTATGAACGCACAATATGTGAGATTTAAGGCCGTAGACGTCTATAAACTCGCACCGAGTCTGGTTCCGCAGTTTACATTTCCCGCATCCGTCCGGACATTTCTCGCAAACGAATTTCTGGTGAGACTCCAAAATGTGTCGGATCATCTCCGGCCTCGATTCCGTCCTGAAGTCGCACTGCTTGCATCTATTGGGGTAGTCGTGTTTCCGCATGTGCACCTTCATGAGTTTGTTTGTTATGGTCTCGAACGGACAGTGGGGACATTTTTGCTTGGGCCGATGCCTGTTGCTGCAAGAGAAGAGAAGTCAGCTTCTAGTGCTTCCGGGCCGTTGGTGCCTATCCAGTTTTCCCCTAGGTTTTCATCCAGATACCGAAGTAATATCCTGAGCGGGAGTGTCATATTGTCGCAACTGTTCTATCAACAGGTAAATTTTTAACGAGAATGGCTCTAGAAAAAAAATTGCCCCTCTAAAACTCCAATACTTCAAATTGGTCTCGGAAGAATCCCTCTCCCACATCAAATCCTAGGGAAAGTTTTTCAATGTACCAGTTACAAAAGTCCATTCTCCTACGAAATTCACTTTCATACAGGTTTTGGTTAGTTTTAGTTAGTTAAAACCATACTTTTCGAAATTTTTATTGCGCTGCCGTGAATTGTCCCAATAGTATGACTGACGTCGCGTAAACACATTGTTTGGTCCACTGCTACATAAGTTTCTGTTGGTCATTTTACTCACAATAAGATTTCTTTATTTTCAGGTTTTTGATGATTTTCATTTTTCAAACAATACTTTAACCAAGAAAAGTACTATTACCATATTTTCCAATTATTGTTTCAGTATAAGGTTTGAATTTAATCTGACTTTAAATTTAAATCACAAATATCTGCAAAAGTATGGGAGATACATAAAAACGTTTTATTATAAGAATTATTATAAATTGAATTTGGATTGATACAAATAGGGCTCTTAGAGGGGTTCCATTGAAAGTTTTCATGGAAAACCAACTCATAAAAATTACTACTTACTTTAGGTATCTCACTTATTGTTAATAAAGATAGAGAAATGTAGTTTTCGCAACGCTGCGCTACTTTTTCGAGGAGCAAAAGATGAGGCAAAAATAATTTTCAAAAGTTATCAAATAGTTTAAGTACCTCTTAAGCATGCTTAACTTATAAAGCTACAAAGTTTTATATTTGATCTTTCAGTATTATGGTAGAATTAAAGACAGTGTAATGAAATATATGAATAAACTGCCACAAAAAAATACCTTCTTTAACTAGGCAGGCATTTTTTTTAGAAAATGTATTTTAAGTTGTCTATTATAGTTGCTATTTAAATTGCTATTTAGATTGATTGATTTATTTCCTCCACAAAAACATTTTTTACTGTTTTTGAGCTTTTTGCTTCTGAAACTTAAAATTGTTTCAAAATGTTTCCATTTAGTGCAAAAAAAAAGACAAACTGGACCTGTCAAAAAATTCGTGTGGTGGCTCTTTAAAGCATCAAATAAATTATCAATTCTCATGCATATTATGCTTACACTATATGCTTCATAGCATATGTCTTTTTTTCATGTCGGTAACTGCAGTAGAGACAACTATATAAGCCATCTTCATCTATTTCCAATTCATGTTCTTGTACCCTAAAAAATACAAAAATACAAAATCAAAAATTGATAATAAATAAACGTGTAGATAAATTAATAATTAATAAATTATTGGTTGTTAAAAGTTTTGAACATTTTGGATTGTGTGTTACCAGCAATACAATTCAAAATAAGATGTTAAAAAAATAATCGGGTGGCCAATCTAGGACACTCGACCCTATTTTGAATTGTCCTAAAGATTTGGGATGAAAAAAATTATAACTAAAGCGCCTGAGAGAAAATGCAATTTTCAGGTCTTTTATTTTTATTTTTAAGCGTTTTGCTCTATCCCTTAAGGGGAAGTGGTGGCAGGCGTTTCAATATTTGAAAGTCCTTGAAGAATTTTTTTCACCGGCAAAACTTTTTTTTGACAGTGGAAGAAATTAATAAAAAATACGACGTTTGTGATTCTAATTTCAGGCATTAAACGAACAGCAATTCCTTGTTTACTTATTTTTGCTTTGTTATATTGCTAAAAAAAAATAATTAATTATGGAGTTCTTAGAATGCAAAAATTATATTTGAAATGTCAATAATAAGCATTTTGTCTTGGTCATTTTAGTTTTTTGTTTGTTTTCGAGGGAGCGTCAATAATGTCAATATATATGGGAGGTAAAAGCATTCTCCTTACACATCTTATCAATACATGAACAATCTGACATGACAATGATGACAACTCTTATTACTATTCTTGCCAGTATGAAAATTGTTAAAAATTTAAGTTTCATTCTCAATACCTTCCATCTTTTCCACTACTACAATTTTCCACTATATGGATGGAACACATCTTATTTATTTATACCACCTGTTGTGATTAACTTTTAAACAAATTGGATTATAATATCTATACAATTTTAAACTAAAAATACTCGATATTTTTTTATAGTTTGCTTTAAGACAGCACTTCCAAAAACAGACTAGTAATAGTAATTGTGTACTTAATACACAATAGCAAAACCAGAACTACCATGATTTAACCTTACCTGTTGGAGTTATGAGAAGTATAATTTAGGATTAACTGCTCAGATACAGGTTCCTTGACTAGCCGTCTCTTAGTAACTTCCTTCTCTTTTGCAACTGTTTTAACGACTTTTTGATTGGCCTCATTTACTTCAGCCAGAACTTCTTCTTTAGAAATAATATTAATTGAAGGCGTTATCAAGGACTTTGTCTCTATATTGTTGTCCAAGTTTTCACTGTCCACTAGATCATCTTCAGTAATTTCTTCTATCTCAACTTCTAACACCTCTTTTGGTTCAGCTTTGATACCTCCCAAGATATGAATGACGGACATGTTTTCGGATTTCTTAGCAAATGAACTCAAGTATCAACTGATTTTTGCATCATCCACAAACGTGATGAAAATAATTGCACCTGTTGCTGGCGATATCATGGACTTATGGTCCAGAAAACCAAAGTTATGTTCTAATTTTGCTTTGCTGTGCTATCGAAATGAATCAGATCTTAGGATCTCAATACATTTTGGATTAGTAGTAAAACCACAGTTTATGCTATTGTTAGATTGGACTCTCTCTCTCTCTCTCGCTCTATTACAATTAAAATGTCCATAAAGTCCGTTTCTACTAATTTTCACTTTATTAACAGATGTTAAATCAGCAACACTGCGCACAAATACTGAATGAGATTTACCTTCGAAAAAATTAAATCTCAATATCAACAACATACACGTTCCAATAACTACCCATGTCTTTAAGAAGAAGAGAACTCAATAGGAGGAACTTTAAAAAAGACGACTTAAACGTTGGTCATGGCGATCTTGGCCAATAGTAGAAAAAAAAAAGATTTGAACGCTGACGTGTGATTCCATTGGTGTTAGAATCTAATCACGTAATATTGGATTGTTGGATTCGGAACTTGAGTAGGCAAAATATTATATGCACAATTTGGGAAGAAAAGATCTTGATTAGTCTCCGACTATTTTCCCAACCCTTGCTTGGCTCGAGTGTCCTTGACTCGTAAGTATGGCCTACACCCTTGCATATGTCTTTCCTAGAGCAGACACCAGCGGATCTTTAGTCTCGTGGTAGTGAAAACAATACAAGTTATAGAGAAGCCTAGCATAAGAACCAGCGGTCATCAATTTTTAAAAAGAACTTAAGTAATATATTGTCAACAAGTAAAGTGCTTCTGATTTAAATTTTGTTTCGAATTTACAGTTAATGAAATTTTTGCTTTAGTTATTCTACCAATAATTAACAATACTTTAATGTATTATAAATGAACATTTTTTTTTATTGCTTACATCTTTTTTTAATTCTTTAATTTAATTTTTAATCGTGATCCTCTCAAATCAAGTAATATAACAGTTCCTTGGAAAGAGTAACACTGAAGCATTGTATGTTGGATGCCATTGTGCAAATAAACAATAAATATTATGCTATTAAAAAATGCAGCATTTATTTTTATTTAATTTCTTATTGTGTTTATAAGCATCAATGTACTTTGTTCTTTTCAATAAAAGCCTTATTAAATAAATCATGTATTTATTCATTCATATTTTTATATTGTGTTCATTATAGCTTCTGTGAACTTCAAAACGAGTTAATAAAAAAAAAGAAGACCGAAACGAATTGTCACTAATTTTCGTAAAGGGAATGATTTTCCGTGCTTAACTTGTTTCCTCTCAACTTTAAATGGGGCCTGGGCACATTTTGACAAAATACTATTGAAAAATTGATACATATATACTATACTGGCGAACCATCAGCTTTGTAATTCGTAGTTGAATTTCGCAAAGTTTAAGCTGGCTTAATTGCCTAATGTTAAATAAAAGTCTATAAAAAAACAATCAATTAAAAGAGGGGTCAACCAGTACACCTACTGGCAACAGAATTTATTTAAAAATAAAATTCACATTAAAATTATATACAATAAAAATAACAATAAAATATTGTGTTAAATGTAAAAGTAAAATCCCAAAAGTACATAGTATATAAACATATTTTTTAGAGAATGTGATAAACTACGATAACATGTGTTAAACAACGTTTGCATATGGAATATAAGTAAAAAACATTAAAATTTTTCTAAAACAACGATAGATCTAAAAATCATATAAAGTCCCGATCTTGGCACCCTTATCATTACAAAAATAAATTAACCTATTAAGGCACTTATGCGAAGCTGCTGCGCTGGGTTATGAAGCACCGCCCACTTTTTAAGATGTATTAGTAAAGAAAATAAGTTGTGACGCAGTACAAAATCACTAATAAAAGAATACGCATAACGAATATTTACGAATACAAATACCTCTTTGCGGAACGGATATGGTTCCCGCGGGTTTTCAAATATTTGAATAACATTTTTTAATTTTATTATTTATAAAATTGGCAAGGACGTTAGAGAAATCTAAAATTCCATCTCCCAAAGTGGAATAGTAAATTTCTTTAAGTGTCTGTTGGCTGAAATCACTATCAACTTTGTTTATTGTTTTATCACTTATGGTTTGACGCGATGCTATAATAAACGAGTGAGTTAAAAAGTTTACCGAACGTGTTGCATACTATAATTTTTCTACGATCGTTCGTTTTTGGGTACATTTTCGCAAAACACGACCGTCGTCGGCTGACGCCGACTGACATGACCGTCGGAATTGACAAACGTCAAAATTCAAAGCATGGGAAATGTCTCCGAAAACATCCGATTGCTCTCAAACCCGTGCGGTAAAATCCCGGAAATGTCCGAAGTGGCTCGGATTCGTGGGAAACGAAACTGACGTCGTAAAACTACGCTTCCCGCACGCTAGGTCGGTGTGTAATTAGGTATTTTACAGACGGGAGTTGAAAAAACATATAGCAATCACCGTTTGACTAGTATGAGTTATTACAAATGTTTCAGGTTCCCTCACTGTTAATCATTTCCGTTCTTATAGAATAGATCTGAGAAAATACTTTAGTTAAGATGTTTTCAAAGTAATTCGGAATCAAGTGAAGATTTTGATGCGGTTTCATATAGGGAAACCAGCTCGTCTTCTATATCTAAGTTTGATGATAGGTAGGAAGGTGACATACCACCAGCAATTAGATCAGTGGTTGACGATGATGATGATAAAGGTTGGAAATTATGTTATCATATGCTATGAAGGCAATTTTTTTCCTGACGTGGTCCCTCTCCTTGGAATGAAGGAAAATGAGGTTTGTCTTAATGCAATGGAGCGAACTGGTCTGACAGAAAGGATGAACAAAATCAATAAGCCATTGCAAATCTCGTCTCGTAGACAAATATTTCATTGCATTCCAATGTTTTTTAGTAAGAATTATTATTTAGTGTGCTGTAAGTTTCAAATTTTTTGTTTTTGCTCGTTTAGTAAGTTTTCTTTGTGTACACTTTGTGACAGACATTTTTGTATGATCAAAATTTGGGAGGTGTCTTCGTGACAATATGAAAAACATACTTTCAGACCGTTATTTTCCACAAAATCCCGTCGAGTGAGGTCAAATTGAAACAAGAATTTTTGTGAGTATTTTTTTGTTAATTTTAAGGGTTAAGATTCTGTGTAGCCTTATTTCTTAAGCGTCAGATATTTTATTTCTATAAAACGTAATTCCATTATCGACAAAAATTGCTAAATCTATCACGAAGTCACCCCAGTTTACGGTAAACATTATGCTTGTCCACCTCAACTCTTTTTAACTCACCATATACCAAACCAGAACTTTAACTATTCCGACTCTAGTAGTAGATTTGTGGACCTCGATCTGAGCCGCCCACTTCCAGCTTCACATGCCATCAAAACATAGTGCGCCCTCTGCGAATTGGTTAGGGCTTTGTACGAAGGCTTTGGTTATATTTGTTGAAGTTGAAAAACAAAAAGAATTTGCGAAAAATATTTTCGTTGGTTTTGTTAATATCCGGACGTATCCTAATAACTCCCATTATTTTTTTGACGTTTTAATTTTCACCGATTCGGAGCCGTTCGTGTCGCGCGAGTGTTTGTCGATATGCTTGACGAGAAGAAATTTCGAGTTGGCGGCGTAATTGCAAATATAACATATGTACCGTTGCCTGAAAGCGTCGTGCTTGAAAATATGCACTTTCAAGTTATCCTTGCGGGTCGCCTTAAACGTGCAGTGATAACAGTAAAAGTATTCCAACTCGTCGGGCTTCTTGTGTTTCAGCTCGTGCATCTGCGGGAGAAGCCATTTTCAACTTTGATCGGTTTGAACGACTGTTTACTTACTCTTAAAGTATGCAATCGGTGCGTCTGATAATCGCAATGTTTGCACTTATAGCACGGCCCGTCTTTCCTGCCGTGCTTGCTTATCAAGTGCAACTTTAATATGGTTTTGTTGGTGGTCTGGTACGGGCAATATTCACACTGAACTCTGCAAAAATCGATTCATATCGATCGACGCGTTTCGTGAATGACAAGTTCGTAATCATACATAACCGCAGATTTTTTGTTTTAATTTTAAACTCTAGATCGATTTTAAATGATCCAAATAATATGGTCCTTGACTCACTGCCAATAAGTTTTTATGGGCTAAAGATATATTGACTAGAGAATTTAATAGTCGGTACCATTTGTGATGGCATAGCCGACAATAAAATGCCAGGCAGAATGAAATAGAATGTTCATTTTGCGTCCACTTATACTTCAACAGATGTTGTTCCGCCCTAAATGTTTATCTGTGGTGTAAAAGAGACAGATTCAGTTGTACTTGGCCCATACTCAGAGATGTATTCGAGTATCTTTTATATAATAATACATCAGGGTGTCCCTTAACGATATACGAATATTTAAGTAGGTGAATCCGAAAGAAAAAGTTATGATAATTTGTTTGCCTGACTGTGTAAATAGTAAATATAGTTTGTATTTACGATGAAACATCTTCAGCATCAGAGCCAAAATTGGAACTTGAACGGCAAAATTGCTTTCGACATCTCGTGGCGGCTGAAGCGAGGCGCTACGCAGGCTACAAACTCACTACGCAACTTTATATTTCAAAGAGGCCGCTTCTTGTACTAGTGGTGACGTATTGTATAAAGTGTCTTTTACGTCTCGTCGAAAGTTACGGTAATCTTTGGTAGATATAAAAGTTTGAACTAGCAAGAACGTTTTCCAATGATATTTTTCCAAATATCTCGCGCACCTTGTATAATTGTATAAAATCAAAAAATTGTAGCTTTAAAGGCTAAACTAACGTAATTGTCTGGTCATTTTTACATTCTTATTATGCGAGTGGAAAGAGGTAAAATACTGAGGCACCTTCTCTATTGGTTTTATCACCGACTATGCCATCGCAAATCGTACCAACCATTCATCTTTAAAAACAAACAGAATAACAGAGGCCTCGAGATCGAAGCTTGGGGCACGCCCTGTCCCACAGAAAGGTTGATGATTGAATGAAAAAAAAAAAAAACTTTTGACAAAGAATTTCAGCATAATTTTTTGGGAGAAAAGTCGCTTAAGTTGCTTACCAAAAACGTAGTCCTAAGCAATAAAAATTGGTTTAATGTTTCGAGATTTGCTTGATTTTTGGCAAACAAAAACAAGAATTCATAAAATTCTTAAATTTGGTTAGAAAAATTAGGTAGTGACAAAAACTTATTTTTAAATAAGCATGATATTGAATAAATTATATAACTTTAAAATTGATCGAAAGATATCGATAAATTGACGTATTTTTCTAAACGATTTAATATAAACATATGTAAACTGTACAGGATGTCCAAATAGGGTGTCAAAGTAATATTTATTATTTGTTTTAGAAAACATAAAATAATACGAAAGTTATAGATGAAGAAACAATAAAAAAATTATTCTCAAATATGGGTGATTGGTGAATGTGGTGATTCATAAATATGTGGGAAACCGAATTTATACAATAATTATAAATAGAACACGCTGTATATTGTATTGCAATGTAGAGTTGTTATGGTCTATACCGAGTGTTTTAGGATTTATTATTTATACCATGTGTTTAACACTCTTTATTTTTGACGACATTCCCGACAGCAATAATTTTATCATTCCAACAATTTTATAAAGTAGTACAGTCATTTATTTTATACTTGTCTTGAAATTAATTGGAATCGCTTATACCAGGCGAGTCAAAGTGGAAAAATTAATTTTTGTGAAGCAATCAAATGAAACGCCCTGTATATTATACATACATTAATTCTTTCAATTTTATTAAGCACTTCTTATAACTAAACTTACTATAATATACAGCGTGATTCGTAAATATGTGGGAAATCAAACTTATATATTTCTTAAATGGAGCATCCTTTTAAATCCTTTAAATTAAATATAATAGTTTTTTAATATAACATTTGATAAAGAGACGGCGTTGTCGAAACAATTGTCATGTCAAAATATATAATTTCGTGAAAATCTGAACTTTTAGTTCTTATTTATTTTGATAAATGGATTTTCATCAAGTAAAAGATTCCTCGGTTCAATTTTTTAATATAAGTTTATATTTTATTTTTTCTTATAAAGTCTTTAAGGTTATGACACATTTTCTTGGTAGTGCTTTTTAATAATTATTGAACAAAGTTCGCATATTTTTAAATAAGGTAGGTTTGTGTAGATTGCTTCACTAGACATATTCATTCCAAATATTACTTTATGCTTAATAATATACTTAAGCGCTTAATAAATTATTTTAACGAATGCAATTATCTGAAAGTATTATACTTAATTTACCTCTGGTTCAAATGTGTTCTCTTCATGTGAGCTTTCAATGAGGACTCAAACTTGGTGGTGTAGTTACAAATCTTGCATTTCAAGTCTTCCACTTCGTTCAAGTTTCCGTGTCGTATCATATGATTGATCAAGGAAATCTTGGAAAACACGGAGAAATCGCATTGGTTGCACTTGAAGACCTTCCTCTTGTGGACCCGAAGTTTATGATTTAACATTCTATTTCGAGACGAATATCTAAAACAAGGTCATTTTCTTGGCACAAATTCAATATTTTTACTTTTTTATTGCGGGGATTAATTAATTAATTATTAATAATTAGATAAAAATTATAAATAATTATTTAAAAAAAAACATTAGATTTGAGCCGAAATTAATAATTTCATTATCAATTTGTTAGTGGCTTCTCAATGGGACAACGGAGATATGCGAAAACTTTTATCGTTAAACTTTTTAAAAATTTAACTTCGGCGTTAATGGTTTTTTAAAAAAAGGGAAAAATTGCTGTGATTAGGTACGTCCGCTGGTGTTGTTCCTAAACTCTTAGTACTGCATTTGACTATGTTAAGGTCTACTTTTAATATTTCGAAGATAGCAGATTGAGATATATAAAAGACTGTAGAACATTTTTTTTTAATATTTTCTTTACCAGAAACTCTCTCACGGTGTCATGTAAACATTTCTTTTAGGAATCTTAATATGCAAAATATATATATATATTATTGCCACGTTTTTATACAGCATCTTGGAAAATTACGAATATCTTAAAATATTTTTCGTTTCACTTTACGTAGTACTTTATTAAAATATTTTTTACTACGCTATATATTTTCACAATTTATACCAATAATTACCAATAATTTTTATAAATTGATATACAAGCTGCCCCATAACTAATGATGCACTGTAAAACTGCAGATTGTTTTTTTTTAATAAAATTTTTCAAAATTACATGCAAAAATTTCAGTTTCACAGTACATTACCGTAACTACACCAACTGAAGTACCGCAAACAACGCCCTCTATAACCTACATTACCACAATCTACAAGTTCTCCCATTCCAAAATATCATGCAAAACTGTTAGTTCAAAATTAAGTTAGGTAAATTAATATCTACTCGAAGGGGGTATATTATGTTAGCATAATATTTGTACTAAAAGAATCAGCAGTTTTACTGTGTACCAATAATTAAATAGTTTCGTCGAAAGATAAATCTGGGTGAAGTCTGCTACAGCGTTGGAGATGCTTCTGAATATTCCACCACTACATGTGAGGTTGTAGTGGTGTTGTTTATGACAGCACTACACCCAAATACTGTTTTGTTAAACATTACAAGACTGAAATCTCAAAGAAGACTTGCTAGTAAACCACCAATAGCACCAAAAATAATCTGGTATGCAGTTAAGGTTAGCCTTTAAAAGAAGCAGCCCACGAAGACTCGTCAACCCACATGTTTGAACCAGAATCCTTTTATGGGGTGGCAAAATCGGCCATCAAAAAATGAATGGTTAAAGAATAACGGTAATATCGAAGAGATATGCTAAGACGAGGACAGGCTAAGGAATTCCTCAAAAAAAAAAAAAAAAGCTGTGTGTGTGTGTGTAGATTACGCTCTATGGGTATAGAGAAAGTCGCAATTTGAATTCTAAGCTTAATCCAAATAAGAACCATCTCCATCTAGATTGAGATTTCGAAGATCTATAACTTTATCGCACCCGCAATACTTACTTCTTATTGCACACGTCGCACGACTCGTACTCCGAAAAACTGTGCGCTTCCCTGATGTGCTTTATGAGCGGTCCCTTTTTTTTGAACTTCGAGTCGCACTGAGCGCAATGGAACCAATCGATCTGCTCCGCAGGGGTATGAACGCACAATATGTGAGATTTAAGGCCGTGGGCGTCTATAAACTCGCACCGAGTCTGATTCCGCAGTTTACATTTCCCGCATCCGTCCGGACATTTTTCGCAAACGAATTTCTGGTGAGAGTCCAAAATGTGTCGGATCATCTCCGACCGCGATTCGGTACTGAAGTCGCACTGCTTGCATCTATTGGGGTAGTCGTGTTTCCGCATGTGCACCTTCATGCGTCGGTTCGTTATGGTCTCGAACGGACAGCGGGGACATTTTTGCTTGGGCCGATGCCTGTTGCTGCAAGAGAAGAGAAGTCAGCTCCTAGTGCTTCCTGGCCGTTGGTGCCTATCCAGTTTTCGATTAGGTTTTCATTTAGATAACTAGGTAATATCCTCAAGAGGTAAATTTTCAACAAGGTTCTCGAAAGAAAATTGCCCTTATAAAACTCCAACACTCCAAACTGGTCTCGGAAGAATCCCTCTCTCTCATCAACTCCTAGGGAATGTTTTTCAATGTACCAGTTACAAAAATCCATTCTCCTATGAAAGTCACTTTCCTACAGGTTTTGGTTAGTTTTAGTTAGTTAAAACCATATTTTTCGAAATTTTAATTGCGCTGCCATGAATTGTTCCAACAGTACGACTGATTTCGCGTAAAGATATTGTTTTTCCACTGCTACATAAGTTTCTGTTGGCCATTTCACTTACAATAAAATTTCTTTATTTTCAGGTTTTTGATGATTTTCATTTTTCAAACAAAGACCGTGTAATGAAATATATGGTATATGGTACTATTTAAATTTATCTCAAAGTGTGTTCGGTTTATTTCCTCCACAAAAACATTTTTTACTGTTTTTGCGTTTTTTGCTGCTGAAACTTAAAATGGTTTCAAATTGTTTCCATTTAATGCAAAAAAAAAAACAAACTGAACCTATCAAAAATTATCAATTCTCATGGATATTATGCTTACACTATATGCGACATAGTATACGTCTTTTTTTCATGCCGGTAAAGGCAGTAGAAACAACTGTATAAGCCATCTTCATCTATTCCGATTTCATATTCCTGTACCCTAAAAAATACAAAAATCGGTAAGTGCAAAAAATTTCTAATAAATAAACGTGTAGATAAATTAATAATTAATAAATTATTGGTTTTTAAACGTTTTGGACATTTTGAATTGTCTGTTACCAGCAATACAATTCAAAATAAGATGTTAAAAAAATATTCCGTCAAATGTTAGTTATTTAATTCACTTCTGACACCCGACCCTGTTTCGAATTGTCCTAAAGATTTGGGATGAAAAAAATTATAACTATAGCGCTTGAGAGAAAATGCTGGAAAATATTTTTAGGTCTTTTATTTTTAAGTAATTTGCTCTATCCCTTAAGGGGAAGTGGTGGGAGGCGTTCGAATATTTCAAAGTCGTTAAAATGTCACGAAATTTTGACAGTAGAAGAAGAAATTAATAAAAAATACGTCGTTTGTGATTCTAATTTCAGGCATTAAACCAACAGCAGTTCTTTGTTTACTTATTTTCGCTTTGTTATATGGCTAAAAAAAATTTAATTATTGAGTTTTGAGAATGCAAAAATTATATTTGAAATGTCAATAATAACACATCTGACCACACAAAATTCCAAGTGTGCTTTGGAAAACAAAATAGGAAAAATTATAACGGTGGTGCTTAATTGTCAATCATGTTAAGATTACTGCAATTTAAAGTGTATTTTGGTTGTCTTATTTGTAAAAATGCCTTTTCCAGAAGTGCTGGATGTATCGTGTTTAGTGCTAATTTGTGTTATTGTTTTTTTATTATTGTAATATATTGTATTTCAATAATCAATCATATGGGAATGAGTATTAATTATTATTAACATTTTAAATTTAATATTGGCATTTAACAGTGCGATTATGCCGCTTGGCGGCCGTTCTAAAGATTAAAAAATGTTTCCAGCATTCTGTTTTGGTCACTTTAGTTTTTTGTTTGTTTTTGAGAGAGGGTCAATATTGCCCACATCATTGGATTGTCTCTTACACACCTTATCAATGCATGAAAGACATGTGTCTCCAAAAATGTGGTATGAATGTTGTGGTGACAACTCCTGTTGCTATTCTTAACAGTATAAAAATTGTTAAAAATTTCAGTTTCACTCTCAATACCTTTCATCTTTTTTACTTCTAAAATTTGCCACCATATTTATGGAACATATCTTAATTACTTATACCACCTGTTGCTCTATAAGCTATAATACAAAAAAAATTGACCATATGTGACTAAGTTTTAAACAAATTAGATTTTAATATCTAAACAATTTTAAACTGAAAAATATTCCATATTTTTTTATAGTTTACTTTAAAAGAGCACTCCCAAAAACAGTCTAGTAATAATAACTGCGTACTCAATCCACAATGATTTAACCTTACCTGTTGGAGTTATGAGAAGTATAATTCAGGATTAACAGCTCAGGTACAGGTCTCTTGACTGGCCGTTTCTTAGCAACTACTTCTTTCCCTTTTGAAGCTGTTTTCACAACTTTTTGATTGGACTCATTTATTTCCGCCAGAACTTCTTTAGAAATAATATTAATTGAAGGCGTTATCAAGGATTTTGTCTCTATTTTGTTGTCCAAGATTTCACTGTCCAGTATATCATCTTCAGTAATTTCTTCTATCTTAACTTCTAACAGCTCTTTTGGTTCGGCTTTGATACCTCCCAAGATATGAATGACGGACATGTTTTCGGCTTTCTTAGCAAAGGAACTTAAGTATCAACTGATCTTTGTAATTATCCACAAACGTGATGAAAATAAATCCACCTGTTGCTGTGAGCGATATTATGGACCAAAAAACCAAGGTTATGTTCTAATTTTGTATTGCTGTGCTATCGAATTAAATCGGATCTTAGGACTTCAATGCATTTTGGATCAGTCGAATCGTGGCGTTATAAAATAACTAAGTTCCATTCGGATGGTCGTACATAACGTAAAGAATATATAAATATACCCACAAGATAATGTTCCTAGCGCAGCGTACTGTTTCAGAACCACAGTTTATGATATTGTTAATCTGAAGTCATTAGTCCATATCTTTGATAAGAAGAGAACTTAAAACGAGGAAATTTATGGTAGACCGATTTTTGTATATTTGGCCAAGAAAGGAAAAGAAGACGACCACAAGTAGTTGAACACTTGAACGTTGGTCGAATGATCCTGGCGACCCTCGCCAATAGAAGTAAAAAATACTTGAACGGTGACGTGTGATTCCCCTTGTGTTATAATCTAATCCCCTAATATTTTATATTCAGCATTAGCCGTCTGTGGCTGCTTTAAGATGAATAGTAAACAGCATAATCGCAGTGGTGCAGGTATTATTATCATATTTAAGACTTCTAATCCAATTATGAACTGTTCTGATGTAAATTGTTTCATAACGTTTTGCTAGCACGAGTGGCAAGCACATCGGAAGTGGAAAGATCTATGAAGACGCTTCCTATGCTAACAAAACGTTATGAAGGATTCCAACTGATGACAGCCTTTAGACCCGAAACAGGGCTCAACTGATCAACTTATTCCTAATACATTTGATATAACAGGTTTTTAAATTAGCATCTAGGGTTGGTGTTTGTTTAGAGTTGCTTATTCAAAGACATCTAAGTAATTAATATAGACATTCTTTTCCTAATGTAGCATGTTGGGAGAAGTCGTACATCCATATATGTAAAATCAGCAACGTCCATTTAAATTTATATGTAAATATGTACACTTGAGTTGACACAAGTTTTATAATATAATTTGTGTGAATTGTCTGTTTTTGTATGAAACCTCATCAAATGAACACTCATTTATGATGGAATGTTTCCTTCAGATTCTCATCAACAACGTAGTTATGGACGTGGTGCTAACAGAGGTAGAGTTCACGGAAGGTACAGGAATACTCAAGGTAACTTTTTTATTTGGTTATTTATTTTATTTAAGTTAACTAAGAGCATAAAACTATGGGGCATATTATATTTCCGGGTATCATTTTAAAATGATTATATCCCCGATCCTCCACATGTTTAAGTCAATGCAGAGGAGGCCCTATCAGTTAATACAATTGTGAGCCACGCGTTTCATAGTACACTGTTTTGAATATGAATATGTGGAATTTGTTTTTTTTTTTGTTATTTTCCTCATAAGATTTTTTTATATAAAAATTTCTAGTAATTTATTGTCCATTGTGCGGAATTGCCATCCCTATTAAAATTTATGATCATTTGCTTCTTTCAATGAAGGGGTTGCTACACTGTGCAAATAAATTTAAATATCTGGTAAAAGATTTATAGTTTGCTGCCTCATGCCTTTGATAGCTTAAATGAGTTTATTAATTATGGTTGTAGTTTATTATACTAAACCTTGTCTTATCCTATGTAGGGTATGCGTTTAATCTTTTTTATTTAAATTTTAACAATATCCGACACTTGTCGACACAAGTCTAAATGAAAATATATTTTTTTGAATTTTTAATGGCATTGAAAGGTGGAGGTTTTAACTTTTTAGGTATTTAATTTTTTTACATATGAGAGTGAGGAAAAGGTTGAAGCTTGAATCGTTAATGGAAGTGTGTATTTAAGGTTTATGATTTGGTGGATTAAAATGATTGAGTCTACAAATGAAACACACTGTTTTAGGTGCCCCAGATTGGGGACTTGTGCAAGGCCATAGCAGTCGAAGTGACAGAGATCATCCTATTGCTGCCCAAAGTAGTCTCTCAGGTATATTTGGATTTATGAAATGATTCTACTCTTAATGCGATAACTAGGCAGTTGGAATCACAAATTTTGTATTTTTTCCACCCTTTGATTCCCAATGAAAATTGTCCTCCTGGGCTATTGGGCACATTTCTTTCTTCTTTCTTTCTTAACTTCTACGTTTTTAAAATATATGTGTAAGTTATCATTCTTCCCTCTCAGCATTGGACGTAAATCGTTATTTTTACTGAAACATTTTTCTAATATAAATGTAAATAAAATTCTTTAAATTATAGTTCCTAAAGAGCAATATAAAACATGTAACGATTTTCAACTTGAAGTACATACACACGTTTTAGCAAATTGTGATCCAAATGACTGTTTAAAGGAAAAAACGATGTTCGAGTTTATTTATTTTCAACGAAATTTTCGATACAACTTTCACTTGCAAAACCGAAAAACCTGATAAGGAACTCTTTGTAATTGTAATGTTGGATGTGATTAGTTATTTTTCATCCTTGAATCATTTGTTGAAGTGTATATTCAAGGTTTATGATTTAGTGGGTCTACAGATGAAACTCTGAGATATAGAAGATAGTTCTAATAAAATTTGGTTCACAATTACCTTACTTTATTGAAGTACACTAGTGCAGGTTGTTATTTTGTGTATTTTTTCCTCCCTTCGAGAGTAATTCCGGTAAAAGGGGCTCTCATCTTGCATCCTATTTATACAATTGTCAACTGAAAATATGGTTTTAGCGTGTCACCTTTAAAAAATCCTGTCCGCATTGGGGTAAAATTGTTAGTTTTATGGAAATTTTCGACACACAGTTTTCACTTGCACGACAGAAATTTGATCTTTTTAATTTAAAAAATATTTGTTCTATATACGGGTGTCGAATATAAGGATAGGTAGCATGGTTTCCGGTATCCCATCCTTCTACTGGACACACTATATATATTTTTGAAACAATTTTTGAAGTTGATATATTCTGGGTGCTAATTAGTTACTAATGAAAATTAGTGTCATTAATAGAAATAGGTAAACACTTTTTTTTTAACAGGTCCCGGAGGAGTGCCCTGTAAAAAAAGGCCAAGAAGGTTTGGTTATCAATATGTGTGCGCCCTAGTTGAAAAGGAGGACTTGGAAGAAGTAATCATGGATTTGTCGAAAGACAAGGATGGCTTCTTTGAGTTGTTGTGCGGCGATGTGAGTGATGACACGGTGGTCCTAATTGTGAAGCTTCTGCGTAAAGTGTGTTCCTGCAGCTTTAGGAACGTAGTGGTCGACGTTGTGGGAACAACCCTTAAAAGCAAATTTGTCGATCGCCTTCTGCTTTACATGATTCAAATTATTAATCAGGTACGGTCATTATCTGGATTGAAATTTAAGTTATTGTGCTCAATGCTGATTGGTTGATATCCGGTTATCATGTTGGCGGAGAATTGCTCTAATTCCGAATTTTGTAATCTTAAACTTAGTTCCGGGAATTGATCTATTTTTTTATTTTTATTTTACATATTTACGGTTTAACCATTTTACAAAATTTTACATTCATATTAAGGCAAAGAGAGAAAGACAGTATAACACAGTATAACAGTATAAACGGTATTACAGTATAAACAGTATAACAGTATAACAACTAGAAACTATAACAAAATGTAACAATAACAATAAACAGAATTAACTGGCAGCATTTGAACGCAACATATCAGAACGAAATGAGCGGAGGCTGCCCACAAAAGGCCAAGAATATATCTTTTACAAAGAAATTATAACAGTTACATTTTGCAAATAGATATTTTTGCTTTGTCATTTAGGAATCCAACAATAAGAATGTTTCACTTGGACTAAATTAAATTCATTTCTACATTCTTGTCTTTGTTCTTTTTTTTTTGGTTTTAGAAATATTTTTGTTATTTTTTAAAATTAAGATAAGTTTTAGTGCTGGTTAGTTGCTTGCTGGTTAAAATGGTTTTTTATAGGTTAAAAACACTGCCTGGTACCAAGGTAAGAAAAGTGAATGTAGACTATATATTTATAATGTTATATATATAAGAGAAATCGTTTACTATTTTTATATTATGGAGAAGAGACGACCTACTTTTTTTTTTCAGTTTTTAGGCAGAAAATATTAGACAGGGGGATTTTGCTTGATAACATGATAATCGTTGGTTATTTAGGAACCCCGCTAGGCCAATGGGCTTAAACTAAGTTATTCATTAATATGTTTGTTGTTTTGTGATGTAATTCAAAGAAAATAAGCATTTGAAATAAAGATAAAAGTATTTTGCAGGTGGCAAAAACAGAAGATAAACTTTGGACGGAAAACCCTGATATACCTTATTCAAATCAAAACTTATTCAGTTTTCAAGAGCCAAAGGTTTATAACAGTCCATGCTGGTGGAAAAAATGGATCTATAACAGAAAATAGTAAAACAAAATTAAACACTAACGAAAACTTATTCAAATTTTGTCAGATACTTTTTCCAGGATATAAAAATGAATTTTCAAATAATTTCAGGATTTTTTCATCTCTATTTTAAAATTTTGTTTATCATAATATTGCCCATACTTGGAAGAACAATAAAGCCAAAGGATTATTAGAGCACCAACTTGATCGTTTTTCACAAATATTTTTGAAAGCATGCATCGGGTTATGTCTTTAAAGGCACACTTTATTTTACGATTTTATTATGACGCATTAGTGTTGTTAATGTAATTTGGACAGGGATGGCCATTTCTACGATTTCTGCTTTTTTTTAATCGCTCCGTAATTCTCCCAATATCTCCACGGCTTCATTTATATTGAATCTCTGTTTCTTTGTAATCTCTTTACTCCATAAGATTCCGTTTAAACCAACCCAAACCAAACTGTTATTATTCGTATAGTCTGTTTGTCATAACCGAGGCAAAAAATAGATAATGGGAACCTTCCCCCTCTCCCCCTCCCAGTCCGTGATGGTGAACTCAGAAATTGGTTTTATATCAAGTAAGATAGTAGTGGGATGATTTCAAATTTTTATAGGTACTTAAAAATATAGTAAAAGCGTATTAAAAAAATTTGCTCAGAATCTGAAGAATACTTAAAGCTGCTTTGGAAAATGCCTTTTTATTTACCTTATTTACTTTCGAATGCATCCACCTCCTAAACATATCTTCTTTTGTTCTGGTTCGTTCGGAAACTTTTCAAGAAATCATTTCCCAATAATTTTTTACGTTTTTATTTCTGCTTTCTGTGGCTCCCTCCGGTAACTGACCCCCTGGAGGAATTACAATGACATGGACCACAGATATCCTCCTTGTCTCAAAAGTGTGGGTATTAAAACATTTGAATCAAGGCGACTGACTGTGGCTGTTCTATCTGGGTTCTCAAAAAAAAAGGCCTGGCAGTGTTACCATCTACCATACTATTATCGAAACTTATATATGATTAATCCCAGTTTTTCCTTAAATTCTTTGAATCCTTTCCTTCCTTTCCTTTTCTTTGTCTTTTCAAGACCTGACAGACATTAAATCTATATTATTAAAATATTTTTGATTTCATAGACAGACATACACTTCAATCATACTATGAATAAAAATACGCTTTATCAGAATTACTCTGTTCTCAATTTGAAAGTTGTCAATTTGCCTTCTATATGCTATAAACTGAAGTCTTATCGGTCTGCGTTAAAGCGGAGAGGGCGTCTGATTCCCAAGAATTTTCCTTATGACCAGAGCTTCCATCGAAGCCATATTTACAAACGAGAACAAAACAAAACGCCTAGCTCATAGTTATCAAATTGAATCAAAATATCCTCAGGCAGAATTAATATTCTTTCAAAGGTATGGTTTAGTAGGTCCTAAAGGTGAGCTCCACGCATATGGATTAAATTTCTATATTTGGGCTTCTTCACTTCCTGTATAATTTTGTATGATGGAAAATGATGTTTTTCTTTTTCCCTTGTAAAGTTTCCTTCAACTAACACTGACATTGACTTTTCTGGAGATGGCATTGATATTCTACAATTATTGGTATTGTTCCATTGGGACTAGATGTGTCTCATATACTAATTTAAAAGCCTGACTATTACCCAGTTGAGTAACCTCTTACTTGCCGAAAACTCCTTAAGGGGACTACCAACTTTTGATTGAATTGAAAATATATTCCTGATAATGTTATTTTGTACAAACGTCGAAACAATGAAAAACATATTGAAGTGTAATACGCAAAACCCCGCAAAGAATTTTAACAAAACAGTTTGTTTAGTGCTTTTTGCCACGCGTCTGCTAATTGTAAGCGTATGTTTTTTGTAAGGGATAAATCTACATGACTTGTTTTTTTTTACCTTCAATGTCCACTCTTGATGTATTTCAGGCGTCCATGTACTGCGCTCTGATTTCGGTTAGAACATCCCGATAATACTGCTACCATTCACTTATTTGGATAGATTGAATGCTGTTGGCTTCTTCAGAGCTTGAGTGAAACTGGCGCCCATTTTACTGTGTACCTGCTTATATATTGTTTGAGGGGAGAGGAGCCATATTGGCGGTCAAGATTGTTAGGTCGCTTGTAGATTTCTATATATTCTCTGGTAGAAAAGAAATATAACGTCAAAACCAGATTTACCACTTTCGTAGAGTATTTCATCCATATGCGGCAAAGAATTCATTGGAGAGACCGGACGAAAAATATCAACTAATCTCAAATAACATGAAAGAGCCTTAAGACTGAGACGATAGATCTAAAATTATTGCATGTAATCAGTTCTTCTACTTATAAGCAACCTATCAATCTTAACCGCGACTCGGGTGTCACCGATATGAAAATCGGTCATCTGAGACTATGTTTATCACCATAATTTATCTCCTCCCCCTTAAACATTATAAGGGGTGTTTTTTTTCGATGTATAGAACTTTAAGTTGCAATAAAACAACGATGGATTAATCAAGTGACATGAATTTTATTTATCCGAAAGATAATCTTGTGGCATTAAATTTTAAATATGATTTCTGGCATACGACCGTCACGGCTGGCGCGGATGTAGTCCAATCTGGATGTCCAATTTTTGATGACTTTTTCCAACATTTGTGGCCGTATATGGGCAATAATGTGGCTTATCCGCATAGACCAATGACTTTACATAGCCCCACAGAAAGTAGTCTAGCGGTATTAAATCACAAGATCTTGGAGGCCAATTCACAGGTCCAAAACGTGAAATTATTCGGTCACCAAACGCGTCTTTCAATGAATCAATTGTAGCACGAGCTGTGTGACATGTTGCGCCGTCTTGTTGAAACCACATCCCCTAGACATCATGGTTATTCAATTCAGGAATGAAAGAGTTAATAATCATAGCTCTATACCAATCACCATTGACTGTAACGTTCTGGCCATCATCGTTTTTGAAGAAGTACGGACCAATGATTCCACCAGCCCATAAAGCGCACCAAACAGTCAGTTTTTCTAGATGTAACGGTGTTTCGACATACACTTGAGGATTAGCTTCGCTCCAAAAGCGGCAGTTTTGTTTGTTGACGTAGCCATTCAACCAGAAGTTGAATGGCTAAACAAAATTCGCTTATGAAAATCTGGAACAACGGCAATCTCGTTTTGGGCCCATTCGACGAATGTACGCCTTACTTGATGATACACGAGTTGGTTTTTGTAAGCACGTAAACCAAGATCCTTCGCCAAAATCTTCCATAAAGTGGATGGACACAGATCCAATTCCTGTGCTCGATGGCGGATGGACTCATTCGGGTCTTCCTCAATGCTACGCTCTACAGCAGCAGTAGCTTCTTCTGTACGCACCGTACGGCGTCTCTGGGGATGCGAGTTATCAATAAGAGTAAACGTGGTGCCAAAACGTTCCTTGGTTAATCGAATTAACTGCTCTGATGGACGATTTTGTCGACGATAAAATGGACGTAGTGCGCGATACGTATTCCGCACAGAACCATTATTTTCGAAATAAAATTGCACTATTTGCAAGCGTTGTTCAGGCGTGAGTCCATTCATGATGAATTGCCAAACCAATCTGAGAATAAATCACTTGACAGCTGCTAAATCGGTCGTCATCTTGAAAACTGACAACTTAAAGTTCTGTACATCGAAAAAAAGCACCCATTATAAGCAGGTACAGCGTGAAAGGCGGAATTCAAAAGTTTTCTAAGTATGTTGAATAGTTTATTTCTTCTAGCTCGTCTTCTTAAGATATGAAGGTCAGATCCACAAAGCCTAACTCTCACGTCGTTGACCTGGAGTTTCGTCGCTTGTGATGAAATCCGTCTTCCGTTTAGAATTGTCGCGTTTAATTTTATGTTATCATCGATCGAATCCCAGCTTCCCATTTAATTACTTTTATTTAAAATGTTTAAACAAATCGGAACTTCGTCCATGTATCGAGAAGTTTATATTTGGCGTGTCGAATTTAATGATTAGGAAACAAATCTGTGCGTAACTTTCCATTTTTGGTTTTAGGACGCGCACGCAAAGCGCTTCAACCAGCTCTTTTGGCAAAACCCCAACGAGCTCTGGGATAACTTAATCCACGTGGCAAAAGCGGCACTCGACATAATGCCGAGCGTCAGCTGCGCCTGCGTAGAGAAAATTGCGCAGACGATGAACATGTGTTTTCCGTCGCTCGAGAGTCACGCTCCGGTATCGGACGATGTTAAAACGAACGCTGCCGATTTGTTGGCACACGTGAAGCACGTCATTCAAGAGATGGAAGTCAAAAAGAGTGCCCCGGAAAAACGGAGCAGACACGGCGATGATAACGAACCCCCGCCCGACCATTTTAGGGACATACCTATCTTTCCCACAAGCGCGGAAGTGATTTCGCGCCAATCCCCTTATCTGAGGAGGAACATCGTCGACCGACCTTACGACAGCGTCGAACAGTACTTGGATATCCAATTCCGTTTGCTGCGCGAGGATTTCGTAAGTCCGCTGCGCAAGGGAATCTGCACATACTTGGAAGATCAACACAAGCCGAGGGGCGAAAGGAGGAGGCTGGAAAATATCAGGTTAGTAATTGGGAAATCAGAAAAGCACTGTGGATGCTTCATTAAAGTTGTATGTCATCGTCATCTTCTGGGGTTCTGCAAGGTTCCCACCTCAACATTGCAGTCGGGTTACACTACACGAATTGTCAGCTATTTCAATTGTCAATTGTCAGCGGTCATTTTGATAATTATCAAAACGTCAAAACGCGTAAACTTAAAGCTATAATGTTTATCTGTGTGCTTAAAATCACATGCTGATAGATCCCTATTAGTTTCCTATTTTTTTTAGGCTTATGTAATGTAATAGTAAATAATATTACTTTATTTATATTTATTTTCAATGCGTGACGTCGCTGTAGGGTCGTTCTGCTACCCAAAAGAGGGTTATAATGAAATTTTGCGACATAAACGCATAATCAGTTATAATAAAACGCATATTATTAGTATTAACAATTTACAATGACAATTACGAGTTTTCCGAAAATGCAGAATCACATTGAAAAAAAAATGTCGAATAAATAAATAAATGTAAATACGAAAATACCGTAACTGAAGTATAGGTCGACAAATCAGGTGATCTGGGCGTTGAAACTGCAGCGGGCGGTGCTTAAATATTTTTTAAATGAAAATTATTAGCCCAGTCATATTAGGTTAAAAAAAGGGGTCAACCTCGGAATGAAAGACAATAAGCTGTAAATTGGTATGAACCTTTGTTTTGTCATTCTAAACGTTGTCTCAAAAGTCACAAACGCTATCTTGCGCGCGTCTTAAAATATTCAAGGTCAAAGGTCACAAAAATCGGTTTTTCGCGAATATCTGGCTTCCTATTGCTTAAATGAGATTTGCGCTTATTATAAAAGTTGTGGGCTATAAAATTCTCTACGACTTTTGTTTAAACTTTTTTTTCATACGACCAACCGTTTTTGGGGTAGAGCGCGAAGAGTTCACAGCATAGGAGAAGGAGTCACATCATCAGGAAATTTTCTTTAAAAAAGTTAGAAAAGGCAATGCCAAAACGCAAATATACTCTTCAAAAAGTTTTGACCAATATCCTCGTACTAAAAAACATTTTATTTTTACGCGCATTTAGTGGCTGTGACACGACTTCTGCGCTATTTAAAAAAAGGAAAAAAAACTGTTACTAGGGCATTGGAGAAAATTCCCGATTTAGATAAACTGGCGGAAGTATTTCAACAAGAAAACTGCCCGAAACAAACATTATTTGAAAATGGCGCATCTTGTTGGCATTATATAATGCTCCAACATTGAGCATTTCCGCTACATGCAACTAAATAAACCTGTACAATTGTCAACACTTCCACCAACAAGTGTAGCAGCTCATCAACATATAAATCGTGTCTACTACCAGATTCAAACGCGGTTAGGGAAGGACCTAGAACCTCATGAATGGGGCTGGATGCTTGAAAATGAAATCCTGGAGCCCATAAGAACGTTATTACCGAACTAATAAACGTAATGTTTTGCAATTGCAAAAATGGTTGTGGTTCTCGCTGTGGATGCAGAAAATCAGGGCTACAATGTTCTTTAGCTTGTGGCCAGTGCAACGGACAAGCTTGCCTTCGCTATATCCAAGTAATCCCGATGAAGAAAGCACATATGATCCCGAAATTCTGGAAGGTTTGGAGATGAATATGACCGATAATGAGGACGATGACAATGAATTGAACATTGAACAACAAGAAGAAGACGACGAAGAAGAAGAAGATAATTAGCTTCCATTTACAATTTGATTACAATTAAAATCAACGAAGATACTTTTAATATTTAAATTCACATTTTAATAAATGCATAATATGCATTTATTGAAAGATATGTGTAAAGTATATTCTCTTACTGTCATTTTAATTTAAAATATAATTAAAATATATAATCCAGAATTAATAATATGCTATACTTAAATAGTTAAATATGATTAATTATATATAAATAATCAAGTTACTTATTTTAATTAAATATAAATAATTAATAATTACTACATAAATAATGGGCATTGTTTAATAATTCTAATTTTCAAGTAAATAATTGACTTTATACAACGTACTGATAACCATAATTCACGCTTGACCTTGCATTAGGCCGTATATGACTGTACGCTGCGCACTCATCGCGCTCTACCCCAAAAACGGTTGGTCGTATGAAAAAAAAGTTTAAACAAAAGTTGTAGAGAATTTTATAGCCTACAACTTTTATAATAAGTGCAAATCTCATTTAAGCAATAGGAAGTCGGATATTCGCGAAAAACCGATTTTGGGACCTTTGACCTTGAATATCTTAAAACGCTCGCACGATAGCGTTTGTGACGTTTGAGACGACGTTTAGAATGACAAAACAAAGGGTCGTACCAATTTATAGCTTATTATCTTTCATTCATAATATGACTGGGTTATATTAGATAATAAATTTTAATTGCAAGTGGTATTTTTCCGTTTTTTTAAACACCGGTTTTAAAAATTTAACTGTAAGTAATATACGGGGTGTATTATTTAAATAATAGATTACATTTACAAAACGACAAGGTAACATCAGTGTCAGTTTAAAAGCGGGGTGAAGTGAAATAAATTAAATGTAAAAATGTAATGGCCTGACATGGCAGTCAAATAATATACCCGTCAATATTGTTGTTTCAAAACTGGAATATATTTTAATATTTGCCTTCATATTGGGCAACTGATTGGTATTATTTCTATCAGGGTATATAAAGTCAAGTTTACGAACTACGAAGTCCAAAACGAATACAACTGTTACACGCTACAGTTCGATTTTGGTGAGAGGAAACGCAATTTTAAGTTTGAAAATTCGAAAAGGTTCATGTTCGGTTCCTTGGTCTGCTTCACCGAAGACAGTTTCGCAACCCTACTGTTTGGGATAATCGTCAATCGCGACATGAAATTGCTAGAGAAAAGCGAGTTAATGGTGGGGTTCCATGACGAGGTCCGCATAGACCTCAACACCGAGTTCATAATGATCGAGAGTAGCGTATACTTCGAGCCCTACTACCAGGTCTTGGGAGTGTTGCAGAGGATGAACACCTCGAACTTTCCTATGAAGAAGTACATAATCGACGTCACGACCGACTCAAGCCCGCCTCGGTATTTGTTACACGGGGATCCGGTATTGTATGAAATCGAAAATCACAGCGTATGTCCCCTTTACATCCCGAGGGAGTTGAATTTTTACGGGCTGAACGAATCGCAGCTCGCCGCGTTCAATGCGGCCTTGTCCAGGGAGTTTTGCATCATTCAGGGACCGCCCGGGACAGGCAAAACATATTTGGGTGAGAAATCGATATCGAAAACAACGATTCCACATTATAATATAATAATATTTAATGTAAGTCGATATTAGGTGCTTTTCTACTCCCGTCTGTAAAATACCTAATTAAAGTCTGTTCATAGATATAAGAAAATGACTAACTGATACGAATTAAGGAAAGACTCGGGCAAGCTTTAAGAATGAAATGACCGAACAGGTCCGTACTTTGCTTAGAATTTAGTTATTTGGGGGATTGTTAGGAAAGATACTAAACAAAATTTATTAATTTATGTTTAAATCTAAAATAAAATTACAAATTATTTTTATTATTCACATAATATATCAGTATCACTATCGCTATCAACGCCTGTTCTAATTATTATTTGTTCTACATTATTTGCAATATGGATATACGATTTTTCTGCTTTTTAAAAACTTCGGTTTCTATAAGTTTGAGGACATTGGAGTTAACACAGGGAAAAACATTGTTACGACCAATGGCAGATTTCAGTTGGTGCCAAACATGTTCAATGGGATTAAATATACAGTGGTAAGGTGGAAGCCTTAAAACTGTACGCCCTAGATTTTTTGCATAATTATCACAGACGTATTCCTTTTGTAGGTTCAAGCTTTGTAGAAACTCATTTAATTGCTTTTTGGTATAATCTTCGTGAAAATAAATGTCGTTATTATACATGTAGTTTTGGATTGTTGCTTTTGTATCACATGAGGAAGGGGTTTTAGTCAACAGTCTACCTTGATAACTTGCATTGTCCATTACAATGACGCTATTAGGAGGAATGTTTGGAACTGGTTTGTTTTTAAACCAACTTTCAAATAAATCAGCGGTGGTTTCGTCATGGTAATCCAGAGAAGAATCTTTAATATTTTACACACCAATTTACATACGTCACGTAAAAACGTCTGACAAAACTAGTCATCTAAGTAAAACACAACAAAGTAACAAATAGGTACATATTAAAACAAGAATTGTAAAACAATCAGACGGAAGAATTTTTTCTCCTTAATCATTTTGATCATTTTTCTCCTTCATTCCTTAATCTCTATGCTTATTGGATACATATGTATGTCTTCATGAGCAAAAAACAATTGCGCTCCTTCATATACAGGGAAGGCAGGGTAAGTATACCCAACTCTTCCCCTACAATCATCCCGATTACTCACACCACTCTGGTGCAAACCAAAGAGACTGTGATTCCCCGATGCATAACTTCACATAAGTAAGGCTTACGGAATACCTCAAAGTAGGCTGTTTACAGTACCATATTTGAAACATTTTCTGCAAGATAAGCAAAATTCCTGCTTAACTTCGCCGCTACAGCCCCAATTTGCTCACCCCATTGTGCTTTTGAAGCCAAGGAACTTAATTCAACAGATTTTTCTGCTAACTTCTGCACCTCCAACGAGCCCGGCGCAAAGAGTATAATTTACACTTGTATAGATAGTAGATATAGTAGGTCGTTCATATATATACTCCAATCGTTATCTCCTGTTTCGTCGATGTCACACCGCTATACTGCATAGCCTGGTTAATTAATGGGGGCCATAGCAGTGTTCTTTTTTTTTCTAAAAGCAAATTGATTTTCTTATCAAAAAGGTGTATTATTTGGTGAGACACACTTATCAAAATGTTTGACAGTATGGGAAGTAATGATAACTATAACAACATTGTGGAAGCAAAACATTGATAACGATAAAACACGACAAAATTGCTTCAAGGGAAAATCAAATATTCAAAGTGCCTCCCGTCATTTTCTATGCAGGAATTTATCCTGCGTCGTGGTAGGGCGAGTTAGTCCAGGACAGCAAGGTTTGGAAAGCACACTGCCCCAACAGGTTGGATAAGTAGTTTCTGAAAGAGCCTGATGTTATTCATTCAAGGTGTTAATGGTGGTCTTTTCGAATTCGGCTTACTTATATTCAAGTCCAAACTTATTCTTTTTAAGCTTAAATGCGGATTAATGTGAACTAAAATGTCTTCTATTGGGATAATCGGCTGCCTATACTCGATCACTCACGCATGCGTATAGAAGATATTGGAAAAACACAACCAGGATGTCGGCAGTTGAATAAGACATTTTTAATGCAATAAACACAGTAATTAATAAACTTGAATAGTCTTTAACAACAAGCCTAATTTTTATTAAAAGAGTGATAATAACCAATAATTGGAAACAGAAAGGAGTGTCACAACGTAGTAATAATGTCTATTTATTTATTTTTTATTTATTTAGTCTTAAATAATTTTATTCATATTTTTTGAGAAGACGGCTTTAAAAATTCGAGATGGCACACCCTCTGGTCGTCATTTGAGAATCTCAAAAACAATTTTCAGCGCATTCTCTCTGTCGATTTACTTAACTTTTTTTTTTTCAAATGATTGGGAACATCCGTTTCCCCAATATCGTCTTTCGCAGTCCTTACTGGGACACTTGGTATACTGATTCAGTGGGGCGGGGCTACAGAATGGACATGAACATTGTCTCGGATGACTGAATTCCATGTTGGTGATTTGGGTGATTAGATATTTTTATGGATTCTTGGATTTTTCTTCGGTAGAAGAATTGATTATATGCAAGAATTTTAATTTGGTCGAATAAGATTTGATGTCCGATTTCAGGATTGATAGTCTCTTTCATGTTCTATTAGCTTAGTTAATATTTTTTGTCCTGTCTCTCCAATGTTTTCTTTGCCCCAAGTACATGAAATGCTTTAACCCCCTGGGTATCAGACGGAATGTCATTGTTGAATGGAAGATGTTGATAAATTTTTGGACAAGTGGTGAATCTGGTTTGGATTGTGGCAAGTGTGGGGATGCTTTAGGAAGTTGTGGTGAAGTGTATTTTGTAATGGAATGCTTAAATCTCTAATACGGAAATTATTTGAGAGAAGAGCAGGTGTTAGGTGTTTTAACTGTGGGTCCTTTGATTGTTGACCATCAGACTAAATAACAAAAGTATCATCTGCTGGAAGTATCTATAGCTTTCTTTTCAAAAGATTCCATAAATATATTTGCGATGACTGCTGATAATGAAGAACCAATAGCTGTTACTGATATTTGTTGATTAATTTGACTGCTACAAGAAAAATATGTTTCGGACGAGCATTTTTTAAATAAGAGTACCAGAAATAGGAACTTTCATCCTTTGAAAATTTTCGCAATAAAATCACGTTTTTTCCGTTATTTCCGTAAATTTAATATAATAAACTTTTCAATTTCAAAATTTTTATGCGTTTTCGCTGATCTCGTTTTTTCCAACGTAGGTTTAAAGATCGCCCACACGCTGCTCGCGAACCATAGGGTTTGGTATAAGAATACGCCCATGTTAGTGATTTGTTTCACGAACCACGCACTCGATCAATTTTTGGAGGGCATCGTGCCGTTAACTACACGCATACTGCGAGTGGGGGGCCAATCTAAAAGCCAGGCCCTCGACGAATTCAACATCCGCAAGAAGCGTACGAGAACGGCGAATCCGGCCTTCATACAAAAAACTAAAGAACTGAAAAATACACTGGGGAAAGTTAAGTTTATAAGCGACATTCTCGCCAATATCGATTCCAAGGCTTGTGTCATAGATTTCTCTGCGTTCAGCGAAGTAATTGATGAGTATAATGAGAGCTGGTTCGATTCGGCCTATCCGCGCGATATTGAAGCTTGGTTGTTATCAGGTCGTCGAAACCATAGTTTTGAGAGAAGAATTTCCGAAGCGCAGGTAATGTTACAAATCTTATAACCCTAACATTTAATTCAGCTTAAATAAAATGATTAATTTTGCTTTTATACCGGTTTCACGTAGAGATGTTTGAAAGAGATTACGACGTCATTGTCTGGGTTCAGTTATCATAAATGGATATTCGCAAATGGATGTCTGCTACCTGTTGAAAGTGTTATTAAAAAAAAAATCGCCGCACCTTTTTTGCCATTTATATATTTTATTAGCTATCTAGTGCAAATGGTTTTTTATGTGGAACATTCTCTGTCGTTTAATTATAAATACCCTTTCGTAGACTATATTGCAGTTGATGTTTTGCTCAAGTCTCAACTAACCAAAACTCTGAACAAGTAAGTGGCCAAATTGTGACTTCAGATCGGATTATTGCCTATTAGCAGTTCAGATTTAGGTAAGGTTACGGTACAATACAGCATTTCATATAATTCATCTCGGTGCCTTAATATCAATCCTACAATTTGGAGAAGCTGCCTCTCACTAGTATTGTCATTTCTGACAATACAAGATGTCAGCGGGATGGTTTACGATAACTCTTCGTCTGACAAATATAGCTCAGTGTTACCCTTTCTTAAGCTGTGTAGTACACTTGATGTTTTGCCCAACTCTTTGAAAGAACTCTGTACAAATATGTCACAGGAAGTTGTCAGTTTGTGACTTTAAATCGATTATTTCCTATCAGCAGTTCAGTTAAGTGGCAGTTTTAAAAGCACGATATTGTTAATATATTGTTAAACCACGGTTCTAGTTATGCTTTCTGACCGACAAATATCATTTTCAGTTCATATTCTCAGTACCCTTGTATACAGAATATACAGTTTTAATTTTGTGGATTGTCTTCAGTACCTCGTTCTCCCCCCCTCTATACATTGTGTTTTCTAATTGAATATCAATAGTTATGGGGGCGGTTTTTGTGTCCATTTTAAAAAGAAAACTTCATGTGAACATATGTCCTAGAAGCCTTAACTTTTAAGTAAAGTTTTCAAAAATATTTTTTTAATATCTGTAATACCACTTTAGATATTTTAATGAACATGTACTGTCTCAATATGCATTACTACTAATAGGTTTGAAGATGGATGAAAGTCACAAAAACTTTTGGTGAATGGTGCTCCTCCCTCTGTTATAATTTTCGTTGCACTAATTTTAGTACTAAGGCAGAAGTCGTAAAAGGATCTTTCTGACCAACATTTGCTAAAACTTGCCTCCAATTTTTCGACTTTTGGCTGTACTTCATACCAAAAAGGCATGTGCTACTTTACTCCACTCGGTGTTTTCTGAATACCAAAATGAAAGTTACGTGTTGCGAGGCCATAAATGGCAATGTTGCAAAATTTACCGGAAATAAAAAACAATTTTTTTTATTAATCACGATTCAACTGTTAGTTTTAAAATACCTTATAACTTTCAAACATGTCACATTATAAAGGAAAGTTTCTCTTCGAAAGTGTGCAGTTTTGACCCCCTTTACATAGCCCCCTTTCAAAATAAATTAGTTATCTTTTTACCATAAGCATCTTGATTATTAGCGTTACGATTGCGCAGTATTATCGATGCAATTTTCGTCTTCCCTCATTTACATTCTAAGTTACAGCCTATAAACATGTCGGTTGATGAAGACGACATCATCCTTGACGAAAATGAAACAAACAACAGCGAAGACATTGTATTGATTAGTTTAGACGCGTGGAGGAAATATATCGAAGATTTAGATAACGAATTGGTAGCACTGGATAAGAATCTCGACGGCAAAAAACTTTCAGATTTTTTGAAACGGGAAAGTGTTTTTAATAAACTGCAGGAAACTCGTTCCAATCTTCAATATGTCGAGGTAATTATAAAAAATGCTTGTTTTGTGTGTGAAAATGGCGGTAATTTAAGGACACCATATACCTATTTCAACCTGAACCGATAAACCGAGCACTGTGGAATATAGCAAACTTAATTCTTCCAGTATTTACAGAGAACCAAAAAAATTATTACGAAAATACACAGACTTGTTTTACATTTCATATGTCCCTGTAGAAGTAAAATAATGTATAAAACACAGATATGTCTTTAAATACTGAATGCCGTTCAATAACATGAAACCCAACCCACTGATGGTTGTGAAAACTTAAAAGTAAACCCTCATTTTTTATTACAGATTTAGATGATACCATATAGCCGTTGGCTTTCGTCCGAAGTATTCTTTTTGTTTCTCAGTAAATCTTCGTTTTGACATATTTTTTTACTCCCTGGAATAAAATACCCAATTAGGCGCTACTCAGGCGTGCGTAAAGTGTCACTTTAAAACGTCAACTTCATTAAATACTGTCGCGAGCCAACTGCTAACATAAACGCGAATTTTAGTGACTCCAATGCTCAAGATTTATCGCTCCTGTTTTGAATGCATTCACCCAGAAACCGCGCTTTTTATGGAACTTACGACAGTATTTATTTTGTTAAAATATGTCGAAATTCCATTTAGGAAAAAAAGGAGTTTAAGTGTGGAAAAGCAGTGCAGAATTGTAATTAATTGGCCGTTTTTGTTCTTTAAGCCCTGTAGATACGACGCAATTTCCTTTAATGTAACCTTTAAAAATTGCAAAAGAGAAGAGGAAAGCAATAAAAAAAATTTTTCAAAGAAACTTCCACAGTAATACTTTTTACAAAACTTCTGGATTCCTCCTGCGTCGGTTTTTGCTGAGTCGAACTTGCTGACGTTTCGCCGATCATCATGTTGGCTTCTTCAGAGCTTGACTGAAACTGGCTCGTATTTTACTCTGTACTTTTACTTTTACTCAAGGTAGTCGCAGACTAATCAAGATCTCTTCTTCCCAAGTTGTGCATACTATATTTTTTTCTACTCAAGTTGTCCCGAATCCCACAAGGAGATGCACGAAATCAGTAGTTTTTGATAGGACCTGTTTCTATTTACTCAGTGTCAAATTGTGCCTGTGTGTACTCCAATATTCACTTACCTACCGGACCTATCAATAAAATATCCCAAATTTTGATTAGCTGCGTAGCATTCCTGGTCATTTTCAAAAATTTTTTTTCAAGTTCGTCCAGTTGCAGCCGAACTGACAGAAAGGCAATTTCGTTTTCACCAAGCGTGATGGCAAACGAAAACTTCTTCGAAAATATCTTATGCTTGTTCTAGTAAAAATTCACCTTGTAGCTTAATTGTTTTCTTATATTTCTTGGAAGTCAATTTTACGGCAATGTAGCAACTCAGTCAGTTGCGCATGCGCAAAACGTCCGTAGTAGGGCCACTATACCTATATAGCTATATGGATGTTTGTATGGGTTTGATATAGAGCTGCGTTGCTAAAATAACTTTGAAATAATTATCAACTTTTATCGATATATTTACAACAGTATGAATATACTTTGGTCCCATGACGAACAAAAATTTTCAAAATATAAAATAAAAACGGAATTTAATCGGATATTAGACTCATAAAAATCAAGCAGTAAACCCTTATCGACTAATTAATTTAAGAAAATTCGTGTACGACTGATGAATTCATAAAAAAGGAAATAAAAAACGGTATTCCTCGAAATTGGTGGAATTAGGAAATTGGATAATAAAATTATTATCGTTATTATTATTATTATATTAAATCCAAAATCTCGGGAACGATATTTATCGAAGATACTTTTTGTACGTAAAAAATGAGGAATTATTTAAAATATCTGCTTTTTCAATGAAGCGACAATGTCGAAAATATTTCAGATACATAGATATAGATATAGATACGTTAGAAAAAATATGTATCGAATAGCTGAAGAATCTGTGTTCTTTTAAATTATTTTTTGCTAAAAATTAATAACTGCCGTTCTTCTTATTTTTAGTTTAGATTGACAGAATTTGGGCAAAATCCGTTTAACAGAATGCGACCGGAATATCTTAACTTGCAGCACCCAGAAAATATGCTCCCCGACCAAAGGTGGCAACTTTATTTCTACTGGCTGGACCTATATACCACCTTCTTAAGAACGGAATATCGTACCCTCGTCAATAAATATCAACGCATATATCAAGTTTATAACGAATTAAGGGACATCGAAGATATTCAATTGATGAAGGACCATTTGGTTGTGGGGATGACTACCACGGGGGCTGCTAGACTGCAGTCATCCATACAGGTATTGCGTTTAGGATAATGTTATGCCCCAAATAGTTTTTACGCGGATAGTTCTAGTAGTTTTTAACTTTTTTTTTTCAAAGTTACTCAACAAAAATTAACCTAGGTCCGCTGGTTTTTTAAAATCCATCAATTGATATTTTAAAATGAATATGTAACAGCTAGTCCGGGAGCCCTGGACCTTTTTTCAAAATGATAAGCACCAAGCTAATTCTTTGAAAATCGTTTCATTTCATCATTTAGTTTTTATCTAAATCTATAGACATTGAAATATATAATTTGAAATTAAATTTGGCCTACAAACAAATAGGTTTGGTATCGGGTCGCCACCCCCTCAAAGTTGTATTTATTATTTATTTATAAAAAGTGATGAGCAACATGCTAAATTTTTTACTGTACACTAAAGTCCCACACTAAAGTTGTTGACCTCACAATAATACGTTATTCATCAGCAACTGTAGGACACCAAAATTAAATGAAACTTTATGACGATTTTGTTTATACTTGTATTTAACTCATGACAGTGTTAGATTAGATAACGTTTTGAAAAAGTAAGTGGGTGATTATATGGGTGAAGTGAAAGAGGAGAGGGTAAATAAATCAATTTTTTTCTTTTGACATTAATCGATAACAAATAATGCGGTACACCCATTCATTATAATACTAGTAATAAGTAAGTGGGAAAGGTAAATAAAATTGATAATTTTTATTTTTTCCAATGTCTTAGATTAATTTTGTTGTCAACGTGAAATATTTACAGAATACAATGAAAAACAAAATTCATGGCAAGTCGTCATCATCAGTTTCACTGGTTAATTCAACGTCTTCTCCGATGCTAATATCATCCTCGTCATCTTCATCACTTTCGACGGTATCCATTGCATTCAATTACACATTGAATAAAAAATTATGATATTTTTCACTTAATTAAACAAACTCTCGCAGCCATGATCAGAGTCGGAAAGATTTACAGGTATGCGGAGCAGACTGAGGTCTCGATTTGCAAAAAAAGATTCCTGGTAGAGGTAAATGTTCGCCTTGATAGGATTTCTTTTTTGTGGTCAATGACTTCGTTGACGAGGGCTCCGAGATCTGTTCCACCGCCTCTAAGGTTTGCATGTTTCGGTGGTCTCGGAGAACAGAAAAATGTTAGTTGTGTAATTAATAATTATTTTATCACCGTCGCACCTTCAACCAGAAAAACTATTCGAGCAACGCGCCTTTTTAAAGTCGCTCGCTTTCAGACCTTGAAAAGTCCCATAGTGATCGTGGAAGAGGCGGCCGAAGTTCTGGAAGCGCACATCGTAGCCGCTCTGACGGGCAGCTGCAGACATCTCATTTTAATCGGCGACCATTTGCAACTGAAACCGAGCGCGGCGGATTACAAAATCGAAACCGATTACGGCTTGGGCACAAGTTTGTTCGAGCGTATGGTAAACAACCGGATCCAATGCTACACGCTGAACGTCCAGCACAGAATGAGACCGGAAATATCGTCGCTGATCAAACCGGCGATTTATCGCGATTTGCTGGACCACGAGTCGACGCAGCACAGGCCGCCCGTGTCGGGATTGCAGAAACCGTTGTTTTTCATCGACCATCGGCACGAGGAGCAGCTGTGCCAAGACGAAAGCAAGAAGAATCTGCACGAGGCGCAGTTTCTTGTCGCCCTCGCCAGGCATTTGGTGCTGAACGGTTACGAGCCGAACCAGATAACCATACTCGCCGCGTATCTGGGCCAGATGTACGAAATGATGGGGGAGAAGAGGAAAGCGATGAACCACACCTTGCTGCAGGGCCTCCGGATCGCCGTGCTCGACAATTACCAGGGCGAGGAGTCCGACATTATTTTACTGTCGTTGGTGCGCAACAACGCCGACAACAAGATCGGTTTTCTGCGCATCCAGAATCGGGTGTGCGTCGCGTTATCGCGCGCGCGCAACGGATTTTACGTGATGGGGAACATGGAGATGTTGTGCGCCGCCAAGAGCGAAAGCGACGTAAGTGAACGTGTTTTCTGACATGCTTACAGTACAGTGTCCCAGCAAAGACAACCAGGCATATATAAGAAAAATTCAAATTTTTTTGTTTAATACTATATGCAAGAAAAAGTGATGGGCGTGTTCGGACATTTTCTCAGATAAGTGTCCGTATCTCCAAAGGGGCTGAACGCAATTTAATATACTCGGAGTCTTTTAAATTGATTTTCCCTAGGGTATCAATCGCCGTATGAGTGACGTGATGACGATTGCTTACCTTGCCACCAGGTTAAGTTTTCTGAAAAAACCTCAAAAAAAGTGGTAATAAATGTAACGATACTAGTGTTTTTACGTCATTAGATTGTGTTCTCGCCTTCCCCTCACGAAAGATATTCAATTTAATTAATGTTAGGCAAGAGCAGTGATCCCGGTGATGTGCTAAATTACACTGGTCTGCAAGAAACATTTTTTTCTCTCCTTTTTCCTTCATTTTATTTTATGCTCTAAACACAATCTGATATACAAATAAGTACCACACGTTGGTTTTTAATTTAATATTTATTCCATCAAAAAACAATATTAAAGTATAAATTATAATTTATTTGAACATTATACAAAACTTACCAAAATATTTGATATAAAAGGTAAACAATTAAACGACAAGTTTTCACTGAACTGTTGTAGTGTCACAATGAATACTGCGCATGCGCATATTTACTACCATAAAAATCACCCTCATTTCTGTTACAACTCTCTGAAACTCATTTTGTATGTATATTTACTTTTTGTAAAAAAAATCATATCGAAAAATATAGACGTGATAGAAAAAATCGGCCAACGGGGATAGATTGAAAACGTTTGAATCATTATATTTATCATAAAATTTTTTAAAGGAGGATTTCATTGCCAGCCAGTGTTATAGCTGACACAATATTGCGCAGTCTATGAGTATGGCCATCGACTTCAATATCTCAGCGCGGTTTTACCGATTGTTAATTAACAGTAACTAATTCAATGGAGGTTGCACCATCTGTATACGATTTATAACATAGAAAATGGACATAATTTACTCAGATATATCAAAAGCTTCTGACGGAGTTGATGGGACCATGCTCTTACAGCTGTTTAATATATTTTCAAAGAAATCTTAAGATGTTAATGTGCTTGTGTCATAGTTAATCATCTGCTTTAGATTTGGAAGACTGTTAAAAAAACATTGGAGGATCAGAACGCTATCGGTTTCCATTTACCGCTGAAGTGCCAGATACATCCTTACAAGATAACGCACGTATCATTACATGACGACTTCCTAAAGCTAGCCGAAGGTGGTTGCGACGCGCTATGCGAAACCCTGCTCTCGTGCGGCCATATTTGCAAGAAATTGTGTCACGTGCAGGACCGCGACCATAATTTATATCAGTGCCGCGAAAAGTGCACCAAGTAAGTATTGCTGGATCATAAAAACCATTCCCGTGTGCAGTATGCACAGTACCACTGCAGGATTCTTCTATGTCACCATAATGATTTATTCTAATATTTTAGCATAGAATATGATGATCTTATTGACTTGGTCTATGAATGTTCAAATGTTTATTCATATTTGATTATATATATATATATATATATATATATATATATATATATATATATATATATATATATATATATATATATATATATATATATATATATATATATATATATATATATATATATATATATATATATATATATATATATATATATATATATATATATATATGTATATATATATATATATGTATGTATGTATGTATATATATATATATATATATATATATATATATATATATATATATATATATATATATATATATATATATATATATATATATATATATATATATATATATATATATATATATATATATATATAT